AGCAGAGAGGAGGAGAGAGAAGAAAGAGGGAGGGAGGAGGGGGGGGACTAACCGTTCACGAGGTGCCTCTGCTTGTTGAGCCACGACTTGGGCATGTCCTGCCGCCGCTGTAGCACGACGTGGTTGCTCTGCAGCCGGCTCGTCAGGTCGTACCAGGCCGTGGCGATCATGGCGTTCTCCCGCTGCAGGTTCTTGATGATCTGGTCGCTGGCCGCCTGTTACGAGAGTGTGTTCACGTCAGTCTTAGATTTCTCGCAGATTATAGATAGGCGAACACATTCCGAGGGAGGGGACCGGGGATGTAGTCATAGCTGGTAATACACCAGAACTTTGCAATGTATATATATAAAAAGGGAAACCAAGGGAATGGGAACGGACCTTTTGTGCCGCCGCGCTTCCGGCATGTTCTGCCGCCTTGAGACGTCGCTGAAGATCGTACTTTTCTTGCTCGGCCTTCTCGAGTTGCTGGAGACGACGAGGGGGGCAGCAATTAGCAAACACTCGCTTTTCTACACGATTGCCTTGCCAAAGAGACGGGAAAAGAGACTACCCGACCTTCTCTCCTCAGGGAGGTGGGACGAGGGCATGTGGGGAGGACACCAAGCGTTGACGGATAGAGGCCGCCGCCGCCCACGAGCACGACTGCCTGCCGGCTCGACCCCGGCCAAGACCGAGTCGAGACCAGGCTCGTCGCCTCGCAGGCTGACGGCGCGCCGCGGCCTGATGGGCGGAGGGGAGCTGGGAGGCGTGAGGGGCAGAGCAGGACGACTCACCTCCTTGAGCTGCTTGGCTCTCGTGCCGACCTTCTCGAGCTTCTCGTCCTTCCTGCGAAGGGCCTCCTCCAGGCCGGCCGGGTCCCTGCCGGCGGCGCCGGCAGCAACCTCGTCGGGCTTGGGAGAGGCGACACGGGGCTCCCTGGTCGCGTCGTCGAGCTTCGTGCGGAGCTTCTCGTTGGTCAGCAGCGAGTCAAAGAGCTGCTTCTGCTGCGTGTCACTGGAGAGCTTCAGCTCGTCGAGCTGCTTGCGCAGAACCTCGACCTCGTCCTTGAGTGAGCCGGAGACCAGCTCGTCAGTAGCTTTGAGTTCCTGCAGGGCGTCGACGGAGCCCTTCTCGACCGCGCTGACTGTAGTGAGGAGCGCGTCATGGTCAGAACCGGCCAGCACCTTGTCTCGGGCAATGTGGTAGAGCAACATACGGTCAGTCCTGAGCGTCAAGAGCTCACGATCGCGGTCTGCGACCTGCCGCTCGAGCTTCTGTAGGTTCGAGTTCTTCTCCTCGAGCTCAAAGGTCCGGTCCTTGAGCAGGCTGGAGATTTTGCGGTAGATCTCGCTCCTGGACAGCTCCTTTGTGAGTACGTTGAGCGGGCCAATCGCGAGGGCGGCATCAATGCCGTTCACTAACCCTTCATCTGTGCTGTTGCTCATCAGAGCATTGATCTGGTCCTGCGCAAGAGCAAACTTCTTCAAGATATCCAGATTCTCACCCTGCAGTATCTTCTGCTGCTGTCGCGAGGTTTCCAACTCGCTGTGTAAGCGCTTGTTGTCGCCCGATGCAATATTGTGCTTCAAAAGATTGTTCTCGGCTCTCAGTCGAGAGATCTCGAGCTTCATTGCTGTGGAAGGGTCATTGCTGTGTTCCAGCTCCTCCTCCAGGTTGAAGTTCGTCTTGCTGCCGTCGGGTGTCATGCCTCCAGCAACGCCTCCGACCCCGTGAAGTACCTGCTCCTCCAGTTCGAGAATCCGCCTCTCGTCCATCAGCTTCTGCTCCCTTATTCTTTCCAATTGCGCCTGGACAGCATAGATCTCCTCCTCGAGAGCCAGCTTCTTTATGCGACTGTCCTCGAGCTGTTGCTCGAGAGCGGCAACCATATCCCTAAAGCGTGTAATGCTCGTTGCTTGCTGTTCGCACTGATCCTTCAGCCTATCGTACTCTCTCAGGTTGTCTCTTGCCGTGTCCAGCTCGTAGAGTGCGTTCTTCAGGTCAGTTTCCATGCCGCGCTGGCTCTCCAGCTTCTGCCGGTACCGCTCAGCTGTGTTGGCCTTCTTTGCGAGTTCTTCCTTCTCATGTTTGAGCTCCTGAACCTCGTCCTGCAGCCTCTGAAAGAGCTCGGCCTTTTGGTTCAGCTGGTTGTTCTCGTGCGTCAACCGTGTCTTGGTTTGCCGGTCATCCTCAATCTGGGCTTCCTGGGTCTCGATGATCTCTTCTTGTTCGCGATTTCTCCGCTGGAGCGAGAGGATTGTCTGCGACTCGTTGTCGCCATGCTTTTGCTGCTCGAGCTCCAAGTTGTCCTGTGCCCGTTGCAGCTCATCCTTGACTTCCTCATAGGCGATCTGCAAGTGCTCGAGGCGCGTATTGCTGTCGGCCAGTTTCTTCGTCAGAGTGTCGTATTCGGAAGCCAGTCTGGCAAGCTCAGCCTCGGTCTCCAGGCCGGCGTCCAGGGCGGGGGTTGCGCCGGTCGACTCCTCGGCCTTGGCAGCCTTCTCCATCTCTTTCTGCTTCTCTTCTAGTATCCCGGCGATGCTAGCTAGCTCGTCCTGCGAGAGGTTCTGGTACATGATGGGGATGTACTTTTCGTTCTTTTCGCCCATGAGGGTAGCCGCGGCAAACACGCATAGTAACTAGCAAAATCGCAAAGACGTTAGCAGAGGGTCAAGATCAAGGGAGCGGTGGACAGGGACAGGCCATACCTGAGAGATTCCCTCGGCGTCGAGGTCGTCTGACAATGACCGGAAGTCGACAGTCCTGGGCAAATACACTATCTTGTCGGACGTGTCGCGCTGGACGATGTACTTGGTGAGGGCCTTGAAGACGGACTGTATGTTGCGCTTCTTGGTCAGCCAGGTCGAAGAGCCGACGTTGAGCTCCAGCTCGGACGGGTCATATTCCGGGTCGAGGTCCTGGAGCATCTGGGAGAAGACTCGTCCATCGGAAAGGTCCTCGAGTCTCTCGACTTTGCGGTCTAGAGGGAAGGTGTTGACCCAGGTCAGGAGGGCGGCCTGCGCCGGCGGCTTCATCCCGGGCATGGCTACGGCGCCTCCGGAGCGGAGGGCGGATGGTCAGGCTATTGGATCGGAGCTCGCAGGTCGGGCGGTAGTTCGCCTGCAGAGTTGGCTGACACTGACAAGGCTAAGCTGGGTAAGTCGTCTGGAGAAAAGGCGTCGCTGCTACAATGTTTCAGAGGCAACGCGTAGGTGATGTTGCGAGTTGAGGAAGAAGGAAGTGACGGTCACTTGGAGCAAGAGGGAGACACGCTCGCAGCCTTTTCTGGTGTATGATTAGAAAGAAATGAGGGTTTGAGGTTGATCAGGAAGATGCTTGGAGATCCATTGTCGACAGCAGGCTAGAGCTTCTGGATCAAAAAACGCCACAGAGCAGTGAAAGACATTGTTCATGCCAAAGGGCTTTGTCCTGGGAGCTATCGCATTGCCCATTCCTTTGGGCGACGGCAGCCCCCGTGAAATGGAGCTCCTTGTTAGTGTGGGTTTGGCACGATTCCCGTATCTGCTAAGCTGGAGGTGACGTGGGTCCAGACAGGGGTGTCCCTGAAACCCCTAGACTTCTTCTGCCCATGCATGTCCCGCCGAAAGAAGAGGCAGAGGGCGGTCTGTCCAATTGATCCATCACTTCTTTGCTCTTTGTGCGTGCCTGGTGGTGCATTGCCGATCAAGTTGTCGTAAAGGTAGAAGGCATAAAAAACGCCCTCAGCCCTTTGTTTCAGCGCGCGCGCCGTTAGGCAGAACATGCTCTGACACTTGCAAGCGGCATGTCTGCATGCACTTGAATACACATACATATATCTTGTTGTTGCACCTCTTCTCAAAAGTCCTCAGCAACCACACCATTCTATGTAAATATTCTCCCTCGCAATCCTTCTGCAACCCAAGGTTGGATATGGGTATTCCGGGACTAGACTGGTCCAAGTGTTTCACATTGTTCCTGTTGCGACAATACAAGTACAAGATACGATCCCCATGTCAAGTCGCTCCACACAATGCGCATTGACCACGAGAACAAAGACGACAGGGAAACGAGATGAAGGGACCGCCTGGAAGGTCTGGTGCGTCTTGAAGTACTTGTACCTGCCTACTGCAAGAGTCAAAACACACCGACGATCCCGCCCATCTTTGGTCTGATCCCAAACAGAGATGATGGGATGGGTCTGACCATGAATACTTGTACTTTACGCAGACATATCATTTACACAGCCGACTCCATTCCCAACTTACACCGTAGATATGTTTGTCTGTAGTGAATGTGTTCGAATGATTAGACATCCGTACAAGAGTTTGCCCAGTCCTTTGTGGCTAGATTGCACGTTCCTGGAGACCCCAGATGCACAAGGAGAACATTGAGAAGGACCGCATCAATTCAAGCCTAACGAGTGGTGGTCTTTGCCAGCCGGATATCATCTACCACGCCCGTAATCCCATCTCCAGATGCCGTCGCATTACCAAAAAAGCGCCTATAAACATATTTCATCAAGCAAAGTGGTGACTTCTTGCAGCCAAGGTCCTCACGCAACCGGATACCCCACGTGGCTGGCACATGTGTCGTAATCCACCGTCTTCCCCATCGCTCACGAGCTCGAGACAACTTGGTCCTCCTCGATCAGGGCGTTGTATTGGCTTCCCATCGTCTGCACAGTGTCGAGGACCTTCTCTCCAGCCTTGACCGCGAAACCCCTGGAGCACCCAGGTTAGCATTGTGCAAAGATGGGCTTGATGCGGATTGTCACGCGCATCGTCGCTCGCGCCTATGACTCCGTATGACTCGACTTACTTGATCAATTTGTACTCGTGCAAGATAACACCGCCAGCGTCCAGGATAGCCCCCTTTGCCTCGTCGAGCACATGGTTGGGCGTGTTCTCGGGATAAGTGATGATGACCTGCTTCTGCACATCCACCGCCAGAGCAGCGGAGAAGACAGACAGGAAGGCGAGGAGGAAGGCGATCAGCTTCATTTTCGACGGTAAAAGTGACAGCAGAGCGGTTTAGAGTTGCTGAGTGTTCGAAATGGCACCGTGGAGGCGATGATCGATGTTGCGCAAACAGATGCAGTTGAGGTGGTGGAAGGTGGCAGAGTCGGGGGGACTTATGATGGTTGGGTGCCGCCTTGATTAGGAAGCTGGATGACTGGCAGCGGGTGGTGTGTCGACTGCCCAGCGCATGACATGCGGTGGCGTCGGTACTCCCTTTGAGTAACCCCGCCCCATCCGAACATTGCCCGCTTCGGTCATCTCCGCGCTAAATGCATGACCCCGGTTTTCGAGCCACATGGCCGATATGTCTTGACGAAACATCATGAACCAAATTTGGATCTCCATACAAACGGTGGTAGAAAGCTACTACCAGATATCATGAAACATAATGTTCGACTCTAGTAATTGACCTGTAGCTAAGGATATCGTAAACAATGCCACCAGCTTGTACAGCCCCCATTGAACGCCTAGCAATGCAATCAGTCTCCATCTTCGCGTGCCCAGTGCTTTATGTCTTCACACTGCTCGGCACGCTCTCGTTGTCTCCCCATATGTCTTTGCTCTCCTGCTCAACGGCTCTCATGGCAACGGCAACCTCCTCGAGTTTGGCCACAACGTCCAACACGCCCTGATTCACCCGCGAGAAATAACGGTCGTTGGCTTCTCTCCGCTTTCTTGCTAGCAGAATGTCCACCTCCGTTTCCTCTCCCATCTTCGCACCGAGCTTGTCAGCATCGTGACCGGCCACGCTGCTCCCGGGACGAGCACTACCGCCAGCCGTGCTGCCTCCCTCGGTCCTTCCTGCGCCGGTATCCCCACCGGCCGTGTCTTTGCCTCCGGACACTGTGGACTTGAGTTTCCTGGCCTCTGCCTCGGCCGCAGACAAGTTGGTCTCGATGGCCTCATCAGCCTCGCTTCGCGCCCAGGCCTGAGCCAGCGCGATCTGCGCCTGTCTCAGCTCCGCGAGCTTGTGGTCGTGATCGGGTCCGAAGACCCTGGTTCCGCCCGACGCGGACAGCTCGACCTCCTCCAGCGTCGCTTGCATCTCGGCCCACAGCGCGTCCGTCCTATCGGTAGTGCGCGTCGACTCCTGGCGCAGCGGATGCGGCATGGAGAAGGCCGCCCCGAGGTTGCCCAGCCCCGAGGGCCGCAAGAAGTTGGCACCGGGCCTCCGGGCCTCGGGCTGACTTGAGGGTGGCGCGCCTACATCTTGGCGCAGCAGGGAGCTAGTGCGGGACAGAGGAGGTGCCCCCGAGGAAGTCATGCCGGCAGCTGAGGTGCTCGTCGAGCCTAGGCCACCGGGAGGTGCCAGGATTCCGGGGAGGGAGACATGAGAGGCAGCGGGGGACGGATGAAGAAACAGGGTCGGAGGGGGGTCCCTTTGCTTGCCTTTGCCTTTATTAGCTTGAGACATGGCTACATTCTGGCCCGCACTCTGAGGGTGTCGACGATGATCTACAGCGAGGCTCCTGGTTGGCTCGAGTGCTGGTCTCGGAATGGGATGCAATTAAGCGGGAGTTTTGACTTAGCGCGCCTGGCCCGAATGACATAGAGATAAAGATAGATAAGGCGCACCGGCCGATGCTGATAAGGGAACTTTATTCTCGCGTCCTCCGTCTCCACTGCAATTTTAGTCTAGTCCCAGTCTGGTCGGGCGGGGCTCAAAGGACTAGCGCGAAAAGTGCTGAGAGAAAAACTCGTGACCAGCTAGGGCGAGAAAACCCTACCAAAAAAATCGCCTGCCGAGTGGTGCGAGAAAGTTGCCAATTCCAGCCCCAACCTTCAAGCACATCCAGAAGAACCCCATCACAGCGATCAATTCATAAGTCGGTACGTTTACTCTCCAGCAAGATCCCGGAGGAGAATAGGAAGGGAGTCATCACACTCGCTTCTTTCTTTGTCTTCTCACTCGACGTCGACTTGCTAACGTGCCGCCTCCCCGACAGCAATCATGGGTGCCGGAAAGCCTCGTGGTCTCAACGCCGCGCGCAAGCTGCGCAACAACCGTCGCGAGCAGCGATGGGCCGATCTCCAGTACAAGAAGCGTGCCCTGGGTACCGCCTTCAAGTCCTCTCCCTTCGGCGGTTCCTCCCACGCCAAGGGCATCGTCCTTGAGAAGGTCGGTGTCGAGGCCAAGCAGCCCAACTCCGCCATTCGAAAGTGTGTCAGGGTTCAGTTGATCAAGAACGGCAAGAAGGTCACCGCTTTCGGTACGAATTCCCCCACGATCTCTCCCGTCTGCAGCAAGAAATACACGATTGTGTTGGAAGCAGGAAATATTTCGAGGGCAGCAATGCTAGGATGATCAGACGGTTTGGCTAACAGCAGAATTTTTCTCTAGTCCCCAACGACGGTTGCCTCAACTTCGTCGACGAGAACGACGAGGTCCTCCTGGCCGGTTTCGGTCGCAAGGGCAAGGCCAAGGGTGATATCCCCGGTGTTCGGTTCAAGGTCGTCAAGGTCTCTGGTGTCGGTCTGCTCGCCCTGTGGAAGGAGAAGAAGGAGAAGCCCAGGTCTTAAGCGTGTGGAGGATATCATGGAAAAAATACGGAACGGTATCGGCATGCGGAGTCATCTTTGCTTGTTTGCATTGGGATCATTATAGGTTAAAGGGAGACCTGAAGATTCCCCGGTAGACATGATCAGTACCGAAATTCAGGATCATTGATCACCAAATCCTCTGGTTCCTTCGCCGTTTGACATGACTGATGGATTGTATGTGTTTTTGTGATCAGCTGAGCCAGGAGACCCAGGGCAATGCATAATTATGCGACATGCTGAGTGGGACAGCTTCAGTTCAAAATTATCGTACGGGGGTATTGCTTTCAGACCCTTCGGTGCCGGCGATATGGTTACATTTTTTTTAACAGATTGATTACAGAGTAGAGTACAGGTATTAGAGCGGCTACGCCTCCTCCTTTTTTCCCTTGCCCTCGTCGAGGTAGCGAATAGCATAGTCCGCCCCAAGGCCCAGACTGATGACGCCACCGGTGATCCAACATCCGTTGACGAACCACCACCAGCAGTCCTTGACGCTCTTGAGGTTCACACGCTTGATCATGATGCCCAGGGTCACCAGGGCTCCGCCACAGCTACCAATAAAGAACGCCGGGCCGGCTCCTGCGGCCATGCCGGCCCCAGCCAGAAGGCCGATCTGCACTACGGCCAGGCCGGTCAGAACCTTCTTCGTGTCGGCGTCGTGCTTCAGCGCAATGCTCTTGATGCCGGCCTTGGCGTCGTCCTTGATGTCCATGTGCGCGTAGATCATGTCGTACAGGACGGTCCACGCGATGTTGGACGTGTACAGCAGCGACGCCGCCGTCAGGGCGGCCTGGTTGGAGAGCAGGTCGACGCCCAGGGCCGGGAAGCCCATCATGGCGCCCCAGGAGAAGGTCAGGCCGAGCACGAACTGCGGGTAGTACGTGACGCGCTTGGCCAGCGGGTAGGAGGCCACGAAGAGCAGGCTCGGGACGGCGTAGTAGAGGCACGCCGTCGGGAACTGGAGGAGGATGGCGAGGCCGGCGAGCAGCTGGGCGCCGGTGAAGACGACGCCCCGGAAGGGGGTGATGGCCCCCCTGGCGATGGGCCGCAGGCGCGTGCGGGCGACGTGCGGGTCGAGGTTGCGGTCCCAGAGGTCGTTGATGGTGCACCCGGCGCCGCGCATGACGAGGGCGCCCGAGAAGAAGAGGAGGGAGTAGCCGGCGGCCGAGAGCGGGGAGGCCATGGGCACGGCCATGGGCGCGGCCATGAGCGTGGAGAAGAGGCAGGGGAAGAAGAGGTAGTAGGTGCCCGTGGGCTTGTCGAGGCGGATGAGCTCCGCGTACGGGACCCACGATGGCGGCAGCATGGAGAGGAGGCCGGTCTGGGGAGGGGAGTAAGGTGCTGGTGCCGAGGGGGCGGCAGGACCCGGGACGACGCCGGCCCCGTCTGGCTGGAGCGAGCCGGCGGCTGAGCTTGGCGAGCGCAGGGCTGCTGTGGCATGGTAGGCGATACGCGCTTGCAAGTGAGGCGTGCAGGGCCGGTGTAAACTGCCACGGTTCGGAAGACTGATCTGGCCTGCTGCGGATACCGCACTCCTCGGCACCCTGAGGAGCCGATGTCCCGGCTTCCGGAGTAGGATAGACATGGTTTCTTCTCTACGAGATTGTCTTGTTTGAAAGGAGTAGGGCTACTCAAGAGAAGTTAGTCTCCGTACATCTGCATATTTTCTCGTCAAAGACAGCCATGGAAGAGCTATAATGGGCCGCAGAGACCTCCCTTGTGAGACGTCTTTCGTGGAGAATTCTCGAGGGTGGATGGAAATGAAATTCACCTTAGTTGCTCTCGTTCACATGTCAACTACACTGAGCCAATTCAGCAGCTTGGACCAGAGACCGGGTGTCTGGTGCTTTTCCCATATGGCTTGTCACGAGTGGCCACGGCAATGACCCTCAAAGATGGATCATCTCCCATCAATCGGAGCTGGTCTCAGGTCAAGGTATTCAACCGTTGTTCAGCCTTGCAGCTGAGATCCGGGATTGCCTCCAGCAAAAGTGGGGCTGCCCCAGTCAAGCTGTGGTGCGCCAAACTTGGCTAGCCTCTGATTGGCACCACTACCACCACCGTCGCTCCTCCGCCCACCCTACCCAGGTACTGTACATACTTGTAGTAGATAGCCAGCCTTCCCTGATAATCAATCGCAATCGCGTTGATGTGCCTAACTTCCCCCTCACTTACCCTTGAAATCTTCAAACCTTTCGACCACAAGTTTCGTGGAAGGTATTTGGCGTACAGAGCCGTCTTCATCTTCTTGAGAGTCTGAAGGCGCTAGCTTGCAAGCATGCGTTTCAACGGAGACCCGTGATACTTCCTTCACTTGACTGAGCATCTCGAGCATCGCTTTCGCAGTCCCGGGGACTGCACCCGATCTCCGACACAATGCCGACCTCACTCCACCCGCAGGCCAAGTTCGACCCGATTCCGCCGGATCTCGACCTCAGCGCTCTGGTTGACTCAACCCCCAACTTCGAATGGGCCCTGCGCATCGGCGCAGAACATATCAAGGGTCTGTCGCCACTCGAGCTAGAGCGACTCATCAACATTCAGATCCTCCAGCGCGGTAAACCCTTGGTCATAGAGAGGTGGAATTCGGAGCTCGATTCTTCGCTGTTCAGTGCAGAATGGCTCGAGCAGACCTACGACAAGCAGCAAGAGTTTGTTCGCGACATCCCGGCCGAGACCAACATCAAATTCACCATGGGCCACTATCTGCGATCGATGAAAGCCCTGGCCAACCAATACACGCCCACCAACTTCCGTGACGAGATTAGACAGCGTCTGTACCTCAAGGATATTGATTGCCCTCCCGAGTGGCACGAGCGCTTGCAGAACGTCTTGCCGCGAAACTTCTTCTATCTAAATGACAAGATCGACACGAAACGTGCAGTACCAGCCGGTGATCTGATGAGTAGCCTGCCGGAAGAGATGAGAGCTCAGAATCTTATGTGCTACATTGGACACGAGGGCACCTACACCCCCGCGCACCGAGAGATGTGTGGAAGTTTGGGTCAGAATATCATGGTTGAGGTGTCGGGAAATGATGGTCAAGAGAAGCCAGGGACGTCCATCTGGTTCATGACGGAAACAAAAGACCGCGAGGTTGTCAGAGAGTACTTTTTGTCCATGCTCGGCCATGACGTTGAGATCGAGAAGCACTTTGCCCAGATCAACGCCTGGAAGAAGGCCACATTTCCGGTCTACATCGTGGAACAGAAGCTCGGGGACCTCATCCTTATTCCTCCCTTGGCTACTCACCAAGTGTGGAACCGCGGCACGAGGACCATGAAAGTCGCATGGAACCGGACCACTTGCGACACGCTCGAGTTGGCACTGCACGAGGCCCTGCCCAAAGCCCGGCTGGTGTGCCGTGATGAGCAATACAAGAACAAAGCCATCATATACTACACCCTGCGCAAGTATTACGACCTCCTACGTTATAACGATAAGTTCGACGGCCTAGGTCTGCTCGGTATCGAGCGCGGTGAGAGCCCGGAGAAAGACCGGCTCAAGACCGACTTCCGGAAACTTTTCAGCCTCTACACCGAGATACTCACTGACGAGATGTTCGGCCAAAAAGAACAGAACGTCGAGTTCATCGAGTTTGACTCCAACATTACTTGCGCCTACTGCAGAGCCAACATCTTCAACAGGTTCCTCACTTGCAAACACTGCGTCAGACAGCTCCTCGACGACAACAAGAACGTGATTGAAGATACATACGATATCTGCATGGAATGCTACGCGATGGGCCGCTCGTGTCTGTGCATCTCTGGCCTATCATGGTGTGAGCAGTGGGAGTGGTCTGAGCTGGTCAATACCTACGACGAGTGGCGGACGATGGTCACCGAGAACGACGGCTTCATCGACCTCGAATTGACCCCTCTTCCGCTTGAGATAGCTCGAAAGAAATCCGGAAAGAAGTCTGTTGCACAAATATGCCAAGAGCAGCTGCGGCGGCGTCCTTTCCGTGACATCACCAAGCCGGAAGAGAAGGAGGTTCTCGAACCATCAGAGCCTGAGGTCGACGAGAACGGCCTGGTGGTTAAGAAGAAGAAGAAGAAGAAGAAGGAGAAGAAGGGCGATGTCTATCGATGTCATGTCTGCTGTCGCAAAGATTTCACATACAGACTGGCCTTCTGCTCCACGCCAGGTTGCACGGAGGCCTACTGCTATGGAAATCTTTATCGGGGCTTTGACATGATGCCCCAGGACGTCATGCAGGAGGAGAGGTGGCAGTGTCCAAAGTGCAGGGGGATATGCAACTGCGGCGCTTGCCGGCGAGCGGGCAACACTACTCCCTATGTTCCAAAGAACACTCTACTCGGCCACGATACGCGGAGCATAGCTGACGATCGCAGTGTCGATGCTCTGGTCGACTTCCGATTGCACAACCTGCGCTGGCTTAGCAAGGTCGGAGAGGAGGGTCATAGTCAGGACACTGGTCGCATGCAACGCCTCAGACAGCAGGCAGACGCAGAGAAGGCGAAGGAGGGACATATGGGAGATGTAGTCGGTGCGGCGCTCGCTATTGCCGAAAGCCAACAATCTGCGTCGCAGGCCATGGGCGGAGACTCGCAGCCAGTCACTGATGGGCAAGCGCCGATGGCCGATATGTCCCCGGCTGACGCAATTGACCCAGCGTTGTATAACGAGCCTGCCGCCTATCCAGATCCATCAGCCTTTGGAGCAGAGCGAATGCTTGGCTTGGGCTACTATCAACAAGATGACAGCCCCGACAAGATTCTCTTCGACCCATACCAGGAACCAGCGGCCGACGAAATGGTTCTGGACGAAGAATCTGAATATGCCAAGAAGGCCCTGCGGGCCGCAAAGAGACGTGCGAAATTGGAGAAGCATGACGATCCCGACTTCATGGCGCCAAAGTCACATAAGAAGAAGATCAGGATCGAGAAGGAGGTCGACGTTGACGAGGCTATGGACGTTGACCCGGCTCTGCTCAGCGGGGAGGCAACAATCCCTAGTGAATCTCAGCAACCGGAAGGAGCAGCAGCGGATGGCGACACGGGCGAACGTGACGAAGCCAACGGCGAAGACGAATCCGAGCAGGAGGTGACTGGCCTCTTGCCATACGAGGCTAACATCCCGTCCCTGCGCCATGCCAAACCCAAAGTGTCGTATGCCGAGGCAGACGACGGCATCGAGGAGTTCAACGAGATCCTGGAGAAGAGACGGCCCAAGCCTCCTCCTACCGCGGAGCCTTCCGAGCCGCGCAGCAACGATCCTCTGGACCTAGCCTCGGAGGCGATTCGTGCGATTACCGGCCAGGCACGTAAGGCGACTGCCGCGGCCCAGAAGCGAGCGCCTGCGCCGAGCGCGGCGGGCCCGAAGAAACAGGTGTCCACGCCGAGTACGGGCCCGAAGAAGCGAGGACGGCCGCGCAAGTCCGACGTCGGACCGTCTACCGATACTGGACGCGAGAAGCCAGCCACGCCGCCGTTGAGCGAGCCGCCCAAGAAACGCGGCCGGCCCCGGAAATCGATGCTGGCCGGAGTTGAGTCGGGCCAGTCCTCGGTGACGGTGACGGAGGAAACACCTGGCACGGGAGTCGGTCGGCCCGAACTCGAGGATGATGACGATGATAGTATGATCGGAGCCCTCGAGGCACAGCTTGCCGCCGAGCTCGCAGAAGAGGACAGTCGCCCAGCTCATAATGAAAGGCAAGAGCCGGGAGCAGTGGATTTCCCACCTGCTGCTCCCGCTCCCAAGCGGAGGGGACGGCCCCCGAAGAACCCCGCGGCGGTGGCGGCGGCGGCGGCAGCTGCCAGCTCGGCCAGGGCTGCCTCGCCTGCCGACATGAGCGGCTTGACTATGGCTCAACGCGTCGCTCGGCGAGGAGGCAAGTTCAAGATGGTCGGGCGCAAGTCGCGCGGAGGCGCCAGGAGCGGAGAGAGCACGCCGAGGGCGTCGGGCGCCAACACGCCCCAGGTGGAAGAGACGCCCGCTGCACCTGCAGCAGCTGCAGCTCGGCCATCGCCCAGCCCCGCGGCAGAGCCTCCGAGTGCTGCTCCCGCCGAGGAGGTGGAGGATCCGTTCGTCGATTCGCCGATGCCGGATGCCGTCGACGGACCGGAGGCGCTCGAGGTCGTCTCGCCCGAATCGGCCGCGAGTGAGCGGTCCCCATCACCGCCACCGCCTGCGCCGCCGCCGGCTGCGGCTGCTCGCGCTGGGCCCACGGTTGTCCGCTTGGGCTCGTCCGACGAGGAGGACGGGTTGGACGGGGGCTACGGCGGGGGCTACGGCGGGGGCTACGGCGGGGGCTACGGCAGGGGCAGTGTCTCCGCGTCGGACGACGAGTCGGACTCGGACTCGGACTCGGACGACGAGGATATCCCGGCGAGGGTGCCAGGCGCTGCTGCCGCCGCTGCCGAGGGCGTGACGCGGGGCACTGCTATCCGGGGTCGGGGGACGATGGTGCGCAGTCGCGGGCGGGGACGGGGACGGGGACGGGGGAGGGGTCGTGGCCGAGGGGCGTAGGGGGTAGGTAGGATTGTGATGGCGCATGGGACCTTGGTTCTCCGGGACTTTGCCGGGGGGATGAGTAGTGCTATTACTTGGCATGCACTGGGCCTGCTAGGCTGATTTGAAAGTCTTTGCTTCTTTCTTTAGATACCCATTGTTCAACGGGGTAATTAGCATGCCTGAAGATTGGCCTGTGCCGGGTGTTGGTGCAGGAGAGAACGAACTAGGTAGTACGAAGATGATGTTCCAACAAACAAGAAGAGTTGAATGCCCCTCCCTCTACACGGTATATGGGCTGGTTCTGCTGACTAGCCATTTCAACGTGCGGTGGCATAGGTTGGTTTCGGTAGTTTGTGTGTTGCGGAGAGACTTGGGGAGTTGAGCATATCGGTCAGCACGCCCAAGCAGAATAGAGAAGGAAAGTTTTTCTGTGAATGCCAATATGCAATGATTTGACGCCAAAGACGTATGGGCACTACTTCGACGCCTTGAATGCGAACGTTTACCTTCCAACCTATTGATACAAGCGGTTCACACCAACACAACCTCCCAAGTGAGCCTCACTTGCCCGACTCTCTCTGAGTGATCTACTTCCGGGTTCCTCAGTAACTCTGCTTCCTTGCTCTCGCGGAGGATATTCCCACTCGTCGAGATATCTCATGTCCTCACGGTGTTCGCCTCATAGCTTCTTCTTCTTCTTCTTCTCCTTCTCCTTCTTTCCACACACACACTCTCCCTCTTCACTCTCTTTCACAGACCGTCCCGCATGCTGGTGCCGGCCTTGGACGTCTCCTCGGCGGCCTTCTTGGTGCGCTCCTGCAGCTTCTTCATGGCCTCGGCCGGGCTGCTGCTCGCGCCGCCGCCGTCCGTCTCGGCGCGGTCCGCCTTGACGGCCTCCTCGCTGTCCGAGGCGAGCTCGGGCTTCCAGTGGGCCTGGCCGTCCTTGTGCTTCTTGAGCAGGTCGCCCTTGTGCTTGTCCACCTCGTGCGAGTCCGGGTTATCTGGTGTGGGGGCAGCAGTGAGTGTCAGCGCTGGCGATCCATGCATATGTATATATTATATGTGCATTCGTGTGTCTCCGTGCAGTGTAGTTGTGATGTGTAAAGGCGGGGCGGGGGGGTGGGTTTGGATAGCAACTCAAATTGGCTGTCTCTCTCTCTGAGGTGTGGTTTTACAAAGGGGAAGAGATTGTAGATGCGGGTGAGCCGAAGGAGGAAAACACTCACGGCTTGCACTCTCCTTGTGCCTCAAGCTGGCGGTGCTGGCGATGCTTCTCCGCAGGAGCACCTGGCTGCCGGCGACGGTGGTCGGGCGTGCGGCGGCGGCAACCGCATTGGCGATGGCGATGCGAGCAGGCATGGTATCCGGATCTGGGATCTAGGGACGAAAGATGGGGGGAAGCCTTTTTGGAAGAAGCGGAGGGAGGAAGTTTTGTATATTAACTTGAGTGAAGATGGGGAGGAGGGAGGGCTCAATTCTCGATATGAGAGAAGAAGGATAATGCTGCCAGAGAAGGAGGGGGGGAAACACCAATTGAGAGTATGGCAATGGGTGGATAGCAGCTTTGTGATTCGTCTACCGAGCAAATGCGAGATATAGGAAAACAACAGGGGGGAACAGAGCTTCCTTATGGGAGGACAAGGCAGCTCTTTGCTGGGAAGCTTGCTCGGCTTGCATCGAGATGTTTCTGTGACGTCACCATGATTTTTTTGGGACTCTCCTCTTATCCACAGATTCCAGCAGCAAGAAGCAGCGCGCCCGGCAGGGCAAAAAGGAACTAGCTTCAAAGAATCGCAAGGATACAATGATCATCTACCGGGCTACCTAAGGTAGATACTTGACTAAGGCGCTCCCCCCCCCATCAATTGAATCCCGATCAGCGTGACGGAAGGCGCCTTTTTTCAACCGCGTTGCTCCGACGTGCCGGGGCCTGGTGCGTAACCGGGATCCTCTGATTCGTCATCGCGGCCTGGCAAGCATCTCGGACAGACAGTGTAGTTTGTGGCCGTCATCGTCGAACGACAGGCCTGTTGCATCGGGTAAGCATAGCCTCGGTCGGTTCAACCTATCCTTGACAACTGCAGCGGGTGTTGATGGTGTTTTGCCCTTCAGAACCAGTGTGCCTCGTTCCTCCAGATCAGGCCGGGCAGATCTCGCAGTCTCGCTCTTTTTGTATACAGTCCGGTCGGTGCACGTCACCACAGCTCGAGAATCGTAACAATTAAAATTTATCTGTAATCGTACTACCGATAGAGAAGAACCCAACGCTGCCTTGATTGACCCCTCGAGTGCGGTAGTAGCAGCAATGCTAGTAAAACGAGTGTCGAGTTCCCCCTATCCATCATGAGTCGCGGCTTCGGTGCCACAACGTAATCTCAGTCGAGCACCTTGTTATACATCGAATAACTGACTTGGTATGCAGTGAGGCGGTATACGGCGGGCAAATGCTGTGTTTTGAGTTCGTTTTTCCCCTACAGGGTGGACCCGACAACTCCCCCCTTTCCCCCTTTTCCCCCCCCTGAACGCCGTAGTTTTTTGCACAAAAGTACACCGACCGGGTGACTTTTCGAAAGAGCAGAGATGTATGAGTGAAAAAAATGCTAGTGCTGGATATGTACCGAGTGAAAACCGCTTGAAGCCGTATAAAACACGAGTATAATACAGGGAAAACTCAGGTGTGAACGAGTCGAGAGTTGTCTAAGCCGGGGCGGGTGCCGTCGAAGGAGCCGTAGGGACCTGTATTACCAACAACAGTGTCAGTGTTCTGCCAATGTACGTAGCTCGGGCCTGAAAGAAAAAGAAAGGGGGAGTCTGCTTACCTCCAGTTTCGTCGCGCCCGCCATCATCTTCTGGAAACCGATGCCGACGCCCTCGATGACGGCCAGCAGCACCGCGCAGCCGATGGCGCCGTTCCTCGCCGCCTTGTAGCCGCCCCGTATGGCGAGCGCGCCGCCGGTGAAGAAGCCGGCCGTGATGGCGTTCCAGGGGTCCTCCTTCTTGCGGATGCCCTTGACGGCGCAGTCGAAGGTCGAGAACAGGCCGCCCCAGACGCCAAAGTTGCCGCCCAGCACGGGGGCGCGCATCTTGATCGCCGTCAGCGCGCCTATCCGCCGCTCGCCGTACGGTGAGTTCCGGAACCCCTTGATGCCGTGCCAGATCGTGCCGCCGATAGCGCTGCATTTTGATAGGGGAGTTAGTCTCTACAGGGAAAAGCTGTCGCACGCAGCGGGTTTCACGATCGGGATCAGGGAAGAGGAAAAAACATACCCCATCGAGAACGCTCCGCCAAAGTCGTTCAGGATGACCCAAGGGCAGGGGTCGCGGCTGTGGTCGAGAGCCATGATGTCTGGTCGTGAGGAGGAGGCTGATGTGGTGGTTGATGGCGAACTGGAAGAATTTTGATTTGGGCCGGGCAAAGATTTGGCAGCTAAAACATCCAGCCAAAAAGGTCGCGGCCTCTGCCGAATGGCCCGTGCATGAGCCGGGGGACGTGGCATCACGTGATACATAGAATGAGTGCCAGCACTCTCCTCAGAGAGCCAGAAACCGAGACCTTCTGGAAAAGTGGCAGACAACTGAAGTGTGGAAAATTATGTCTAGTTATTGTCGTTCTCTGGTTATGCTGTTTGCATATCAGGATGTGTTTGTGGCAAGAGGGCCCAGTTCCAAAGCTACTGCCCTCCAGCCAGAGAGTTGCTAAGGACTAAGACGTGGATTAACGAGCCACGAAAATGACCTTGAAAGTCAGTACGTGTGAGCCTTGCTTAATATAAAGGTTTCCTGTTCGTTTATGTAGAGACAGAATATTGAGAAATCAATTGAATCTCAGACGACCAAGAATGGTACGATTTAGCATATGTTCAAGCCTATCTATCAACGAGATGCCAACATATCTTGTTCCTATTGACCACAGCACGGAGATTTCCTTGGGCTTGCCAAAGAACCATTGCCTATTCACTTTGTTGCGGACCTTTCTTATGATGACCAGGTTGTATCCAGATTGTTGAGAGAGAAATCTCATGCATACAAACTTAAGAAATGGTGGACCATGGGGCCGAAGCCTATTAGTCGACCGAGGATCCAGGTAGATACCTGGTGTTCTAGCAAATAAATATGCGAACAAGAGAACGAGAATGCACACTTCGAGCACCACCCTCCCACTACCGGGAGGCCCACGCAGTCCGCGAGGGCCACTCGGAGCATGGAGCAGGCAGGCAGGCAGGCAGGCAGGCAGGTGTCCGTTCGGGTGCCGCCGCGGGGGAGGCGGAGTCGGAGTCGGACGAGGCACAGCCCACTCGGCGACTCCCGAGCCCGGCACCACGAGCTTGCACCAAGAAGGACGTGCGGCCCGGTTTCGCATTGGGGGGGGCACTGCCAGGGCATTGGGCGACGCAGGTGGTGTGCCATTCCAGTTTCTTTTTTTACGGTCAGTCCAGCAGCAGCACGGGGGCCATGCATGCATGTATCAAAGCCCCGAAGGAGAGAAGTGCCTGCAGATGGATGTGATGGCGGCACAGTCACGGCATTGCTTGCAGCTGGCCTTGGGTAGGTAGTCAACCTCCGCCAGCCATTCATCCTGTACACACCTCACTGTTCCCGCTGGCTGTAGTGCAGCATGCATGAGAGAAAACGCATCGTCCAGTCACAGGAACTTGCGCTTGGCACATAAGTCCCCCCATATGTGGACCGGGTCGAGCCCCGAAACGGGGCTAGGTGAGTCTGCTCTAGCGCTTCTCCGAATGCCCATGAAAGAGCGGTGTGGGCGTGAAAGCTGTCACAGGACGAGAAGCAAGGGCAGGCACGATGTGTGTGTGTGTGTGTGTGGGGTGCAGCAAAGTGAAGAAGAGCACAACATGGTAAAGGTTTGACTGGTCCCTTGGTGAAAGAATGGCTGGAGGCAATGGCATCTAACCTAGACTGAGATCGGGGGTTTCAAGGAAGAGGTGCCAGGGGACAAGGGTATCGCCAACCTCGCGAGACGAACACACTAAGAATGCGAGAGCATTGGTGGCGGGGTGCCAATGAAGAGCGATGCCTGGCTTCTATTTCCAATACGGAAAGATCGCAATGATAGTGGCAGTAGAGAGACTTGAGAGACCGCAGGTTGGACATGTAGCTTTGGAATGAGGGCAGCAGGCCAGGGGACCGGACCCTGATCTCTGTGGTTCTGACATTTGGACACCAGGAACAGGGCAGGGCCGTTATCAGATTCACAGGGACCAGATCATCAGGGAGATACACACTCCGCCCCTCAATTCCAAGGCAAGATACGGCCCGTCAGCGTCGAATACTTGGAACTCGGCCTTGGACCTAATTGACGGATTGGTTAGAGATAGACTGCGTTGCAGACAAGATTGGCAGATTGGCGCAGTAGGACCCCGGATCTGCGATACTCGGCCAACCAACGACGGGCGACTCGAGCCAGGCTAAAAACGGGCAAGATAAATGATGCCATTGTCGACTGGAGCAAGTGATGGCATTTCTTGCTCCTTCCGTCACCCCTCCCCCCCCCCCGCCGGCTCCATATCAGGGCGAAGATGGGTGGTGGGGGCGCTCACAGGGCGGTTCGACGATAGACAGCGAGGCACAAGGTGGGCTGGTAGAGGGAGAGGAGAGGGGGTGGTCAGCAGCGTAAAGCGACGGGAAACCCTTCTGCGTCTCAGGAAGCTGGTATTGGGCCGCCGGTGGGAGGAGTTATTGGCGGGCTGATCAATATGGGACCCTTTATTAAAGTGAAGAGAGAGAGACAATGGGGGGTGTTGTGGGTGGTGTACTGGCTCAGAGTCTGGCCACTCTCGACGGTAGGACAATGCATTGTGACCCCCGAAAATCCGTCCGGCCATGCAGGCCGGGAGGAGGGTGTACAAGGCGCCTTCTGGAGCAGTCCATCGGCCATTGGTGGCCAGTGATCAGCGCTGCCAGAATGGGGAGACGGGGCAAGGTCGGGTTTCTTGATACAGTTCCATTCATGGTCAGCAAGAGGCGCACCTCGAGGACCTTTCGTGCATCATGCATTGATATGGGATGCGCCTGCGACTCTGGCAAGCTCAAGTGCTCAAGTGCTCTGTTGCTTCTCACTTCTGCCTCCGGGCTCCGAGTGGCACCGTCTGTGGTCATTGTGCAGGCAGGCCAACAGGCCATTTGTCGACGCCCATTTGCCGGCGGTTCCTATCGTCACTTATCGAGCACCACACGCTTATCGGTGGCAAAACCCATGCATGCCACTCGAGTGAAACAAGAAGTTGCGCTTCGAAACTTGGGAAGCTTGCCTGGCTTCTTGGCGGGATCTGCAAAATGCGCCCTCTATTTTCGATGATGGAATCTGCACATAATTGAAGGGTCCAGCTCCTGGGCAGGGCAGGGCAGTGCAACCTAGATTCCTGCTGCCAGCCCATGGGTCTGTCTCGGAGGAGGAGGAGGGGGATGATAGCCCGCCGTTGAGTTGACGCCTACTTGTAGTATCCCAAGTTCAATTACAGCTGAGGCTGGGGAAGACCACTTGCTAGGGAGCGATACCGCAAACACTTGGGCAGGACTCAGGAGGTACTTTGTGCGTCACTGTGCGCACCGTGCCAGAACCAGGACACCATACTTGTACTTGTACTCTTCAAGGTTGTTCTCTACTGTTCTCTTCCCCAACCGCCACGTTTCTTCTGGTGCCTGTCAGCGGGGCCACCCTGCACTGCAGTCCCTGGGGCCCGCCTTGACCACCAGCCAGAGATGGAGGGAGACTGTGCTGCTGCGCTGGAGTACTTCCTCCGTCGCCCAACCGGCGGGCAGGTACTTTGCAACCCTGGCCTCCCTGGGTCACCAACTCCGATGCACACGACTCCCATCTGGGTTTGAAGGCCCGCCAGATGTTGCAGGGCTCCCCAGTCCGAGCGTCCCTGCTGACGAGGGTGTGCCTGTTATTCGGGCGGGTCCATTCGCCATTGTCGCCTGCGAAAATGCCAATGGCGGCTTTGCGCCCCCTAAAATGGGGTCAGAGTCTATTGCTTCCAAGGGCCGCCAGCGGACCCGTGCGCTAAACACTGACTGACCACTGCCTCGTTCTTGTTCATGCGTCTCTCTCCTCTCTCCAGCCGCCTGCATCAAACTTGGGTACTGTGTGCGCGCCGCTGCTTGTCGGCTGCGCAATCAAAGGGAAGGGCGAGACACTCTGCTACCTACGGCAGGCCTGTTTCATGGCTCCAAAGGAGGCGCCACAGACTGGTAGACACGTAGGTACTCCGTACCTTGATGGCACACCTCAGCAAGCACTGGCCCACTCCTGTACAGGTCTGAATTGCCAAACATGCAGCAAGCAAGCAGGCCAATTCGGGTTCGTCAATACCAAGGGCATGAGAAATGCGGTTTGTTTTTGTCTCTCCTGCCAACACTGCTCCTCGAGTCACAGGTGTCTCTCAGCTCCTGTGGGGCCCGGGTAGACCCTGTGGAATGTTTGAGCGCAGGCAGAAGAAGAAGACGACGACAGCGAAGGGGCAAGACAAGAGTCAGAGCAAAGGGTCACGAGGACACTGAATACCTACCTAGTACTCACTACTCCTCACTGTGTGGCCGGCGGCGGAGATCTGCCTCTGCTGGAATCGGCTTGAGCTTTCTGGGCTGGGGTGACACTAAAATCTTAGCCGGCACAGTGGCTGTTTGCCCAGGCGTTCCAGAGTAGTACCTTGCTTGTTAAGCTTGTAACGGTATCGGGCCACCTCGGATGAAAATGACGGTCTGATGGCACAACTCGCACAGTTTGACGATGCAGAGAACCGGTGCAGTACTTGTAAAGTCGGGTACGAGCGGAGACAGTTGGGCATTGCATGACTGACTGAATTACTCCTGTCGCAGGCCCGCTGACGGCAGTCACCCCACAGAACATGAGTTTTGTTGGTTTGTGAACTCACCACACGTATCTAGTTCGTCTGCAGCCGTCGGTTTAGTGGGCGAGAGAGGAAAGGCAAAAGAGGTCAGTTTGTCTCTTCGTTCGTCTGGGCGAGAGACGCACTAGGTACCATACCTACGTTCATGATCTATTCTCGTTACAAGGTGGCCCTTGTCTCACAATTGTTGGCTGTGTAATACCTAGGTAGACAAGTGCATTTACCTGCATATTCTCCTTTAATTCCCATGCCGCGGGTCTCATCTTGAGCGAGCCACATCAATGTCGCTTGGACTGCTATTCGCCGCCAGCAAAGTACAGACCCCTAGGTACTTCGTAGACCTTACAAGTACGGGAGGTGCAGTGCAGGAGAGGCACGAGAGAGGCAAGAGGGTGGTGGGCGGTAGTGGCTCACTGACTCCAGGGCCTCTCTGATCGGCACTGTCTGGGCCGGGGACCGCCAGCAGCGCCATGGCCAAAATTACAACAGCACGCTTGGCCGGGAGGGGGATGGCTAGCGGCTGGCCGTTGGGCCAATGGAAACGAAGGTGGCAAAGGTCGGATATCATTCCTGTGGGGGCTTCTCCACAGTTTATGACGCTGCTGATACTGTGGGCTCCAGGGCTGCCACTGGCGGTTCCAGACTAGCGCGGGCCCCGTCTGCCGCTATAATTGGTCCTGGCCGGGTCCACCGGGCTGGGAGACAAGCCACCTGGACAGGCTCGACAGGTCCCCCCCCCTGGGCCCAGCCCAGTCTCTTTTGTCTCTCGAACCAGCCTTGACTCACTGTGCTCTCGTGGTACACTGTGCCGAGCTACTTGTACAGTGCGGTAGGTACCTGCAGTCCCCAACCTAGTTATGCGTCCAGTGCACTATCTCGCTGTTCCTTCAAGAGCACACACCACACACACAACTCTCTCTTTTCCAGGCCCGCCTAAAGATGTCGTCCATCCAATGGCCACCTGCCTAGGCCAGCCCACTCCTAGCCCCTGCCCACCCAATCCAAACCCCTTCTGTCCTCGCCTCTGAAGTCTCTCGGTTCCCCCCTCCCTCCCCCAACCTGCACCATCCAACAAAAACCTTCGCCTTCTCCGACCGCTGCGCTTGTCCCTCCTTCCGACTCTCTTCCTACTTCTACCACACACCCTATCACCATCCGTCCCTCCTCGCTCCGACACAACTTGCTCTTCACTCTGATTGATCTCTTGCGCGCTCGAATATAAACCAACCCGCGATTATTCCTCTTCTAATTCTCTCTCAACTGTACCACGCAAGGCGACATCCTCCCTCACGCACCCCTATTTGTTGACATTTGTGGTCCTGCTTTGTTGTTGTTCCATCGGAAATAATAGCGCAAAGCTCGGTTCAAACGGCAATCCCACACACTCCACATCCACCAAACGCTCGCCATTTCAACACCACCACACACCTGTACCTGTGTACTCTCTCGCCAACCTTCAAGACGGCTCAACCTGTATAGACAGACGACAAAACGCTAAGAGACTATGTCTTCATACTACCACTACAACGCTCAGCAACACCACACCTCGGCGACGGCGCAACCCGTCGGTCACAGTCACCATGGCGGCCGCAACCGCAGGGCGCCCAGGTTATCCGTCTCGCAAAACTCGCACAAGCAGTTTCGGGGTGTGCGTAGCATGAAGGAACTGACAGAGACTGCGTCTCTGACCAACTTCCGCATGAAGTTCGAGGCTGGCCGCTCCTTCGACCTCGAGGACGACATGGAGTTCTGCCCTGGACTGCTGACCGAGAGCGATGTGAGTCTCAATGCGCAGCTGCCCACCGCGAATGGACCTCAGTCATCAACGACAACAACATGGCGGGCTCTGTGCTAGTCAATTGCTGGATGATGTGGCCACGACGGGTCTTGTCTTGCATGCGTGCGTACATTTACTGACATGCTTCTTCTCTCTGCGCAGCTCGTCTCCATCCACAGCGCCTCTTCGGAACGTTCATCCCTAGCCAGCAACTCGCCGGAACACTCTCCCTCCCAACCGGTGCAGGTTGCTCCGGCCTTCTCTCTCAACTCGACCTCTCCCGCCTTCCAGCCTGCCTACCAGGCTCAGCAGTCGACCTTGAAGCTTCACCAGCCCTCTGCCACCCGCGCCCGCAACGCCATCCCCATCATCAACCCCGTCACCGGCATCACCATGTCGAGCCCTCCTCCGCCTTCGCCCGTCTCGAGACTTCAGCCTGGCTTCGGTCGTCGCTGGTAAGTGGTTGACCAGCCCGCTTCTGTAACCAGGGAGACCGGGCTGGGCAGCCACCGCCGTCGTCATCGTTTGCTCGTGGAGCTGCAGGACTGCTGCACACTTTCCTCCAATCCAGCTGTTCATCTTGGGCGGGCGCCAAACTCAACAAGGCAGGCATCGATTATTCTCTCATCCTTCCCCGGCAGGCAGGGTATACTTCAAAAGTCGACTGGCTCTTCGACTTCTCGGCGATCCATGTGCACTGGCACTGGATCCACACCTCCCTGTACAAACACCTTTCTCGACATACACTTCTGCTTGGCGCACGAAAATTCGACATTTTCGACTGGCACGATACGAAGATAATCGATACCTCCTTGCTAATTTGTCCTCTTCATCCCTCCCGACCTCGAAAGATGGGAGCTGTCTCGATTGCGGCGGAACCGGCGTTTGATCGCCGGGATTTTTTGCATCTCCACTACAACAATAATCCTTTTTCTTTTTGCATCGATGTCTCACGACGGGAGTTTTTTGCTTGTTCGGCTTCGTCCATTTTCATACAGAAGCGGCGTCTTCCACATGATAAAATGGTTTCATCATCACGGGTCTACGATTTCGTCACCAAAAAAAAAAAAAGAATCTCCGACATATAGAATGAGTGATGGGTTTATCGTTTTTGGTGCGCGTACCACAAGCGAAGGGGGTCTTGATTATCCTACGGGTGTTTTGATCTTTTGCGGGCTTTTATATGGGACATCAACGGCGGGGGCGGGCAAAGACCATTGCGTGGTTCTCATTTTTATTTGTTGCAAATCTCAGCACAATGCAAAGCAACGGGGCAATCGGGCGGGGAGTTGGCTCATATCCAGGGTTTTGATATCATTTTTTTTCTTGGCTTTTTCTTTTACATATATGCGCAAAGCCAGATCCAGGTCGTTGGGGGGTATGGCGGTTGTTTCTATTCCCCCTTTGTTTTTTCTCACAAGTTGTACCATTGGCAGGCGGTCTTGATATCCTTTACCAGCCCTCTTTTACCTACGTCATGTCTTGGTCCCTTTGAAGGACGTTCTTGTCATAACGGAAATTGCATCTTTTGGGGGCGGGCCTGCGAGGGTTTTGGTCGCCGGGGTTTATCGGGGGCATGGGACACATCTCCCACACACACACACACCCTGGGGATTGCGAACGGAGAGAAAGCATTGTTTTGGGCTGTTTTGGGCAAGCGTGTGTTGGCGAAGCGCAGGAGCGGGTTTATACATATCTTTTTGTGTGTGTTTGAAGACTCATATTTCTTCCGTCCTCCTGCTGCGAAACGGCGCGCGCGGCTTGTGTATGCAAAGATACAAAGAGACAAACCTCCAGTTTTGTCTGGTCCTCTGGAAATAAAAAACTGCGACCGAGATCGCTGCTGCTTTGATCTAATTATCCTGGTTGCGTCCTGTTGCCCCTTTTTCGTGATCGTGACACTGTGTGTGCGACTTTGATACATGAGGCTGGAGATCAGGGGCGAGAATGGCCTAGTTGGACATGATTCGTCTCCTCGACTGTCGAACACCCCCGTTGCTGGTCTCTTTTCGTTTTCAGGAGATGGAGTCCGGGAGGCCATCGCTGACAGATCTGCTTGCCCGCAGTCGGTGAGGTGTTTGCCTCGTTGGGTTTTCCTCGTCAGACAAGCAAGAAACCGAACCCTGAAAGAGGGATTCGACCGTGGACAACCAGTCACCACACTCAGCTAGGATGACTATACTATGAAAGACTTGTAGTGCCAATGTTGTGACTCGACTTGGTACTATTAGTCATAACCATGGTGTACTCGAGTGTGCTGTCGACTGTAGATGGCAATGTGTAGTTTCCTCGGCTGCCTTCCCTTTACTGATTGAAGGAGGTGCAGGTCGAGAGAGGTCGGCACTTGGGCAGTTCGGACCATATCACAAGAACTAACAGTGTCATATGGTAGCATACCGGGGTCGAATTATCCTCTTGCCTAACGTCCTGTGACACTATGGGTTGCACAGGTGAAATAGCTCGGGCGTCTCGGATTTATGTGAGTCGTGGGATCCGATATGTTCGTTCATTCCTCGTGGATGACCTCAGGTGTTCCTCGTATTGTCAAGATGTCCGACGAGGATCACCGAACCATCAGGTCTCCTACGGTCTTGGCTTAGAATTACCAGCAGCTGACCGCGTCGACTCGTTGTTCGTGCGGGTGTTGAGACGAGTCAAGCATGTAGCGTCTTGCTGATGGGGGTTGGCAGCTTGGTACTCCTTGAACGAGCATGCGTGCTCTGACGCTGTCAAGGGGAGGAATTCTGCGTGTGAATTCGAGCCACTTGATATTTCTTTTTTCAGCCTTGACACTGGATTCAAAGGTGCCTGGATCCGAGACGATATATCAGTGGTTTTATATGATTAGAGTAGAGTTAAGAATGAATGCCCTTTGTGTTTTAATTTGGTTGTTAGCTTTGCAATTTGTATTCGACAAACACTACAAGATATTCCTACGTCTTGTAAGAAAGAGATCTTCCTCGAGTGACGAAGTACGTCCAAGAATGGCAACGAATCGAATAAGTTGTCACCATACCTCGTTGGGTCATCCCATCACCACGAGGTCCAACGTATCCGTACATTATTGGTTCAGTTGCGTCGGGGATTGACGGGGAGAAATTGACACGGGCTCAACTATGATCCGGGGTTCGGCCGTTGATCTGGGGGGGGACTCACGGCGGCGCCACCTCCACACGGAAAGGCCGCTTTTTCTTGTCGCGGGCTGGTCTCCCCGGCCGCATTCAACCTCTGCAACAGAGGCACACCCTTTGCCTAATGCAGCACCTGGTGTGAGGTTCCCCCGGGACCACAACTGAGGACCGAACCAGACAGAGAGGTCGATCCCTCAGCTCGAGGCAACGCTGGAGCCAGGTCTTGATTACAATTCCGGAATATGGGATATGTGCAATCCCCGGGGAGTTCCTGAGGGAAGCGGATAAATCAGCCGAATCGAACAAGGAGAAAGTCCGTGTTCCCCAAGATTGAGCACCCAATGAGCCTCGATGGATCATCCTGTCACATCGGCCACCAGTCTCATCCATCCCTCCCCCTCCCCGCAAAAATGAGAAGCCCACCCCGCCGTCTCCCTTGCGAAGGCCTGGGGGAAACCGCTACTACACCCCCGTCGGCAATTGCAGTGTGGGTTTACAAGACTGCACCTAGGAGTGTGATGGAATTGCCGACGGAGCACTGCGGAGCTTTTGTATCGAGCAGACCGGCCTGGAGACGTACGTTCATCGACAAGTATAAGAGGGGGGGGGGGGGGGGGGGGGGGGGGTGCTATCTATATCACGACCTCCCCTTCACCCCCCTCCCTTCTCGAGAAAGGGTTGTCTTGTCTTTCTGTATCATAACTAGCCAAATTATAAACTGCATATTCTTTCTTTTGAAACGAACCGGGTTGTCGGGTCCCTCTTCACAAGAACGTGCTTTGCGCTTCTCACTACCTTTGACCCTTATCGTCACAACCCTCTTCTTTTCCACAACGGTGTCGTTGCCCTGACCTCACTCACCACCATCAAGATGGCCGAGTTCAAGACGTTCAGGGTCAAGGAGTTGCACCCGACCTTCGCCGCCGAGATCGAGGGCGTCAACTGGGACAACCTGACCGAGGAAGGACTCGACGAGATCAAGGCCGCCATGGCCAAGGTACGAACGCCAACGGCTTTTTCCTTTCTTCGCTATATGCTAGATGCTATGCTGGGATTCAGTGATGCTGATGATATATATAAATACACAAAAACACAAAATACATAATGGATGCCAGCTAACCAACCCCCTCTACAGTACGGCGTCTGCGTCTTCCGCAAGACGGGCCTCACCGACGACGCGCACGTCAAGTTCTCGTACCGCCTCGGCGACCTCGACACCATCACGCGCTACCTCGCCGCGGGCCGCAAGCTGCGCTACGACCACGTCGAGCTCTTCGACGCGGGCAACCTCGACCAGGACAACAACATCGTGGCCCCGGACTCGCCGCGGGCGCACCAGAACCGCGGCAACGGCCTCTTCCACGTCGACTCGTCCTTCAACCCGCGCCGCGCGTCCTACTCGCTGCTGCGCGCCGTCGAGATCCCGCCCCCCGAGGCGGGCGGCAACACCGACTTTGCCGACTCGCGCGCCGCCTTCGACGCGCTGCCCGCGGACCTGCGGCGCGAGCTGCTCGAGAAGAACTACGTCGGCGCGCACAGCATGGCCGCCTCGCGCAAGAAGGGCAGCCCGGACTTCTTCCGGGACGTGGACCCCGGCGCGGGCCCCATGAGCTACCACCGCGTCTGCCAGCGGCACGAGCCCTCGGGCCGCATGAACCTGTACGTCGGGGCGCACCTGCACCACATCGAGGGGCTCGGCCGCGGCGAGTCGGACGCGCTGATCGCGCGGCTCAACGAGCACGTCGCGCGCGAGGGGAACCGCGCCAGCGTGGCGTGGACGTCGCCCGGCGACATGGTCATCTGGGACAACCGGTGCGTGCTGCACCGGGCCGGGCCGGGCGACTTTGAGGGCAGGTACAAGCGCGACCTGCGGAGGACGACGGTGCACGACGACAGCCCCACGGCGTGGGGGCTCAACCGCGAGGGCACGGCCATGCCCGGCGGCGGGGCGTGGCAGGCGGCTATGGACAAGGGGCGTGCGAAGCAGGCGGGCGGTGCTGCTGCTTCGTCGGCGCCGGCTATCAAGGCGTGAAACGTCTTGGGGGGGGGGATGCCTTTTTTTCTTGTGTGTCGGGGGGGCTTGCATTGATGCAGCGCAGGATGTGTGTGTGTGGCGGGTTTCAACAACAGCATGCTATATGCTCCTGCGCAGGCTTCTGTATGAGTTGTAGATGTCCAGATATCCCTCGTGTGTGCCCGATAGGTGGTGTTTCCCTTTTCAACAATGGGACTATGCCTCTGTCGGCGGCACGCTGCTGTAAATTGGTCCACGCAAAAAAAAAAAAGGAGACTGTTGTGTCGGAATAGCTAAGCCTTCTTCACCTCCTTGCGCCCTTTCCCTGTCGTTCTGTGTATGTGAGACAATCGCGCGTTGCTGTTCTGTTGTTGTGCCATATGGAGTTCTACTATCCCGATTTCACTTGTCAAGACCCCTCGCCTTGATGAACCGGTTGATCTGCTCCCTCGTGTTCTTGTCGTTGTACTGCTCGTGGCACTCGTAAAAGGCAATGAGCTCCTGCGTGCAGTCGACCATGGCCTCGACGTCGACGTTGCTCTCCGCCAGCCAGATGGCGAAGCGCTGCACCTTACTGCGGCTGTCCTTGGCGCTGCCGTCGCCCGTCGGCGAGCTCAGCGACTGCGACCCCGTGGGCGTGGTCGAGCCCGACCCTCCTCCGTTGCCACCACCACCGCCGCCGCCCAAGATGCCGCCGCCCTGGAGGGCTGCTCTGGCCTGGGCCTGCGCGAGCGCCGCGCTGGCTGCCGAGAGGCCCATGCTGCCTTGGCTGCCGCTGTTGCCGCCTCCCTGGGCCCCGCTGCTGCCGCCGGGAACGCCCGGGCGGAGGACGAGGGCCAGGAGGATGGCCGTGAGGGCGACGGTGTGCGGGGGGTAGAGCAGGGGCAGGTCGGTCATGTAGTGGTCGTTGATGACGGACCAGGCCAGCGAGATCTCGTCCTGGGACAGGGAGAGGTCGCCCTGCAGGGCGCCGAGGGTGCGGTAGGGCGAGTGGATGATGAGGTGGGAGCTCATCTCGGAGATGAGGAAGAACTCGCACTCGCCGAGCTTGGAGGTGTCGAGGCAGTGGAACTCTGGTTGTTGAGAGGCTTGTCAGCTCTTTGCACCACTCAAGGGGGAAGGTAAAAGGTGAATCAGAAAGTCACATACCAGGCCATAACGATCTAGCTTCTCCTATAACCAGTCGAATATGCTGTGGCGTCTCCTCCATCTTACAGGCCAGATACAGTGCCGTGGCCATGAGAAGATATGGATTCGTCCGCCGGATCTCGACCTTGGTGTAGAACCGCTTCATGTAGACCTGGGCCGTGGCCGTTGGCTGCTGCCGGACACCAAGACGTTTGGCGAGCCTGTTGATCTCTAGAGAGGGGGGATTGGAACATGTAAGCAGCCTGCACACAAGCCAAGACAGGTAACGGCACAAGCTCCATTCTGAGAGAAGCAACACTTACGCTGGTTGAACCAGATGTTGAGATGTCTCAGCTGGGGCAGCGGGAACATCTGCACGAGGCTCGGGTCATCGTCCTCGAGTTTCTGGCGCATCGAGGCCAGCTGCGTCTTTGTGAATTGCCAGTGGCGCCGCTGCGTCGAGTCCCAGTAGTTGGCGGCCATGTTGACAGCCTGGGCTCAAGAGCACGTTTGAGCATGACAACCAGGAAAGGGACACTCTTAAGGGGGGTGTCTCGTCGTGCGACTGGGCACCCTGTTCATCTGATGGTGTCGCGTGGGCCTGCGGGCGGTCAGTTGCAGTTATTCTGGGAGTTGCAGTTACTCAGAGCCCGCCCAGCAGCCCCGCCCGCGCTTTAGCCTCGCCTAGCAGCCTGTCTCAGCGCCTCACCCACCCAGCTACCTTAGTTACTCCGTAGAGATTGCAGTGTTGCACCCCCAGTGAGCCTTCTGATTGAATTGAATTAGTGCCGTGGGTAACGTGCCTAATCGGCCACCGCTGATTAGCGGTTCGGATGGCCCAGACGGCATTTCAAGGCTTTCCAGGTTATTGCAATTGACACAAAGGGATGCTACATTAACTAGCAAGGGTGGGGCGTGATTTTTTGGAGCCATATCATCATAGTCCCGAACTCTTGTCCACCTTTTCCCAAGCTCCTCCTCACGTCCCGCTCGGCAGCTCCCGGCCTTTATAGAAAAATCCTCAAAGCTGCGCGCCGCCCACCCCCCAGACTGCCTCGACAGCACCAATTTCCGCAGCTGCCCAAGATCCTCGTCTCTCTACGATGCCGCACTCATAGCGACCGGCTTCTCAATCGACCAGTCACGGCACAGGACGGGACTCGTCGACTCTATTTCGCGCGTTCCCCTTGCGATGATAGGTGACCATGGGGATCACGCAAGTGGTCAAGGGGCTCGAACTGGGGATGGAGGAGTCGCAGAACCAGCGAGATAAGCGGGTAGAGGAGCTGTGGAGGAAGCTCGATCCCCATGCGACCGGAGAGCTCGACCTCAAGGGTTTACAGACCGGACTGAAGAAGATGGATCACCGTGAGCTCAGCCTTGGATCACCTTTTGCAACCTGGCCATGCGTCGCCAGAACACCACTCGCTGACCTGGGGGCACTCTAGCCATGAAAAATGCCGACGACCTGCTCAAGGACATCATCAAGGCTGTCGACACGAATGGCGACGGCAAGATCCAATATGAGGGCGAGTAGAGCCGTGGCTGTGTTAGTGATGGTCCGGACCTCAAGCTAACGCTCTGAGCCCGATTAGAATTCAGGGTGTTTGTTGAGACCGCTGAGAAGCAGCTACTCCTGCTCTTCCGGTCTATAGACACAGACAAGGACGGGCGACTGGACAAGAAAGAGCTGTGCAAAGCTTTCCAGAAGGCCGGTATGACCGTGCCCTCTCGACGACTGAGCGGCTTCTTTGACGAGATCGATATGAACCGTGACGGCTTCATCAGCTTTGATGAGTGGCGGTAAGTCCACCCCGACAACCTGCTCATCTGCTTACTGTCCTTGGTTCACACACACACATTCAATTCCTGTCCCGGTTTCTTCTTTGTGGGCGAGGGACACATTGAAGTCCAACAACATTGTCTTTTAGTCTGCCATAATTGCACTTCAAAGTTTGCATCGCTGATCATCCGAGGTGAAAGTGATTTCCTGCTCTTCACACCCGCCGTCCACGATAGTGACTCGCCCCTGGAGGCTGCACTGTCTTTCTACTCATCCATCGTCACCCTCGGACCGGAGGGTGATTCTATGGTCAGCGAGGAAACCCTTGAAGGTCTAGGTACGACTGGCTTTCTTCTTCAAGCCCTATTTGGTTCCATATTGAAGCTTGCCCAACCTCCCACTCCACCTCCTGAGCAAGTACCTCGACAGACTTCCCCACCGTCGCGGAAGACTTCGAGGTCCGGACCTCAGCCCACTGAATCCTACGCATCCTTCGACCAAGCGCCTGCAGAGGCAGTTTCACAATCAGCAGGAGCCAAGCCAGACATGGCATCTAGGGCCTTTGCGCACAACACCACCGGCCAAGCTGGCAGCTCAGCCGTCGTCGAGGCTGCCGAGAAGGCCATTTCGGGCCTGCGTGCCCACCTCGGCGAGGAACAGAGCCTGGAGGAGCAGGCCTCATCTTCTCATTCCGTCCTCTCCCAAAAGGCATGTGAGACGAAGAAAACCAAACTGACCCAGTACCTGCCTGAACCAGGTTATTTCCTCGCTGGAGCTGTTGCCGGTGGTGTCTCGCGTACTGCAACCGCCCCCCTCGACCGGCTGAAGGTGTATCTGCTGGTCAACACAAAGACTAGCGGCGAGGCCACGGTGAGCGCGGCCAAGTCGGGCAAGCCCATCTCGGCGCTGAAGCGGGCTACCCACCCGATCGGCGAGGCGATAGCCAGCCTCTACAGGTCGGGTGGGCTCCGCACATTCTTTGCGGGTAGGTGGCGCAGTGCAGTACTGTCTGTCCTTGGCAGAGCTTGTTGCAAAATGCTGACAGGCTTGACTAGGCAATGGCTTGAATGTGGTCAAGATCATGCCCGAGACGGCGATCAAAGTGAGTCTCGATGTCCCTCCTGTCATGTTCATTGAGTGAGCTGGATAGGACTAGGGACTGACAACTAGTAGTTTGGTTCATACGAAGCAGCGAAACGGACTCTCGCGACCTTTGAAGGCCACGGAGACTCCACTCAGATCCAATCGACGTCCAAGTTCATCGCCGGAGGCCTGGCTGGTATGACTGCCCAGTTCTGCGTGTATCCTTTGGACACTTTGAAGTTTCGCCTGCAATGCGAGACAGTCGAGGGAGGACTCAGGGGCAATGCGCTCTTGTTGCAGACAGCCAAGAAGATGTACGCTAGCGGCGGCATTCCGGCCTGCTACAGAGGCGTCACCATGGGCCTTATCGGCATGTTCCCGTACAGCGCTATCGACATGGGCACGTTTGAGCTGCTCAAGAAGACTTTAACATCGTACAAGTCTCGATACTACGGCATTCACGAGGAGGATGCCGCCCCGGGCAACTTTGCGACCGGAATCATCGGCGCTACGTCTGGCGCTTTCGGCGCGACCGTGGTCTACCCGCTGAACGTGCTCCGAACCCGACTCCAGACTCAAGGCACGGTCATGCACCCGCCGACCTACACTGGCATATGGGACGTTGCGCACAAGACTATCCGCAACGAGGGAGTCCGTGGACTGTACAAGGGTTTGACGCCCAACATCTTGAAGGTGGCTCCGGCGTTGAGCATCACCTGGATTGTATATGAGAACTCTAAGAGGGTTCTGGGCCTGCACTGAGCGGGCGCCGTTGTTGTGGTGGATATGGCATTTGGGGCTCCCCCCCCCCCCCCCCCCCTATTGTGGCTCAGAATTTAGAGCGAGCAAAGCGGCATCATGATGAAGCATCTACCGGCGTTTGTTTTATAAAGAGAGGGAGATATCTCGACACCCTGACACAGGTTTGTTGTAGAGAAAGGGGGCACATACTCGATTTCTATACGGCGTTTTCAAGGAAAGAGGATATCCGACCAGGGCGATACCAACGGAAGCACGAGGATCCTTTTTGTAGAGCAGGCGGCTTTGTAACTGTAGCTCAAGAACTGCGATGATATATGTTGATTGTCTCGAGAGCAGCTTAATGGAATCCGTTCGACCATGAGAGGGACAGGTCCCGATATTGATGACGTCTCCCCAGGACCTGCACACCTGCACTTATCGCGACGGACACCAAGTGCGCAATCGTCATCCAGCACGCGTTCCACATGCCAGACCTGCAGGTCGTCGCCATGGGACTCGTAATCTCTGGTGCAAGTGTTTCCTGCTAGGTACGCTGCCCACCCCGCTCCATGCAGCAGAGCCTTGTAAGTCAGACCAGCTTCCTAATGTGGTCTAAGTAGCCTCTGTTCTGTGCCGCATGTTCTTTGGGGATCGGCCAGCCCGCCCAATGAACTGAGCCCTCGACCTCCTCCCTGCCGCCCGACTGCCTGGACAAGCTTCGCCATCAGCTCCTCATTCCGGCTGAAATCTTCGATCCGTCGCCTCTCTCTCACACCTGTGTGCTATCGGTGCGATCGCCGGCCGTGCTGACGCGGGGAGGTGACCCCGCAGGTCCATGTCCCATTGCATGATTCTGTGACTCTTGTTGATTGTGCGAGCGAGCCCTATCAGTCAACTTGCCCTTTGAAGGATTGACCGTCGTCCCATCTCCGTTGTGCGGCGACCATCTTTTCTTCTGGATCGTCCTTCCTAAACTTGCAATTGTGATTCCTATCTCTTTTCGTACCGAGCTTCATCATCGTTCCTAACTTTGTTGCCCGTAGTCGTGTACAATTCCTCTAAAGGGCTTGTGTGCTCAATCTAATACCCTTGTCGAGAACCGAGGGAAGAGACGGTGCTGAAACACGCATCCAAAACGCAAACAACTTTCTGATATGCAGATCTGGCGATAGTTTCATCAGCAAGCCCCCCCCGCCAAGACCTATCTTCAAACAAAAAACGAGAGGGGCGTGGTACTTTAAACGCCACGCCATGCCGTACAGCGACAACATGTACTCGTACCCGGCCGACGACGACGACGCCTCGGACGCCGTCGTCGAGCCAGGCACCTACGACAATGACAACGAGGGTCATGACGAGGACACAACCCACCTGTCTCCCACCGATGGGTACTTCCGCGCGTCGTCTGAAACGGCGACGTCTGGTACCTGGGACAGCGAGGCTTACCGGCCCTCGGACCATGTACCGTCGTCTCCCTCGAGGGACGTCGACGCCGGCTTCGCTGGGTACACGCCCCATGTACCCGACGTCTGGGTGCAAGACCCATCCCTGGTACGGCAGCAAGAAGGCGGCGGCTCCTCCACGGCCGCCGATAAGGCCAGGGAGGCGGAGGAGGAGAGATCTGCCAATGCACCGTCAGGAGCTTTAAATAGCTCTACTACCTCAGGGAGCACCCCGGCACGATCTGCTACCGGCTTCTACCACGGACGGCATCAGCACCTACAGCAACAGCTCCCCTCCGCCGCCCGAGATAACCTCGCGCTGGCGTACGACTCTCCTACAGCTACATATAACACGTCACCCCCGAGCAGCCGCTACGCCCCGAGCTCGAGGGCGGACACAGGTGGTCACTCGCAGTACACGCCGTCCACGTCGAGCAGCGGGCGGTTCTATCCCCATCATCACTACCACCACCATCATCATCAGCATAGTAACAGCGGCGCCAGCAGCGTAGGCGCAGGGAGCTCCTCCGGCCGCGCCTTCTCCGAGCGATCTTCTCTGCTCCCGTCCGAGGCGCCGCCGGCTTACACGCCCAGCGCGACGACGACGGCCAGCAACAGCGGCGACCCGCCTACGTCGCCGACGGCACGGGCCGCGGGCAGCACGCACGCATATAGCACATTCCTGAGGTCGCCTGCCATGGGGAGGAGGGACGAGGCGCGCGGCCTGCTGGCCGGCCACCCGCCCGAGAGCATGGGCGGGGACCCCGATGACGTCTCTGGGGGTGACGTGGAGATGGCGTGGAGGGAGAGGGTGCGGAGGCGCGTGCCCTTTGTCAATGGGAGGAACTGCCGTATGGTTGGGCTGGCGCTGGTGTTGCTGCTCATGACGGTCGGGTTCTTGGTTAGTACGATTCAGGGGGTGAGGCATGATAAGGTGAGCCGGGTGTTCCTTTTATTTCAAGAGTCGTCTCGTTCACTTTGTCGTGACTGTTTTTTTTTGTTTTTTTTGTGCCTTCACTTACCCGAGGGACACCACCTCCGGCAAATCAGAAGATGACGACGAATGCTGACTTTGAGAAGCAGACTGTGCCAGGCGTCCCCAACGATAGGGTCACCAGGCCGCCCAGCGACGGCCCGGTGTCCAGTCCAGACGCTCCTCCTTCCGGGAACTACCCGGCCTTCGACGGCGGGCTGGACCTCTTCAAGAGCTGCACGGCGGCCAAATACGAATACCCGCTGAAGCAGTTCGGCGTCGACTTCTCGTCCACGCGGGACCTGAGGATCGAGCAAAAGATCGACGAGACCGACGACCACGGCACCCGGACGCGCTACATCCGGACGAGCGGCGACGTGGTGTTCCGCAGGACCACGACGGCCAGCAGCGACCCGTCCATCACGCTCGAGATGGTGTCGAGCAGCGACGCCATCGTGGTGGGGATCGACTACTCGGAGGACCGGCAGGCGCTCGTCATCACGACGCCGCGCGCCGTCGCCTGGGACGACACGGACCGCGAGTGGCCCTGCCTCAACGTCCGGGTCACGGTCTGGGTGCCCGGGGACGGCGGCGGCAGCAGCCTCAACAGGCTCCAGGTCGACGTGGTGCACCTGGGCGTCAAGCTGCTGGACAACCTCGCGCTGCGGGTCGGCGACTACACGCGCCTGGGGACCACGGTGGGGCCCGTGGCGGCGGCCGTGTCGGGCTCGGAGGACGAGGAGCGGCTCGCGCGCAGCGGGCCGCCGGCGTCCTTCGCGTTCGACTCGCGCTTCATCGAGGTCAAGACCACGTCGGCGCGCATCTACGGCTCCTGGCCGCTGTACGACTACCTCGTGCTCGAGAGCATGTCGGGCAACGTCCGGGCCGGGGTCGTGCCGAAGCCGGCGCTCGCGGAGAGGCCGCTGCCGGCCAAGCTGCGCGTCAAGACCGTCTCGGGCAACGCCGAGGTCTGGGAGCCCGTGGGCCGCGCGGCCGAGGTCCTGGCGGAGCGGCGGCGGCAGGAGCGCAGCGGGCGCATGGTCGCGGTGGACGCGAGGCCCGAGGACGTGATCCCGCCGCGGGACTACGCGGTCGAGGTCAGCTCGACGTCGGGGGACATGTCGGGCGCGCTGGCGTTTGGCGGCGCGGGCGGCGCGGGCGGCGCGACGTTCCACTCGACCTCGGGCAAGCTGAGCGTGGACCTGCTGCCCGTGCTCCCCGCCGCGCTGGCCCAGCAGCAGCTGCGGGGCCAGCGCAAGCAGGTCGGGCTCGAGACGTCGACGACGAGCGGCAACGCGGCGGTGCGGGTGCTGGAGCCGCTGTGGACGGGCGAGGATGGCGACGGCAACGCGGCGTTTGTGCCCGGGCCGGTGCCCATCGGCGACCGGGATCCCTACGATGTCCTCCGGCCGGAGGAGGAGGAGGAGGAGGCGGCTGCGGCCAAGGCGGCGCTGCGCGTGCTGCAGGCGCGGCACACGAGCACGTCGGCCAACCTGGTGGTGCGGTACCCCAAGTCGTGGGAGGGGTGGATCACGGGCCAGTCGATGAGCGGGACGATCACGCTGCGCGGGGAGGGGATCACGGTGGTGCGGGAGGGCAAGGACTGGCCCGGGGTGTACAAGAAGGTGGTGGCGCGCAAGGGGAGCGTGGGCGAGGGCGAGGCCTCGTCCGTGGAGGTCAAGAGCACGAGTGGGGATTTGACTGTTGCGATTGGGACGGAGTGATGCTGACACTGATGAGAGGAGAGGAGGAGAGCAACACGCATTCATTCATTCGTTCATTCGTTCATCTGGGAGGGAGGAGTTCTTGTGGAGTTTTTACGTCGTTTTGTGGGTTGGATGGATGGACAATCATTGAGCAATCATCGAGGGGGTTTGGTTGACTTGTGCTCTGGTGTTTTGCTTCTTTTTTCGTAGGCAACAGAGATACACACACACACACATCTGGGTAGCAATACTCTTTTTTCGAGAGAACACATTGGTAGTTATTTGAAGATATCACTAGATGATGAAAGGGCTGATCATGGTGTCTGGCTAATGCCGCTGATCTTGTGTGTTCTCGTTCTAGCGCTGTACCAGACGAGAGAGTCCAGGTGAGAGACAGCCATCCACACACCAACAATGACATGATGCAGGGCTCTCTTCCCTGGCACACACTACAGCAGCAGGAGGAGCAAAAGGCGGGGAAAGCTACGGGGGTGTGGCTGTCTTCGACGCTCTGCATCATGCCTCTGCCATGTGCTCTTCTAGCCTGATCCTTGTCTCGCTCTGCCCGCTAGGCCCGTGTCTGAGCCCAGTTCACGCCAGTCTACAATAGTCTGGCCTGGCCAGCCTGGAACTGTGCGCCGCTTTTCCGTTGAGGTACTTGTAGTTACCTTGAGAATGGGGGACGCACTGGGGCGAAGAATGCAGTGTCAGACCGCCGCCAACTTGGCTGTCCTCTTTGAGAGAGAGAGAGGGAGAGAGAGAGAGAGAGAGAGAGTGCTTCACTTCTTCCACCCCCTCTTCCTCTTCTGCTCTCTCGATTGTGTGGTGTGCGTGACTTGTGACTTGGTATTTTACCGTTTCTTGTCTCTCGGAACTTGGCAGGGGACAGGTGAAAAAGATGCCCCTCGCTAATGAAGCTTGGCTAGGATTCTGGGAGGGAGCCAAGAAGCTTGCACACTGGTGCTTGGCTGGTCGCCAGACTTGCCCAACAAAGCTGTGTCTGTTGGTTCGGGTTGGCCGTGGAGAGAGAGAGAGAGAGAAGGTCTAGGAACTGGGAATCGTGCAGTCCGTTGGCTGTCTCCATCAAAGATAACTAACACTCCCTGCCATCCAATGCGCTCGCTCTCTGCTCGTGTGAACCCTGGATGGCATCGTGAACTTGTACAAGAACAATAAGATTAAGATTAAGAAAGAAGACCCTGCAGCGATTGTGATTGCTTGCATACCCTCCCGTGCTCCCCTGGGTTATAACACCCCGAGTCTGATTTGCCCGCACAGTCTCTTATGATCTCTGGCGGCTGCGTGTGGTGCGCGTGGCGTGGTCCATGCTTTGTGGGGTTGGCTATTAGTGGTGTTGTAGGGGCTGTCAGTACCTAGTTACCTACCTACTTCCAGTACTGATCCGTCCAGCTGGGGGAGCTGGTTCCCTTGGCCTCCATTGGGACCATCGAGGCGGCGGAGGATTGCCTAGATGGACGGGGGTTTAGAGCGCATCCCCGGCCTTTACACTTGAAGAGGCGGCCTCGACCTTCCTTGACCTGGCCCTCGATCCATTACTTCTCTCCGGTCTGCGCTTGTCAAGGTGCCCTTCTACTTTAATACCCGAGCCAAGCATCCTCTCGGTTCCCCGGACCCCGACACTCTTGCCGTTCCCTTGGCGAACCATCCCATCCATCCACTTGTCGCTTACCACTCTCGCTCCTCTATCCTCCCTCCCGCCAGACAGACACGGATACCAGCTTGATTGCCACGATTCTGCTGTGCGCACCACCGCCCTCCTGCGCATGACCGTCCTGCCCAGCTCTCGCCAGCTATGGCCAAGAAGGCGCGTCAAAGAATAAGCTACGGTTCGTCTCTTCCCTCTCCCGCTGCCCTTGGCTTGCACCCGGGGAAACCCCGCAACAGCGCAGCAGCCTTTCTGCAGGCGTGTGACCAGCCCCGAGTGCGACTTTCTCGGCGGCGGTGCTGTCTGAAAGGAAAAGACAAGGCGTCCCTGCAGTGGTGTCATGTATCCTGTCTACCCATATGCATTGCAGCTTGCTAATGTCGTGCCTGTGTGCGTGCAGTGCTCCCGCTTGTCGGAAACCAATCGGGCGGACACAGGCTCGGTGTCAATGGTCTCGCCATCGACCGCGACAATGCCATTCTGTAAGCTACACTACTCAATTGCCTTGCCGGTCTCGCTCCTGGCTGTCTGGTTTGCGGTAATTGCGGGAGAGCAGACAACTAATAGCCGGCTTGTGCGACAGGTACTCCGGAGGCCGCGACGGCGTCGTATGCGCCTGGGACCTGAACCTCGACCTCAAGAACCCCGAATCCCAGGCCGCTGCTTCCAATGCCACGGCCAACGGCGCGGCGGCCAAATCCAAGTCCACAACCACCTTTCGAGCCCAGACCCAGGCGCACACGCACTGGATCAACGACCTCGCCCTCGCCCAGAACCACACGGCCCTCATCTCCGCCTCGTCGGACCTGACAGTCAAGGTCTGGCGCCCCCACGGCAATGCTCGTGCCGAGCCCGTCACCATCGGGCAGCACGCCGACTATGTCAAGTCGGTCGTCGCCCCGGACCAGCAGTCGGACTGGGTGGCCTCGGGCGGCCTCGACCGCAAGATCTACCTGTGGGACCTCAACGGCAAGGGCGAGAAGCTGCATATCGACGTCAGCGGCGAGGAGATCACGGAGAAGGGATCCGTCTACGCCTTGGCCGCCACGCACAACATGCTGGCCAGCGGCGGGCCCGAGTCGGTCGTGCGCCTCTGGGACCCCCGCACCGGCAAGAACATCACCAAGTTCGTCGGCCACACCGACAACGTCCGCGCCATCCTCGTCAACGAGCCCGGCGACATGATCCTGACGGCCAGCTCCGACCAGACGGTCAAGGTCTGGAGCGTCACCGCCGGCCGGTGCATGCACACCCTGACCATGCACAACGACAGCGTCTGGACCCTCTTCTCCGACCAGCCCGACCTGGGCATCTTCTACAGCGGCGACCGCTCCGGCCTCGTCGTCAAGACGGACGTGCGCGGCACCCTCGACGAGATGGACGACGGCATCTCGCTGGCCGTCGCCCAGGAGCAGGAGAGCGTCAGCAAGGTGGTCGCCTGCGGCGGCCACATCTGGACCACCACCTCGAGCTCGTCGATCAACCGGTGGGAGGACGTCGACACGGGCGCCGACATCGCCCTGCCCGAGGCGCTCAGGCAGCACCGCGCATCCATCTCGACGCAGGTCAGCGCGTCGCGGCCGAGGGAAGCATCGCCTCCGGCGGCGGCGGCGGCGGCGGCTAACGGAGCTCCGGCCAAGAAGGAGATCCCCGCCAAGGCTGTCCTGCGCATCTCCAACACGGCCCGCTTCCCGGCGCCGCTGTTGGCCTCCGAGGCGAGCGTTGTCGCTGGTTCGGGCATCACCCGGAAGGGCTCCGAGGTCTTGCAGGACGCCTCCTCGAGCGAGATCGTGCCGATTCACCATCTCCCCGAGGAGACGATCGAGGGCCAGTTCGGTCTGGTCAAGCACAGGCTGTTGAACGACAGGCGGCGTGTTCTCACCTTGGATACGGCTGGTGAGGTGTTGCTGTGGGATTTGATACAGGTACGGTGTTCCCCCTCCTACGACGTGGCTATTGTGTGTGAATCTGGCTGACCCGTGTCTTCGTAGTGTAAACCAATCCAGAACTTTGGCAAGAAGCATCTCGAGGACGTCGAGCCCGAAGTCAACACTCTGGAGGCCGTTGCGCCCTGGTGCTCTGTCGACACGAGCTCTGGCAGCTTGACGGTTGTGCTTGAGCCCTATAATTGCTTCGACGCCGAGATGTATGCCGACGAGCTTGTTTTGGACGAACCTGTAGAATTTAGAGAGGACCAGAGAAGTATGCCTCCCCCTGGTTTATTTCTTCTTCCTGCGTGCTTTTCCGATCCATCTTGACTGACAATCTGCAGTAAACCTCGGGAAATGGATCTTGCGATATCTCTTCGCGAAGCTGATTGACGAGGAGATCAAGCGGGACGAGGCGCACAGGGCCAAGATCAACGAGGGCGTCGAGGCGCGGATAGCAGCTGCCGCTGCGAACCCCCCTCCGCCGATAACCATACCGCCGCCCAACATGGACGGCTGGGACCAAGGGGATGGGTCGGCGACCACCCCGCGAGCCAACGGTGCATCGTATCCACCGACAACTCCGGGCATGGGCATCGGTGTGGTGACGCCAGGCGCGCCGCCACCCGGCACGCCCGGCACGCCCCTGGAGAGGAGGCAATCCCATCTCAGCCGGCCCTCTACCGACAAGGACGACTACTTCTCGTCAAACGCCATCTCCTCGGCGGAGCAGGCCAAGCCCGCCGTCACCCCGGCCGAGACGGCTGCCTCGACCGACAAGGAGGGCAAGACGTCCATGGAGAACGGCAAGGACAAGGAGAAAGAAAAGGAGAAGGAGAAGGAAAAGGACAACGGCAAGACGGCGAGCACGCCCTTTGGCAAGAAGTTCCGCATGGGCATGGGCATGTCCTTTGGCTCCAAGAAGCTCGGCCGGTCGGCTTCGTCGACGGCGCCCGAGAAGCCGGCCGTCGTGGACGAGAAGACGGAGGAGCGGTCCGAGTCGTCGTCGAACCACGAGAAGGAGGTCGACGACTCCTTCCTGGGCACCATCCAGAAGATCCACAACGAGTACGACAAGCTGGTCCTCGAGGCGCCCGACAAGCCCGTCGAGACGCGCGTGGTGCCCAGCCTCGCCAGCGAGACGCCCGTGCTCAAGCTGCCGCCGGCCACCAAGGTCATCATCCAGGAGGAGACGTCGGGAGGCAGCGCCGAGCTGTACCGCGGCACCGTCGAGACGGTGGGGCTCGACGCCGACGTCATCGAGCACAAGGGCCCCATGTGGCTCGGCGAGGTGCTGCTGACCAACAGCGTGCCGCCCAAGGAGCCCGTCAAGGTCTCGTTCATCCTGCACCCCTGGCAGGACGCGCTGCCGAGCCTGTCGGTCACGGACGGCAACAACCGGCTCAACGCCAACCGCATGCTGCGGGTCAAGAAGATCCTGTCGTACATCGCCGAGAGGATCGAGCCTGCGCCGCCCGCCGGCGGCGGCGGCGATGACCCGGACGCGCTCAAGCCCGAGGAGTATCTGGAGCTGTACTGCAACGAGCAGGTGAGTTTTGTGTTATATATAAAAGTTTCCGGCTTTTCTTCGAAACCCACCGCACCACCGTTGGGGGTTTTTTTTTTTGGTAAAGGAGTGTTGCTAACACATGTCGTTTCTCCCTTAGTTGCTGCCGATCACGATGAGCCTGGCCACGCTCCGGGCGCACGTGTGGAAGGGAGGTAATGATATTGTATTGTATTACAAGGCCAACGGCCGGAAGGAGATCCCCAACCCTCCCCCACCCATCGAGCCTGCGGTCCCCGAGGAGCCCGAGCAGGAGGCCGAGGCCGAGGCTGAGGCAGCGGCAGCGGCGGCATCATCAGCCCCGCCCGCCCAGGCTGCGGCACCCGTGACTGCTTGATTCAGGGGCGGTGTGCGGTGCGGCCCGCCCCCCTGTCCTGAGTCTAATATAAATTTCTCTCTCTCTCTGTGTCCTCCGCCTGTCTATACCGTTGAAGGTCTTCTATCTAGTAGTGTACATAACCAAAAAAGTGTTTGATGGCCCCGGGCTTGTGAGAAGCCTGTGGGTTTAATATACATGGCGGAATGCATCGTACATGGAACAAGAGAGCTCAGCTCCGCGTGGCTAGCTCTCCCGAGATGTGTGTCAGCTCTATGCGACACTACTCTCCCTCATGCTGCCGACATTGGTTGGCTTGCTCGCCCTCGTGATATGGGCGAGATGTTCCGGTTATCCTTTATTGTCTCGTGCATGGCATGCATGGCATGCATGCATCATATCCCACTCCGCCCCTGGAGCGTGTTGACAGCCCACTGGTAGCTGCCGAGGAAGATGGCGCCGCCGGCGCTGATCCACATGACCCGCGGCCCGATGCCCGCGAAGAAGGGCCGCACGCCGTGCTCGCGCAAAATGTCCCTGACGACCGACGCGGCGCTGCGCTTCTCGGCGCTCAGCATGACGCGCGTCTTGAGCACGTCGAGCGGCGTCGTCAGCCCCGCCGCGACGCCGCCCGACACGCTGCCGTACAGGGCGCTCTCGGCGGCGCCCACGTCGCCCCCCCCTCCCTTCTGCCCGTGCGGCCCTTGTTGCTGCCGGCGGCGGCGGCGGCCCCAGGCCTTGAGCCCCTCCCAGAGCGGGAACTGGATCACGGTGAAGGGCACCTCGCGCACGACGGTGATGCCCCACCCGCGGTACAGCTCGCGGAACATGCCGGCGAGCCCCAGGGCGTGGCGGGATTGTAAGATGGAGGTCAGGGCCGCGGCGGAGGAGGGGAACTGGCCCGCCTGCGCGCGCTGCTTTACGACTTCCGTGGGCACGCGGACGGCGCAGGCGGCGACTTCGCCCAGGGAGGCGGCGAGCATGTGCGTGCCCGGGCCGGCGGAGGAGGTGCCGGAGGAGATGTTGGAGGAGCTGGAGGACAGGACGGACTTTGTGGCCTCGTAGGTGCAGAAGAAGAAGGCCGCTCCCGGGGCGGAGCCGACGAGCGCGGAGCCGACGCCGCGGTAGATGCCGCGGAAGCCGCCCGTCGCGAAGAACCCGGCCGACGACTGCAGGCGGGTCTTGAGGGTGTCCAGCGGGAAGAGGGTCATGTCGACGGTCGTGCCGGCGAGACCGCCTGCTAGCAGGGCGGTCGCGAAGGAGGGGTTCGCTGGGACGGTGGAGGAGGACATCGCAGGCGGTTGGAGAGGGAGGACTGACCGAGGTGGGAGGTTGAGCGAGGAGAGAGGTCTGTCGCTGAGATGCGGGAGGTCCAATTGGTAATGAGCGTGGTCGTATTTGTGTCACCTGCGAGGATGCCGAGCTGCCATTGTCGAGCTGTGGACTTGGGCTGGGTTGGGCTGAGGTTGAAGGAGTGTAGAGAGAGAGAGAGCTTTGCAGTCGAGTCGTAGATGCGGTTGTCTCCGAGCTCGGATTGCGGCCGAGGTGAAGTCATTTCTGGGTTCTTTTTTTTTCTTTCTTAGCGCTCTTGTCCAGGGGTCTTGCCGCTAAATTTTGCCCCACCAAATTGGGAGCTTGGTCTGACCTCACACCCTCATTGCGGCGATCATTGACATCTGAAGCTCTCATTTCATTCCCCGCCATTTCATTTCATTTTGCCTTTATGCTGTGAAGGGCCGACTGCCTTTCAGGACTGTACATCTTTGGTGGAGATGTACCGCATAGCATGAGCACTCTACCGCAGGTGCTTCATACGGCCGCCCGGCCCATTGGACGCCATGAGTTTCTCGACGCGCTGCGGGCGACCTGCCCACCGCGGATGCCTCATGCCCGCGGGTCGATGCATAGGCCGGTCGGTGAGTACATAGACAACGTCTCTTTGAAAAGAAAAAAAAAAAACACTGTCTGAGTGCTGACACGACCAACAGCCCTGGCCATCAGCGGCGGAGTGGACTCAATGGCCCTCGCCTTTCTCTGCGCCCGCGCCCGCCGAGATGACCCCTGGCTCAAGATAGCGGACCACCCCGTGCACAGCTTCCACGCTCTCGTCATAGACCACAGGCTACGAGAGGGCAGCTCCCAGGAGGCGCGCGCCGTGGCCAGGGCGCTCGAGCGGGTAGGCGCCCGGCCCCAGGTCATCCCGCTGAACTGGGCCAGCGAGCTGGGCCGGGACGCCGACCCCACGGCCCTGCCCAACCTGGAGAGCGTGGCCCGCCGCATGCGCTACCAGGCGCTCGGCAAGAGGGCGGCCCTCAACAGGTACGCCTCGATGCTGTTCGCGCACCACGAGGACGACCAGTACGAGACGGTCATGATGCGCCTGCTGGCCGGGCACGGCAGCAGGGGGCTTCGGGGCATCCGTGCGGCGAACGACATCCCCGAGTGCCAGGGGATCCACGGCGCGGACAGGAGCGGCTTCATCGACGACCAGAGGCTGAAACATCCCTACTTCAATCTCCTCCCCTCGCGAGCCGAGAGGAGACACATGCGCCGCGCGCTGCGAAACGACATTGACCCGTCCGAGTTTATGAGGGACCTGGCGGCTGGTCTATACTCCGACACGATCGATCCTTTCTCCCTCGACGACGGCCTGTTTGACGTCCGAGGCAAGTCTAGGAAGGCGCCGCCCCTGGTGCCGCTTGATATCGAAGACCTTGGCGTCATGATTTATCGACCGCTGCTCGAGTTCGCGAAGGACCGCTTAGTCGCGACGTGCGAACAGAACAACGTCCCGTGGTTCGAGGACCATACGAACCAAGACCCGACACTGACGACGCGGAATGCCCTGCGGTATATCGCTCGGCACCACAAGCTGCCTGCCGCTCTGCAGAAGCCGGCCATCTTGCAGCTGGCGAGACGATGCGACCAGCGAGCCAGGATGGAGGAGGCAGAAGCGCAGAGACTTCTGGATCAGACAGTCGTGCGCGACTTCCAGACAAACGTAGGGACCGTCGTTATCAGACTTCCTACCCTACGACCGCGCGCGCGACGGAAGCATTCTATCTACTCTGAGGCCTCGTATGCCAAAAGCACGGAGCACTACCGGACTATTGCTGCCATCTTGGTGCAAAGATTATTAGGTATCGTCACACCCGAAACGCAGGTCACACCTGCTACTGGTTTGCAGAATGTTGTGTCGAGGTTGTTTCCCTCTCTGAGCGAGCGTGGAGGAACCCCTGCGGACCAAGAGGTCCCCAAGGCGTTCACTATCTGCGGCGTGCAGTTCACACCCGTTCACAACAGGGCAGACGGGGGTGCTCTGTACTGGTATCTCTCCCGCGAGCCGCACGTATCGCCAGCGCACTCACCGCTGCCGACATGCGTCATCCCGGCCCTGAAATTCAGGATGCGGTGGCGCCGCCGACCCGAGGAGTGGATCTGGCCGCGCTGGAGCCACTGGCACCTCTACGACGGCCGCTTCTGGATCCGCCTGTCGCACCGGTTCCCCTTCGAGGTGCGCGTGGCGCCCTTCGACAAGTCCCACGCCAAGGGGTTCCGGGAGTCGCTGCTCGACGCCACGGCGCGGGACGCCCTCGCGGCGCAGCTCAAGAAGTACGCCCCCGGCAAGGTGCGCTACACGCTGCCCGCGCTCTACACGGTCGACGACATCGACTGGGCGCTGTCGGGCAAGCAGTACTGGCTCAAGCACAGCGAGCGGCCGCTGGAGCCCCTCCCGCCGCCGGGCGACGATGAGGAGCCTGACAGCCACGATAAGGACGCCGGCGGCAGGTCGCTCGCGGCGGAGACGCCGGAGCAGGAGGAGGAGAGGAAGAGGCAGTGGCGCTGGGAGTTTGACCGGCGCGGCGCGGCGCGGCAGTACCGCCTGCTGGCGCTGCCGACGCTCGGGGTCAGGCTGCCGGGCACGGAGCACTGGATCCAGTGGGAGGTGCGGTACCGGCGCGTCGACGGCCGGCTCTTGGCCGGCGGCAGCGGCCGGGGCAGGCCTCGGGTCTTTAGCAGGGCGGGGCGGCGGCGACATGGGCTGCCGCCGAGGAAGGAGGACAGAGATGAGGCTGTCGGGATGCATAATATGCAGGGTCCTGTGCCTCACCGGCGGAGGAGATGGGAGGGTTGATGATGATGATGATGGAGCGATTGTATTTGTAAATTACTTGTACCCAGAGATATCCACTACAGTTTTGATCTACAGTACTTTTCTGTGCATGCTTCCACAACGCGGGGGCGAATGAACCATGATAGAACCATGATAACTGAACATTTCAGTCTCATATGGGGAGTGTTATGGTGTCTTAAATCAAGTATCTGGCTCAGGTGTCGTGATCAATGAGAAGGTTAAACTTGAGCTCGGACCCACCAACAACCACATCTCCGACGTGAACCTCGTGTTGACATCGGCCACTTAGTTGAGCCAGTCCAATGTGGGACGGGCTTGATCATTACACTTACTTTCAGACTCCCTAGGCATACCTTCATGAATGCGCTCGGGTTCCTAAACCGGCCCATCGCCGGCTCGATCTGGGCGACGCGGGCGCTGCTCATCGCCAGCCTGCTCGTCTTCATCCCGTTCATCGTCCAGGCGCAGACGAGGGAGATGCTCTCCGACTTTGCGACCTCCGTCACCGCAGCGCTGTTCCTCAGAACGGGCGCCGATGCATCTCCTGCCGCTCCGGGTAGTACCGATGGGGCCGCCGCCCTGCGGCGGTGGTACCCGCCGCGCCAGACCCGGCTCAACAACCTGACCAACGTGGTCGGCGACTCGGGCGTGTACGGCTTCATCTTCGACTCGTCGGCCACGCCCGACGACCAGTACGGCAGGTACAACTGGTGCAACATGCCGCACGTCCGGCGGCGGGAGTACGTCGTGCCGGGCGAGGAGTACGAGCTGCGGTACGTCGAGCTTGTAAGTCTTATGCGCCCTCCCTGCCGTGTCATCAACCTCAAAAGTGAGCTACCTGCCTGACCCTGACACCGTTTCCAAGATCCACCGCCACCACAAGCGCACGCCCTACGCCTCAAACGCCTTCCCCGTAGAACCCTACCCCTGGGACTGCGACGACCAAGGCCTATTCTACTACGCCCGGCCGCAGTCGCCCACGGCCCACGGCGGCGACGCCGATGCGGCGGGTACGTACTGGCGCGGGTACGCCTCGCCCGCCAACCCCTTCGCGCCGAGGGGGTGGCGGGGCACGTGCCGGTTCCCGCAGATCACGGCCGAGGGGCTGGACGACGCCTGGGTCCACGGGGACGACCTGTACGGCGTGTACGGCGACCTGCTCGGCTTCCTGCCGTCCCGCGAGGAGGAAAACGCGTGGAGAGACAGCGTGGCGTACCGGGTGACCAACAACGTCATCACCAGCCACGTCGCCGGCGTGGTCGTGCACGGCATGTGGCGGACCACCGGCGACGTGCCGCTCGCCGTGCAGGCCGGGCAGGTGGACAGCCTCGAGCCGCGGTACGCCTGCGGTGCTGCGGACAAGGCGATGAAGAAGATCAGGAAGGGCAGGGCGTGGAGGGCGCACCTCCGCGCCGCGAGGCCGTTGTTTAAAAGGCTGGACGCGGTCTCTGGCGTGGAGGGGCGCGACGAGGGGTTCCACGAGTCGCTGGATCATTACTATGATAATCTGTCTGCCCGGCAGTGCCATGGGAAGCCGTTGCCTTGTTCTTCTCCGGGTGGTGGTGGCGGGGGCGGGAAGGAGCAGGGGGTGTGCGTGACGCAGGAGATGGCGGATGAGGCGTACAGGTTCGGGCAGTGGGAGTACAGCAGGCTGTATCGCGACGACGAGAAGTCGCTGGCGGCGAGCGTGGGAGCCTGGGGTGTCTGGGTGGCCGAGCTGGCTGCGCATCTGAGGGATGCTATGCGTGAGGACGGTGGCGCCGATGCTGGGAAGAAGAGGACGCTGTGGTATCACAATATCGCGCACGACGGGAGCGTGAGCAGGCTTCTGTCCATCCTGCAGGTGGACGAGATGGTCTGGCCTGGCATGGGTGCCGAGGTCGTCTTTGAGCTGTGGAGGAAGATGAATACTAGTGGAGCCCAGCCTGGCGAGGGCAAGGCCAGTGCAAGCGGTTTCTACATCAGGGTGCTGTTTGGCGGCCAGGTACTCCAGTCCTCGAGCCCTGTACTGGGCACCATGGACATGCTGCCCATCGAGACATTGCTAGAATATGTTGACGGGCTGGTAGGCGTAGATGCGAGCTTGATCTTGGGCAAGTGCAATGGCTCGATTCCTCTGTAACGCCTTGATATACAACAGGAGGATAGATATATGACGCAGTGCAATGCTAACTGGTACAAAGGCAAGAAAACAACCATGAGTGCCATAGATATGTCTTCCGAAGAAGTATCCTCGTTCGCGAGTTACAGGCCTGAACTCTCTCGTGCCGACTTTCTCAACATCATCTCAAAGTCGTCCCATCGCCCTTTGCGCATGGGGTCCAGTTTCTGCAACCTCTGCAGCCACTCCCAGTACTCGTCCAATTCGTCTGGCTGGGGCATCAGCCCCGTCAGGTTCCAGAGATCTACGCTGTACTCAAGAAGCGCATCGTAGAGCCATTTGATATCGTCATAATCTTCGAGGAGATCTTTGATAAAGTCGATCTCACGACACACGTATTCTTCCCTCTCACTTTCCGAGAGATTCGGTGTGATTGTGGGCCGTCCGGTGTAGTCTGTTATCTCCCGCATGAGAAAGCCGTGGTAGAACCAGAGCGATTGATCCTCTGGCCCAACGTTCAAAGCTTCTCTCACTAGGTTGAGCTCTGCAACGCATTGTCAGCAACATGCACATATGGAGAACCAACTTCGATATCATCAGTGAATATTGGCATACCGGTTTCAAGGAAGTCCTTGCGAGCTGCAGCATCCGCTCCCCGCTCATCCAGGAGTCGGGGAATGAGCTTGCTCCGATTATGCCAGGCAGAGAAATTGGACAGGTCAACTCCAATCATCTTGTAGGTATACTCAAACTCGGGCTCCACCATGCTCTTGCCATCGAGCTCCGCGCTCTCGAGCTTGGCGACGACCTTGCGCCGATAGCCCCAGGCATGAAAGTTGCGCTTGTCCTTGGTCAGCATCTTGGAGGCGAGTCCCAGCTCTTCCTCCCAGACCCGCCTAGCCATTTGCACATCCAGGCGCTCTATCGTCTCCTGCAGGAGCCAGAGGCGGTACTTCCATATCCAATAGCACTTGGGCGATTCGAGCAGCAGGGGTATCGTAAAGCCGAGTTCTGACCTCAGCACGTCTGCATCGTTCTGCTGATCCACCGCTCTCCTGCTCTCGTCATCTGCTGCAGAACTGGTGTCTACATCAGCTGTAGTACCAGTCCGCCCAGTTGTCTGGGGGTTCGGGCCGGGCGGGGTCGCGGTCGATGAAGAGGAAGATAAGGCGGCGGAAGAGGGTGTGGTAGTGGCGGTCGGAGAAGAAGTCGGCGACGCCCTCGAGGGCGAGGACCCAGCCGATGGTTTTGATAATAATCCAGAGATTAGCGAACGCCTGCGGACGTTCCATATCGTGTAATACTCGGGGTTGAGGCGCAGGAGCTTCGAGGTCAGCTGAAAGAGCTCGGGTCCCAGATTTCCCTGCGCGACCTGGTGGACCGTTTGCGCTGTTTGTTAGCGGACGGCAAGATGCATGATGCGCGCATGTATCGAGAACCGACATACGTTTGTGCGCACTTGGTCCTCGAGGTCGCGGTACTTTTTGATCCTCTCCAAGTCTTCTAATCGTTGTTCCTCAGTGCGCTTTCGAATAGCCCGGGCGACGCCGTGCTGTGCAGACACGAGACAGTTAGCCACGTTCGCCCTTGCGATTCATGATTGCCACAGATGAGAATGGAATCCAGAGTTTTACATACACTCGCCATATCGATATCACAACAGAGGGGGATGTGAGTGCCAAGAAGGTCAAGGTCCGAAGGAAGAGATCAACCCCCCGCGACATGCAACTATGGTCAAACTGGGGAACAGCTCCGGTCGGGACATGCACAACCTGGAAGTCTTATCTAATCGTTGCTCTGGGAGCTCCCCCCCCGCTAGAATGAAACGCTAATGCGCACGGGGCTTAGTGGAGATGGCTTGACATTCGGAGCTGGGAGCTCCTCCACTACTTCCCCGAAATAGCTGAGCCTCATCTTGACTTCTCTCCTACCATCACGCTGAAGCATATTGCACAAAAAGAAAAGAACACGGTAACAGTCTTGATCTCATCGAGCCAATGACTTGAAGAGATATTCAAGAAAATTCCTCAAGTCATCGCTTTTCTCTGAAGGGATTGCTAAGAGTCCTACCAGACCCCAAGGCTCCCTGCTGCACTCATCCCTTCCATGTCTTTTCTCTATCCAGATAGATGATGCTGGAAGCAAAAGTCGCATCAATGGCCTAGTGGTCGTTTAGGGAGTGATAATTCTATTCGTACATGTCGTGAATAATCCATTCTTCGTCCTTTTACCAAGGTAGGGTAGTACTACCTGACCTTGAATAGCTAGGTACCTAGCCCTCAGAGTCACAGGGCCATGGTCATCTGGGCATCTACCCTTCGCCCTTGCCTCCTTCTCCTGCTCAAGTTCAAGAGCTATTGTGTTTGCTATTGCAATTCAGGCAGACCTTCCATCCTTTCTTTCCCTCTCTTCCATGTTCCAGATCGGCCTATTGACACCTTATTCTCACTTTTGTCTCGCCGTCCATCTCTGACTCTCCCTCTCCTATTGCTCACCCGCCGGTATCTCTTATTGTCAGTCCAGCATCTCCATTCAGGTACAACTATTGTCGACAGCCAGATGAAGGGATCGCTGCCGCAACTTCTCGTCGGAAATTCTATATAAGGAGGACTTGTCCCCGCCCCTTATCCCCTCCGACTCTTCTCTTCCCCATCAGTCAAGACATTCCTTCACCTTCTGACCGGTTGAGCCAAGTCGCCAACATCCAAGACAACCACAACGATTAGACACTCGGGTTGTTCATGGAGCTCAACTGCACTCATTCTTGCCTTTAAGATCTTTCGCTTACGCCTTTCTCTATCACCCAAGACAAACTTCCTCACGATAGCTCAACATCCAACACCAACCAACATGCCCGTCACACCCCCGCCGAGCCCTCGGCGCAAGGCCCTCAGCGAGGGCGACAAATCGCCGCCTTACCCGGACTCTGGCTATGGCTCTAGCATCGTCACTCCCCTAACAAGTATCTCGTCTCTTTGTGGCTCTCATGAGTCTTATCATATCGGCCTGTTCGATGGAAACGACTCTGCCGACTTTGAAGTCGCGCTCTCCGATGACGAGTCTCGCACCCCGGAGACTCACACAGACACCTTGTTCTCGAGGAGGTCTCGCACTCTTCCGCGCCTCTCCCAGGCCTTCCGCGAGGCCCTCAACATCGGCGCCTCCCCCGAGGCACTCAAGCCAACTCGGCGAGGCTCGGATGTTGGACCTGTCCGCGCTTCTGGAGTCCTGTTTCGCGCTCCCGACCGTTTCCTCCCCTCCAGGGATGCTACTACGTCCCTGAACGAGAAGTTTCGACTCACCCGCCGCCCCGAAGACCTCACTGAGGCTGAGCGTCTCCTTCGCCACAGCCGTGCTTCTCCCGATGCGTTCTGCTACCCTGATCGTCGAGTGGCCCCGGAAGCCGCCACCCAGCGATCCATTTCCCGCTCGGACACTTTGGCGATGTTACCTAGGACCCGAGCTAGAACCGTCCTAGGTCCTGTCCAGATGAACTACCAGACCTACGCCAACCGCGCCCCCAGCGCCGGCTCCGTTTGGACCGTCGGAGGCGTTGCTCCCCACGGTGCGGTCATCCATGATGGCCATGGAAATCTCGTCCAGAGTGGCACGAACGCTACCATGTATGTGTCGGATTTCTCCAAGACCAAAGCCGACCTGGACCTGGATCAGAGCAAGCACGAGGGTCGTCTGGCAGCAGCTCTTGGCATCGACCTCGCGTCCAAGACTCTTGGATCCAACGTTGCCGACAACAACACCGGCATCTCCAAGAATGCGTCCCAGCACGACTATGCTTCGCCCAAGTCGGTCTGGGACGGTACCGTCTGGGTCAAGGATTGCAATGCTCATCGTATGTTCAATCTCGACGCGACAAGATATTTACCTACCTAAGCTGACCCGATACAGATCCTGCAAAAGCTGAAAAGCCCAGAAACTTGGCTGTGGCTCCTTTCCGGTAAGTCTCGTCAGTCTCGTTCTCCGCTCGCGGAGCAGTCTTGCTAATTCGACACAGTGTGCTTGATGCACCGCATCTTCGCGACGATTTCTACTGCTCGATTCTCGCATACTCGCCCACATCCCACACTCTGGCCGTGGGATTGAACAACGCTCTTTACAGCTGGTCCGAGACCGATGGAGTCAAGGTTTTGAACAAGGGTTCGGACGATGATCGAGTCTGGCTCACTGCCATTGCATTCTCCTCGACGGAGGGAGCCAAGAGCATCCTTGCATTTGGCCGCACCAACCGAATCTTGGAGTTCATGTCTCTCCACGAGTGCGGCCTTCCTCGGCTGACCGTCAAAGAGAACGAGCCGGTCTCCGCTCTGAGCTGGAAGCCTAGGCGCACACCCCGGTTCTCCAAGAACCCACGCAACTCTAGGTCCACCCAAGTTGACACTGAGACCTTGCTGGTTGGAGATGAGTCCGGAAACATTTCCTACTATGCGATCGAGTGGCCTGAAAAGTGGGAGGTGGCCAGAGACAACTGGAAGGGCGAGGTCACCCTCATGGCTCGCATCACAATCCATCAACAGCAGATCTGCGGACTGTCCTGGTCGACCAACGGCGAATACTTCGCGTCTGGTGGAAACGATAACCTCTGCTGCTTGTTCGATGCGAAGAGGGTTCTGAAGAACTACCACGGCTCCGACAAGGGTCTTGCCTACGAGCCTGCCAACGAAGTCGAGGGCCTTGATCTCACCGTGAGCCGGCGAAGCGAGCTCATTGGGGTCACTTCCGAGGGCGCAGAGATCCGTCGCACGCCTGACGCTCGATACCTCGTCAATTTCCTCGGTCAGGAGGCTGCCAAGCACCGCTGGTTCCACGGCGCCGCTGTCAAGGCCATCGCTTTCTGCCCCTGGCAAGAGGACCTCGTTGCTACCGGTGGTGGCTCGAACGACAAATGCATTCACTTCTTCCACGCCATGTCTGGCTCGGCTCTGGCTACAATCTCTGTCTCGGCGCAGGTCACCAGCCTCATCTGGAGCACTACCAAGCGCGAGATTGCCGCCACCTTCGGCTATGCCATTCCGGAGCACCCCGTTCGCGTTGCCGTCTTCTCCTGGCCGGATTGCAAACAGGTCGCAGCCATCAAATGGGACGGTAAGCACCGGGCCCTGTATGCTGTCCCCTACCCCAGGATCCCGCTTCGCACCCAGGACGAGATGGATGCCGATTTGGCGGACCGACGCGGCCAGCGCGATCGCTCGTCGTCTGGACTCCAGCAGGACGCCAGCGGCTGTGTCGTGATCGCCGCGAGCGATGAGAGCATCAAGTTCCACGAGATCTGGCCGGCGGCCCCGAAGCTGACTGTCGGCGGCATAGGCATGCTTGGCGGCAGCGAGATTCTCGAGGGCCTGTCCGGCATCGACCGCGAGGGCGACATCATTCGATAAAGTGTTGATTCACTTTGTCTCTCTTTTTGCCTTCCTTCTGCAAAAAAAGGCTCTGCGAGCCATTTGAAGTTTGGGTTGGGCATCTTCTGATCATCATTTGGGACCGGGTTCTTTCTTTCTTTCTTTTCTTTATTACGAGTTTTGACGACACTTTTCTCTCTCCTCTTTTGCGCAGACAAAATCCGGGTTCGTCTTGCGATGATTGGGTTGTTGCCTGGGTAGTACGGTAAGTTTTGCGCTTTTGCGACGATCCAGGCTAAAGGAATCTGATATCTGGGTTCTGGGAGAGAGCAAGGGGAGGAGAAAAAGACGCAGCGATGAGGATTCATGATTAACACTTTTCCTATTTCTTTACTTTCATGCCTGGTTGCAATGGAATCGATGGGATCGCTCCGTCACACCAGAAAACTAAATGGTAGATGCGACGATAGACTCAAGTTGATATTGGCGTTCTCGGTCCTTCACTGACATCCTCTTCACTCACGTTGTGAGAATTGTCCCGTGACTTGTGATCGTAGAGAGGTATCGTGAAGTGTTCGAGATTGTGTACTGGATCTATTGATATTGCACGACTTTGCCTTCGTAGGTTTGAGGCGACGCGAGACAGGGTAAAAACACGAAAAGAGAACTAGCTACCGATATTCGAAAGTTGCCACAACGCCAGCCCAATGCAAGAACGCCTGCTGTTGCCCGTATAATTATCCGCTTCCTCTTTTTGGTATATGTGCCCTGTTTCTGCACATAGGCTTGTCAACGCCCCCAAGAGAGAGAGGCCCTTCCACGTCTGAACTCTCGTGACACACGGGAGTTCTACTTCAGAACCGCAATCAGCAGCACGAGGATGATGATGAGCGCGATGATGGCGACCATCTGCTTGCTCTCGCCCGCCGTCCGGGCGATCTTGCCAACCTGCCGGCGCGCGCGGTCGAGCCGGCCCTGGTGCCGGTCGACGAGGCGCTCCCCTTCCTCGAGCATGGCGACCTGGTCCTCGAGCTCGTCGCCGATCTGCATGCTCAGCTCGCGCTGGCGGCTGATGGACTCGCCCAGCGCGTCGAGCTGCTCGTCCTGCTGCGCGAGGATGCGGCTGTGGTAGGCGTGGATCTGGGCGTTGTCCTGCATGCCCTCGGCCTCGTCGCGGTAGCCCTCGCCCTCGCGCGCCGCGACGGCGGCCGGGTCGTCGCGGTAGCGGGAGAAGAGGGCGTCGGCGGAGGGGTCTTCGGCATCGTGGTTGTCTTGGAACCGGACGGATTTGGAGCCGGGGGCGACGGAGCCCGTGGAGGATGACGTGCGGAGGGAGCCCTTGGCTGGGGCCTGCGCGGCTGCTGAGGAGGAGGAGGAGGAGTGGTGGGCGGGGACGGTGGTGGCGTGGGCGAAGTCCTCGGCGAGGGACGGGTCGTTGGGGTGTGTCGTCGTCGCCGACGTGGACGGGTTGGAGAAGCCGTGGAACTGCGAGGTGAGGTCGTCGTACTGCTTCTGCAGGGAGGGCAGGGCGTCGGCGATGTTGAGGGCTTTCCTGTTTTGGTTGGGGAGTCTGTTAGTATTGTCATACATCTGCATAGAGTTGGGTGAGCGAGAGCATTGGGCTTACCTCTCCTCGCCGGCCTCCTCGAGCCGCTGCCTCTCCTTCTCCAGGGCCTCGAGGCCGTCGCGGAACTGGTCTAATGAGCGCGAGATGTGGCCATCCTGGGAGTCGCTCTCGAGGTCCAGCGCCTTTGCCCGCTGCCGCTCGAGGAGCGACAGCTTGACGTGGTCGGCGAGCAGGTAGAGGGCGTTTGCGCTCGACATCTTCTCTTGGATAGATGGGAGTCTGAGCAAGCCCGCCCGTGTCTGACCTGTGCGGAGGTGGGTTGAAGGCCGATTGCTATGCTGCGGCAGGTGTAGGATCCTTGTACGGTGGACAACGCAGCCTCCAGAATAGCCGACGGGAGATCGTAAAGTGTAGATGGAAATGTATGAGCGAATGAGGACTGGCCTAATTGATGCGGGTGGTTGAAGCCAGAGGCAGAAGAGAGCAGATCTATCTGACACGGGCCAAGAAGCTGGGGATGGGACTGAGACGCATTACGTTGGCGTTCCGGATTTGGGGTGTCTGATAGGCTGCGTCACTAGGCAGTTGGATAAGGGTTAGGGTTGTACGAGAACTTCACCAACGCGGGCAAACTTGTGTGATGCCGAAAGGAAATATCGTTGAGTGTCCTGGCTGGGACATAGGTTGGTTGCAGAGAACTACTTATGAATCCATCAGATGCATCAACTATAGCTATTGGGGTAACCCATCGTGTATTCAGGGATGATATGCATTCTTAGCGTTGAGGAAATACAAGTCAGCCTCTATGAATGTTCCATCGAAAGTTACCTCAAGAGTCAAGACATTGGTCGCCTCTCAAGGCACTGTGAATCTATCTTGCCCCAACTGGTTCTCTCAAGCAGGCCAGCCCCACAGGTTGTAGGATTCATCTCAGATCAAAGATCGAAGCCACTGGAATTATCGTTAGCAGATAATTCATCATTTGTGAGCATTGTGAGGATAGTGTCGGGACCAACCTCTAGCGGCTTGCGGGTGGGATCTGATCCCTCTTCTCCCGGGCCCTTATTTAGCAGCATTGCTGCAAGATCGCGTTTGGACTCTTGTACTTGTCGCACACGCTGAAGACACGGTCAGCCTCATCAGATCTCTCAAAAGGATTCGGGGTTATGCGGTATTGCTTGCCTCCTCGAAAGAGTCCTTTATGAAAAGTCTCACTGTCGTGACTTCCCGCTTCTGGCCCATTCTGTGAATTCTTGCCAGTGCCTGATCTTCCAATGTTGGGTTCCTGATATTCTCTTAACATAGTTCGGTACATAGTTGACTGCAATTGTAATACGTACCAGTGAGGCTCCATAAGATATGCCCGAGAGGCGGCGGTGAGTGTGAGACTACCAGTGCAATGTCAGTAGGCGCCGCCGTACTTTCAGTTCACAACAGTATGGTGACATACCCTACAGCACCACAAGACAATGTCAGAAGTAACACCTTGACTTCTGGATCAGATCTGAACTGGTCAATAACGGCTTGTCGTTCTTTCTGAGGGACTTTGCCATCGAATCGAAGGCATTTGATTGACGCTCGATTGAGACCTAACTCAATCATATCCAAAGTCATTCTCCACGTCGAAAAAACGACACTAGTAACGATTAGTGAGTTTACTGCTAGATGATGCTGTGCTTCCGAGAACTAGGGTATACCTTTTAACGTCTTCAGGCTGTCGCTGCAAGTCGCTCACTAGAGCAGAAATCTTCGTCGGCAGTTGTTGAGTTGCGAATGCCAAATTCAATTCTCTCCTACTCAAGTCTGCAATCAAAGGTTCTTCAAGCCCGGAAGGACCCATGACCACTTTCGCTACGGGGCAAGGTGTAGCATGCCCGCAATTCCGTGAACTGTGAGCTCGGTTCGAGCAAGTAGGGCAGATAAAGGCCAGGCAACGGAAGAAGAGAGCAGATTGTGCGTGATCCTGGTCATCGAAGATGGCATCGGCTGTGTTGATCGTGGAGGAACAGATCTGGCACACCATCCGCGCCATCCCGCGACGAACATCAAAAGCTGCCTGGGCATCCGCCTCCCAATTGCCTGCCATTCTACTCCGCGTAGTAAGGTCGTGTCGAGAGTGATAAAAGAGACCAAGGTTGCACACCATGCGCATGGCTTCAATCTGCTGGAGCACATTGACAAAGCTTGCGTTCCTAGCCATGTCTGGCTGGGACATCGTGTGTTCAATGTTGGCAATTGTCTTCGTTCTGACTTCTTCATACAGCTTTCTCTCCGCTGGTGTAAGATCGATTGACCACTGGAAGTCCGTCCGCGTGGGGAGTTCAATAGTAGTCTGTGGGCGGCGGAGGAGGAGACATCCAGATAGCCTCTTCAGACGCTTCAGTGCCTCCTCGTCGTTCCCGCTTTTCCACAAGTTGGATATGTGGGCGTCGAAGATTTGCTTCTCCGAATAGGGATAGACCTTGAGAAATTTGAGCAGCGTCGCAAGATCTCCCAGGCGATTCTGGATAGGCGATCCTGTCACGGCCCACCTCGATGCAGAGTTCAATGCGCAAATGGCTTTGGCCATCTGGGAATCGCCATTGCGTATGAAATGAGCTGTAAGGGTTATGGTTAACACTACTACGTGTAGAGAGACAGGAGTGGGCGCCAGACCTTCGTCGAGGATAATCCGTCTCCAACATGTTTGGAAAAGAACAGAATCTTCGCTTCCAGCGCCGTTTCGCCACTCTGCAGATACAGTATGATAGGTGGTCAAAACGAGCATGTTGCTCTCCGACTCCTCTTGGCTGGTCAACCTGGACTTTGCGTGATGTCTGAAGAATGGCATACATCCGGGCACAACATGGCTGAAGGGGAAAAGGATTCAATGTCAGTTCAGTGCTCACAACTATGAAGAGATTGGAAACGCACTCGCGAAGCTGTTCTTCCCAGGTACCCAATACTGGCATTGACTTGTTAGGGTAAATCTCCAGAGTCTTCAGGGAGTTGTTGTACGCACAAGGTGGTGGCACTATGACTAGTGTGCTTCCAGATGATCTCGGGTGAGGTGAATCATGATCGAATCGGGTTTCAGGGTTGCTGTGGATATCTGAGGCGATCAGGGCAATCATTGAAAGTGTTTTCCCCAAGCCCATGGGGTCGGCTATGATTCCTCCTTGGAATTGGGGTGGCTCTTCGACTTGACGTAGATCGGAGACTCGGTTAACATAGCTTGGAAATATTAGCGGCTTCGACACAGTTACAACTACGCAATGCCTACAAGATATTGTCCTCCTGTTCAATGACCTCCCAGATATCGGGAGAGCCTCCTTCGAAAGCCCAACCTTGCTCCCTCCGTAGCATGAATGTCAATGCCTGTAATTGATGTCTAATTGAATGTGTCAGTCTGACTCTCTTGGAGAATTCCCACGACTCATACCTCGCTAGTTGCGTTCGAATTGAAGGGGACTGAGGGGTTAGGGGAAGATCTTCCTGGCTGTCCAAAATTTCGAGCAGCTCAGGCCGTGATGCAAAATCGGCAATCTCGAAGGCTACCGGGACGGGTCTGAACTCAAGGTCAGATGTCCAGGGAAATAAACCGCAATCGAGTGAAGGTAGGCGATGAGGATTGCAATACAAGACATTGCGGTTACAGCCTTTAGGGTCTTGAATAAAGAATCCGTGTTCCTCGAAGAAGGTGCCGATGTCGTTGTAGAGCTCAATTGGCCCGTAAAGTATGATCTGAAGACAGCAAGGCACAGAGAGATATTTCCGTGGTCTTTTAGCTTGACAATCGCTCTGTTGGACCATGCAAGTGACTTGCAAATTGATTCTTGTTTCATCTTGGAGACTTTGAACAATATGAACAAAGCTCGTCTCAACTTTCCCACTCAAGGAGCTGTCATCTATCCCCGCGAAGGTCTCTGGGGATCGAAAAAACACGGGGAACTCGAGATTAGTCTCCGATACTGCGCTCTGGCAGGTGCCCTGGACGTCGACGATCTTGCTGTAATTAGTGCCAAGACAGTGCCTGCGTCTCTGGAAGCAGCTCACCATGCCGAAACAAACATCATCAGGCTGGGATAGTGAAGTTTCAATAACATGCTCCACGATAGAATTATTGGAGCTCCGGTCAAAAAGCTGTTGATCGCTTGAACCAAATCTATGAAGTACTTGCTTGTAAAGGTCTGTCGTGCCAGGAAGAGTCGCAGAGTCATTAATCATGGTGGAGCTTGAGATATCAAGCTTCTGATAGTTGGCTTGTACCCACTGGTCATTCTGTAAGGTGAAATTGAAGTTCCAATCATTTCCTTCCTCTAATCATTGACGCTTATTTGGATGGCATGAGTTGTCTATGACTGGAGTGATGATAAGCAATTGATTCCTGTAGGAAATAATTTTGCAAACTTGGCTTGGGAATAAGTCAAGGAAGAATAAAAGGGCTCTCCGGTCGGCGTGTCAATCCTGAATGCCTTGCACACATGGCGGTGGCTGCGCATGCATGCAAGGTGTGGTGTCAACGAATCACCAAATTTTGCCCACCAGTCAGCCTGACCAGATGAAACCTGATGATTTCTCGCCCACTCTCTTAAAGCCTGATGTATCCTCTGGAAATTGCATACCCCTCTCCTCCTCTCCTTCTCTCCTCCTTTCATTCACCCTATTACCATCTCTAGCAGGAAGCCCTACGGCGCATATCTTTTCCACCGCATTCGAGATGTCATTAAGGAATTGAGTATCGCAGCCGGCGCTGCGAGCCATCCGTGAAGCATTCGAGGACCTTGAGAAGAACGTTTCTGCAGGTGACCGATCAGCATGCTCTGGAGCTACATTGGACAGTGTGTGCTAAGCAGCTCATAAAATAGAGGATCAGCTTGCGGCATGGCAATCCCTTCGCAATATGCATCGTCTGATGCCATTATTCGAAGGGTTACAGTACTACTCGAGATCTATTGAGGTACTCTGTAACGGCACACCTTTCTTGCCTTGGATCTGGGCCCTGATGAAAGTCATTCTCAAGGTTGAAACCTATGTGTCGTTTGATATCACCTCCTTCATGCTGACCGTGGCACAGATTGCGTCGGATCATGTTGGTGCCTTTGATCAGATAATAAAAGCATACAGCCGCATCGGAGAATGCTTACTGAGATTCAAAATACTGAACGCAGCTTGCTCCCAAAATGTCGAGTTCCAGCAGGTGCTTGCCGTTTTTTATGTCGATATCCTCAGTTTTCATAAAGAGGCATATAAGTTTGTCAAGAGAAATAGTATGCTAAAAGAAACGCCATGTTTAATAGTATCATCGCTGACACGCTGCTAGGCTGGTAAATTTTCTTCATGACTTCTTGGGGCCGCTTCTAAAGGAGATTTGAGGGCATCATCAACGACCTGAAAGCACACGAGGAATTGGTCGACAAAACAGCCACTGCCTTCAATGCATCAGAAACTTCACGGATACGCGCAGATATCCACGCCCTGAGGCAACAGCAGATAGAAAAGCTTGCACGAGAGGAAGAGGAGCTCACTGCGAACCAATATCGAGCAGTCCTTGAATGGCTTAAGATGGACGATTTAGACCAGTTGAAAATATATGACACCATATCTAGTGCCGCCACTCAACACTTGGGCACTAGTCACTGGGTTCTTAAACAACCAAAACTATCGGTATGGATGCGCAATACGCGAGAAGCGACATTTGTCGTGCTTCATGGGCACCCTGGGACCGGGAAAAGTGTGCTGACAACAGAAATTGCAACATTTCTCAGAGCTGCCAATGTGTCAACTCTCATAACACATTTCTGCACCGATACTTATGCAACATCTAGGCGGTATGATTAGATTCTACGAGCTTTGCTCACCCAGGTCATACGACCTAATCCTGACCTTATCGCTCATATATACGAGACCCTCATCCTCAAGAAGAAGTCCCCATCAAATGCTGCTTTAGAACAGCTTCTGCGGGAAACAGTGGCTGCAACATCTTTCCAGCCGTCGCAAGTAAGCTACACCCATTTGGTTCTTGACGGACTTGATGAGTGCGACAAGGAGACATAAGTCAAGACCACAAAACTTCTTGAGCGCCTAGTCAGGGTTGCCTTTGACTCTGAGCGGGCAAGTCTAAAGGTGCTGGTGTTGGTGAGAACTTCCTCAACTATTACGACAATGTTGAAATGGAAGTAATTGGTGTCACTGGCTGAAGAGAAAACAAATGTCAACTGGGCGATCAGAGTATACTTGAGGAACCGTTTGAGGGCCATCCTGGAAAAGCTGGCTCAAATAGGGCTTTCAAATTCTGATATTTCAAACGTTGAAGCCTGTATTGCCCAGAAGGCTGATGGTAGGTCTTCAGTCCGCGAGATTCTCTTTCAAATTGAGGCTAACCTTTGGGAAGGAATGTTCCTTTGGGCGCGACTTGTGATGGATTATCTTGCGATGAACATATTCTATAAACGCGAGGAGGTTCTTGGTGCTCTCGAGATACTGCCTAGAGAGCTCAGTGAATTGTAAGATCATGTTGGTGTCTCTGTTATTGATTGACTTTCTAATATGTCCTGACCTCAGTTACCAATAAATTCTCACCCAATTGATTTCGGGATTTGATAGCCGCTCAAAGGACAGGATTCGTTTGATATTCAGCTGGATTGCGTTTGCTCAAAGACCCCTTCGGAAAGTCGAGCTCCGTTCGGCCCTGGCATTCAGCACTGGGCAGACCGATGACGTGGAATTGATACCGGACTACGTTTTTGAACTCTGTACACTATTCATCGAGCAACACCCAGATAATACTTACACATTCATTCATTCGTCCATTAAAGAGTAAGTAGAGGGTACCTTTAAAGTATTATATAGCTGACCTGGGTACAAGATTTCTCCAAAGCTCTGGGAGTGGCCACATGCTTGACGAGCCCACGGCCTACTACGAACATGGAGTGGCAACGTCTGCTTGTCTGATAGCCGGACTGCGTAGCTTTAGTGACCAGGTCGAACAAAGTACACATCCTCGAGTTCTGACTGGCTCTTATGCTTTGCTCGTCTATGCCACTCAATACTGGATCGAGTATCATTTGGCTATCGCCAAATGTACTAACTGCATAGATACACAGTCCAAATTCCACTCTTTATCCATTGAGTTGTGCAAGCGCCTAGGCATCTCGAAGCAAGCCTCGTATGGCTCAACTTTTTTCGAAGGAGGCGGAGATCTAGGACTGGACTCTAGACTATGTCTCCTGCGGCCCTACACTGACCTGTACCTGATAGTCCGGTGCATTCTACTGGAAAGGGCGAATAAGTTTCTGGAAGATGAGGGTGGGTCACAGGGTAAGTCTCAAAGCCAAGTTCATAAAGATCTATGCATTGACAACCTCCGAGCCTGTGCGGATAATCAGCCAGGAGCGATGCTTCGAAGTAGCTTGACCGCCTATCAGTCCTCTATCCAGAAGATTCTTCATATGCGCAATTTCCCGGGAGTCGACCTTCCGAAATTGGAACGCTTCAAGCAAGACCACAGATGGGCGGCATTTACATGTCGAATGTGGCCGTGCCCTTTGGCCAGTCAAGGTTTTGAAACCAGTGAGCAGCGGGCTGAGCACGAGATACGCCACACAAAACCTATCTTTTGCCCTGAGTCAGGGTGCCAATACCCTCCTTTTGCAAATACCAAAACATTGCAGTCTCATCAAGCAAGGGTTCATGGTAGCCGGCGAACAGGGACGGGGCAGGCAGATACAAGAACACCACGTTCAACTATCGCAACCCTCCTGGATCGCACACCTACCGTACAGGCACATGCTGACCGGTTAGACGAACTTAAAATATCCGGAGCCCCTTTTAATTTTTCCTTATCGCCAAGTCTAGTTCCTGCTGATCATCAACCCCTATTTCGAGAGCCGGAGACGAGACGCAGCAACCCCTTTGTTGGCCGCGCGGTTTCCCCACCATCTAGTTCCCAACAGATGTTCTCACCATCACAAGGTGACTCCTCTCCTTCGCTTCTTGGCCGCCCACCTCGTAATCAACAGCAATTCCCACAATATGGCAACGACTACTACGACACCCACGAGCAGGGCCACCTTGACTGGGTCACCGATCTCACATCGTCGCCACCCAGGCTGGGCCAGGAGCTGCCGCCTATGAAGCGCTCCAAAACGGTGTACCGACCCCATTCTAACCTGTCGACGTCAAGCCGGCTTACACTGCCTGGAGGCGACGGCGGAGGATATCCTATGATGGAGCGCTCCGAGTCAAACACAAGCATCCGGTATCGCCAGGCACAGAAGCGGGGCGCTAAGGAGGTTCTCTTGCGACAGAACAAGAACGCCACGCGTGCGCTGCTCATCCAGCCCAGACCCGTCAACGGCAGAAGCAGCAGTAGTAGCAGCGGACGAAGCTAGCTTCAACTCTGCCCCTTCTGAGCTGACCCTCGAGAAGCCGCTATCAGAGCTTCTTGGTGGTTTGACTGGCCCCTCATAATATAGCGATGCCACATATCGCGTCCACTCTCCGATCTACACATTTTCTCATTCCATGGCCAACCGATACATACCTCTAGAGCCTGAAGTCTATGGGCTCTTCGCTCCCAAGCAGCAGGCACCTCCCATCGCCTGGTAGTCCGTGACTCAACAGCCACCCTCCAACCTCCCAGTGCCCAGATCTCCCGAGTATCTTCAAAAGGTGAAGATACTCGAAAGAACAAGGAGGCACAGACCCCTGTAGACTTCGATTTCGACAGGTGGCTCAGGGGAAAGTCTCCGTTAACAGAACCCGACGCCTTCGAAGGACCCCTTGAGATATCCGGGGAGACACAGAGAGGAACCTCCAGCGATCTTCTGCCATGGCAGATGTGTCCAGCACCACGTGGCAGTGGCAGGGCTTCACTGATACCGGGTATGATAATGGTTGAAAGAGGTTATGGAAGGGTACAGTGGTTCGGGAGGCGAAATAACTTATCAGTGGCATCCCCTTTGAGAAGAAACATGACTAAGGAACGATGGTTATTGAGGCTAGCATGACCGAGGTCATGTCACTGTGCGTAATGTCTGAGGACAGGTGTAGTCTGAAGACATTTTGAACCGTGTCTCTCGACATAAATCAGCTTCAACAAAATTTCAATGGGCGGATGGCCAATAGCGGCGCAGACTCGATCCGGTTAGCTAAGAAAGAAGCAAGAAAACTGGCTTCATGACAATGACATACCATATTCTTTCTGTTCTCGTGAAAATGAGTGAAGTCAAGGAAATGTTCAGTCCAGGGCCTTCAGTTCCGTTAGTTCGCTTATCTGCGGCCCGGACAGTGACATAATGTATCTAACGGATAACGGGACTTAGCTGCAAGCTAATATGAAGTAAGCTCCAGTCATATGTGCGCAACGCGTGCAGTCCGTCCTGCATGTCTGGTTAACTTAAAAGCGCAGTGTGGGGCTTGGCATCCGTACCATCATCTCCCAATTTCCTACACCGGCTCTCACTCCACTCCCTGTTCCCCTACCAAGAGATCTTTTGATATTCGATGGCGGATGACATCTAATTTCAAAGTCACAAATGTTCAACTACCCTCAGCTGGCTCTGGAATATTTAGGCCAAAGATACGGAGCCCAAGTGTGGCTCGATCGCCAACATCGCGGGGTCGAGCGAGCTGAGGAGGGGGAATCCGAAAGAGCTCTTGCACGTGCATCTCGAAACGCTCCGGACCCTGCTGCACAAGCACGCAGCTAGAGCAGGCCAAAGCAGGCCAAGGACTACGTCACATCACCTTGGAACTCCCGAGAGGAAACGGCCAGCGACTTGCGCGGTACAGAACAGTTTTTTGGGACCTTCAATACCGAGAAACACACACATTCCATCCATCCGCCCATATTTCCCGGCCTTGCCGGCGGGCCACAACCCCCCTGTCCGCCCTGGCCCCGGCAAAATGTGCCGCATGATGGTCTTCGCCGGGACCTGCACCACCTGCGGCCAGTTCTTCGAGTGGGCCGACCTGGCCCAGCGGCTGTCCTGCCTCGAGGCCAAGAACGCGGGCCTCTTCGGCCAGTGCCACCGCGGCGTGCAGGTCGAGGAACTCGCCTTCGACCAGGAGTGCGACACGTGCGCCGAGGAGGACGAGGGCATCGGCGTCGAGGAGGGCGCTGCCTCTGCTGCTACTGCTGACTTTGGCCTGGATGGCGACGGAGGCAAGGTCGCTGTCAAGGAGGACAAGCCGCCGCCGGCGAAGGACGACCAAGCGTCTGCGGCTGGTGCTTCGGCGGGCAGCAGGAGAAAGAGGGACAACGATGCGGCCAGGCGGCAGAGCGTCGAGGTGGCGAGGGATAGCGAGAGGGGTAAACGGCACAAGGCGTCATGATCTTGGGAGCTCGCTTGGGTATGAGCTGTCTAGTATCAGGGATAGGCAGAGTTTGATATTGTGATGGGAAACAGGGCAAGATCCGTAAGGCCCCATGGCGCTAGCGGTCTACGAGGATCAAAAGTTTGGCATTCAACGGCGTTATGGCGGACTCTCAAGGAATGGAACGATTAGACGACTGTATTATGGAATCAATTCTATATGTGTGTGTGTACATGTACACCTGAGCAACAAGGCGCCTTTTACCCGCTCAATGTCTGACTCTGTCTTCGCTCGACCGTCCACCTTAATTCGCCAGCTCGCCCTCCCACGTCTCCCTCACGATGCGCCAGTACCTCTCAGGGTCCGCCCTCGCGTGCGCGACGTGCGGCGTGCCCAGAAACTCCTCGAGTCGGACGGTGAACCCGGCCGCCCGCGCCTCCCGCGCGTTCTCCTCGACATGCCGCCACGACACCAGCTTGTCCTCTTTACTGAAGACGTAGGCGCGCCGCACCTCGTTCGCGTTGCCGCCGGCCCTGTCGTTGTGCGCCCTGGCGGGCCTGGCCAAGGGGTCGGCCCGCCGCAGGACCCTGAGCGCGAACCAGTGCGCCGTGGCGAAGAGGTGCGCGAGGGGCAGCGCGAGCCAGGGCTGGCCCGCCGTGAGCGCCGTGATGGTGCTCCGGTACTCGAACTGGCCCGGCGCCGAGTCCAAGATGGTCGAGTGCGGCGGCAGGGCCTCGCCGTAGACCTTGTACAGGTGCCAGAGCATGGCGGAGCCGCCGTTGGAGAAGCTGTGGACGAGCATCTCCTGCTTCTGCTGGCTTCTGCTACTGCTACCGCCGTCGGACAGGGCTGCGCGCACCGCCGTCGCGGCCGGCTTGATCTGCGACAGGGCGGTGCTGGGGAAGAGCATGTGCGCCATCGTGCACCGGATGAGGAGGATCTGCGCCGAAGGGTAGAGCGCCTGGTGCTGGGCAATGTACTTTGCGAGGTGCGCGTCGCGGGCGCCCATCCAGCCGCAGAAGACGATGAGCTTGGGCGGCGTCGGCGTCGGCGTCGGAGAGGACCCCGAGGCCGCCGGGGCGGACGCGGCGTTAGATTCGGGCCGGTAGTGGAGGACGCAGGGCGAGAGTTTGGCGAAGCCGGCGAGCGGACGCCCCTGGCTGGGTGTCACGGCTGCGTTGGACGCCATCGCTGCACGGCACCCGTCTATTCGAGATCTTTGAGCTACCTCGCTGTCCGTGAAGGGTAATTGAGATGGCACAAGGTAGTTTGTTAGCGTGGGTGAGACAACTTTCTTGTAGTTCCACAGCCGAAGACGACGGGGCTCGAAGACAGGCGCTTGTTGCTGACGCCGAGGTCGAAGGATTCAGCAAGGGTCCGTCTCGTTTCGAAGATGACGCGCGGATGCCTTTCTTTTTTAGGTAAACAATTAGAAAGTAGACTTTATTAGCTGCTAGTGATATGGGAAGATATTTCGAATTCAGTTTTAGTAAAAAAAACAATGAGAAAAAGGCTCCCTGTAGAGAAGTTGTGCTGGTGACGCTGGCCGGGACATGTTGAAGCTCCCGTGGAGAGCACGATTGCGCCGAAGCCGTTGAGCACACCAGAAACCCTCCGCCCCACTTCTCCATGGCAAGACATCCCTTGTCTTTCAAAATCGCTTCTCGAAACATCTTTGTAGCTTCCGTACTTCTCAATGGAGCTTCGACTTGGCCGTGCCTGAATCTACCTGGCTCCATCAAGGGCGCGGTGGCTCATAGGCCCGATATGTCTCTGTCTGTCCACGAAGAGCAGCTCGGCGGACAGATCCAATGGTGCCTTGTTTGTTCATCGTGCGCCCGGAGGATTTTCAACGGTTGCCGGCAGGCCCCATTGTGTCATGTTGACGACGAAAACGAGCGTACGGCTCGGCGACGATAGCCAATCCAACCGCATCTCGCAAGTGAGAAACACCAGTTGATGCATGCGATTCTCACCGACCTCCCGCAATCGGGCCTGCCCTGCTTGAGTGTTTCCGTGCCTCGTGCTTGGCATGTACCAGTCGACATCTTGGTTCCAATCCGCTAGGTATGCCCTCACAGCACCTGCCTAACGTCTCGACTAGGACGACTTCTCGAAGGGACGATCCCGGCTGCATGCATCGATTCGCCTCGGCGTGTGACACGTGCATGCAGGTACCGGCGATCGAAGCCAACCGGGGCAGGATCTTACATAATGTTGCCCAACTGCGAGTGTCCGAGGCGCCCTGTGGATCGAAAGCCCGCCCCGAGTGCTTCCAAATACCTGCAAGGCAACACAGGATCTTGTTTGTGCCATATGGTATCACGGAGCCCTGAGCACAATGGAGATTTGACAGCTCCTCTCAATGCTGGGTTCGAAGCTGTGGTCTTTCCGGACTCGCACAACAGCTACATGAGTACCTAGGTAAGGTAGCTTCTCTTGCACCTTCCCACAGCTGCAGCGTCCAGTCGCACCTGCTCTGGTTTGCTACGGGAAGCTGCCGAGGACCTGCATCTACTTCCAGATACACACCGGGTATGAATCTCAGGCATGGTACAAGGCAGAAGAAGCAACAGATCTCGCCATGAAGTGACATCAAATTGATGTCGACCGGTCTCCGGCATGCAGTCGGCACATTCTGTTCCGAGTTTGCTTGGTCGCACTGCCTCATCTTGCCGTAATTGGCTTTGCCTCTTTCTCTCAGAGACGCATACACGAAGTGACGCTCGGAGCCGTCGATCTGTGCCGTTGGAGTGCCACGGCCTGGCATGGCACCCGTCGTTGCTGCCTTCGCCTGCTCTGTTCGAGTTCTGGACAGCTGCTGTGTTCCGAATGGTATCCCACGTCTCGGCTGTCTTCTTGATCAGACCTTGTTATACTAAAGTCATGCCCTCTTGTGTTTAAAACACCACATGAGCCTCCCGTCTGCCATTCGCTTTACTGCCACTCTTTTCGCAACATCCTCCCATCCATCCACTCTCGTTGACACTCGCAATCACTACAATGCACTTCATCCAGTCTTTGGTCTCGTTGGCACTGGCTTGCGCCACTGCCATCCCGCTCATTGAGGCCCGGCCCAGTGGCCATGAGTCTCGCTCCGATCCTCTATCTCTTATTTCCCCGATACGAGGCTTCTCCTTCGAGCGGATGGCGGCGACTCGGGAACCCTGTGAGCTCAAGCCAACCCGCAACTTCCAGCGCATGAAGGGTATCAGTCGGAAGGGTGCTGCGTCGAGGACTGCCCCTGTCAGGATTGGGGCATATCAGAGACAGGCAACGCCCAACGACGGGGCTTATCAGAACATAACCACGACTGATGCTCGCGGTGTTGCGTACGCCGTGGAAGTCGATATCAATGGTGTGTCGGTCAATCTCATTGTCGATACGGGAAGCTCGGACACCTGGTCTGTTCAGAGCAACTACACCTGCACGGACTACATGGGCTCGATGCTGCAGCAGGGCGCTTGTGCATTCGGACACACCAAGCCGCAGACTTTCCAGTACGGACCTGTTCCTGACGTCCACCTCTTCGTTCAGTACGGCGATGGCGAGATGGTCTCTGGCCCAATGGGCTTGTCGGATGTCACTCTCGCCAATATCACGGTCGAGAAGCAACAGATTGCGCTCGTCAACGAGTCCTACTGGATAGGGGACAACTACACTACCGGCATACTTGGTCTGGGGTATCCGTCCATCACCGACGCTTTCTACGGTGAGCCCTACGATCACGAACAGTATCAGTCGGCACCGTATTCGCCCGTCTTCACCCGTATGGTACAGCAGGGTCTGGTCGACCCAGTCTTCAGCCTTGCCATCAGCAGGAACTCGACCGGTGGGCTTCTTGGCTGGGGCGGCATTCCAGACATTATCAATGGCCTGGATAGCTCGACCTATGGGTACGCCGACATCATCATCGTAAGTTTTTCTCGCCTCCTCTCGAGCTGAAGTTGCGCTTACACGTGATGTAAGGCCAATATTGTCGGTGATCCGCACACGGCTTGGGCCTATTCTTTTTACACCATCATCCCCGACGGTTTTCAGTTTGGCATGTCGACGAACGAGGACAAATACCCCTTCATCATTGACAGTGGAACTACTGTCAACTACTTGCCTCTCAGTACGTACAGAGTCGTTCCCAACAATGGCAAAGGCCATCATGCTACAAGGTTAGGCGCTGACATTGTGACAAAAAACAGTTCTCGCAGATGCCATCAACGCTGCTTTCGATCCGCCAGCCAAGTACCTCTACTCATATGGTGCTTATTTTACCTCGTGTGATGCCGTTGCGCCTCCGTTTTCGGTCGTCATTGGAGGCACAGCGTTTCTGATCAACCCCAAGGACATGATCTTGCGCAACCAGAAGGACCCGCTGACAGGTCTCTGTATGACTACAGTCAGCACTGGCGGCACTGGGCCTTTCATCCTGGGTGATGCTTTCCTACAGAACGTTCTGGCTGTTTTTGACATTGGATCTGCTCAGATGCGCTTTTATGGACGTCCTTATTACTGAAGTAGGCTCATTTATGTTGTTGAGATGTTGGGCCATCAAAGGAGACGTGAGGAGACGAAAAGGGGGAAAGGAAGATTTTTGGTGCAATATGTTTGTTGTTGAACCAGCAGCATTTCGTCAAGTTTAGAGAATGGAGACAATGACATATCTGACTAGAGGTTCAGCTTCATGCCTGCCTGCAGTGCGGTCTTGTTTGTGTGTTGCTGCTTGATGCATGTTGATTGCCTGCCTGTGATACGGACCTTGTGCGTTTGGAGCGCAAACCAACCAATCTTCTGTCCACTGATTTTACTCCCCAGACACACACAAACTGGCATGCTTTCGGTCATGTTTGATTTGACACACAAACTGAACTGATAACAAAGCTTTGTCTGCTTATCTTGCTTATCGTCGGTCACTCTCGTCGCACCTGTGTGTTCAAGCATCTGTCTGGGCGGTCGCCATAATGCGTGCTTTCCCAACACTAAATTGGGGAGATTGCCCTCTCTCGCATACCACTCGGTGCAAATGAGAGACCACCTGGATATCTCTTCATTTATTCCCCAGAAGATCTTTGCTTTCAGCCCATCCTGCTTGGCGACCTCCTCTTTTCGAACCTGAACACCAGGTCTGTTATCTGGACTTAGCAAGGCAAGTAAACGAAGGGACCCCCACAGCGATACCCCCCCGCGCGCCGCCTCATCTGCTGACATGGGGCTCGCCAGCTCAGATCTCTTTCCAACGATGCGGTCAGGAATCCTTGCCGGTGGCCCTGTGCCTACCGATCCTCGCCTCAATATCTACTCTATCGCCAAGGTACGAACAATATATAATAATTCTTCTGCAATCACATTCCTTTCGAGTCACATCTGGAATTACATGTTCTCGGGCTGTTTTTATCACTGTGGGCTGTGGAAAGGGACAATGGAAGTTCAGCGTTCCAGTGGCCCTGTGGCTGTAGTGGCCCCTCCTCGGCAGTGTCCATTTTTTTGGTCACGCAGATCGCCCCAGCTCAGCACCGGCTGGCTATCCCGCGCCAAGTTGGCACGAGCGAGTCCCAGGGAACGGCGGCGGCATGATGCTGGCCAGGGCGGTGAGAAGCCCGTTGCACTTGCCGCTAGCTTTACGTTTTTGCGGTCTGGGCACTCCCACATTTCGGTTTGAAGGGAGTGGGAGAATGCCATCCCATGGCTGCCGCCGACCCGCCTCTTTCGTTGTTCGTAATGCCAACACATCCCAGCTCCACTTGCTGGCCTTATTATGAAGGGGGGCGAGAGATGCCGACGATGTACGTACGTGGGATTGCAACGAGGGCCCGGGTTTAGTGCCTCGGGGGGGCCAGCTTTCCTAGGTCTGGTGATGGTGCAGAGTTTGCAGAGAATCGCCAGAGCGAAGATGGAATGTCGTGCGTCTTATCTTTTGCTCTTGCTGTGGACGTCGTAGGCCCGCCGCTGTGCGACGCTGGCCTGCCATCTACCGTTGAGGACACCGAGTGGTATGATGGCCATGTAGCTCTTGCATGTTAGGCGCATCTTGTTCGTCTACTGCGGCTCTGCTTGACCCGGCGCGGTCTGGTCAGTGGTCACCAGCGTACATACATGCGCGGCCCTGGCCTAGACCGCTGGCACCTTTTTTGGGACCCCGCAATTGCAGTGGTGTAGTGGTCGTTGACCGACAAAGCTTGGGTTTTGTTACAGGGCAAACCTACCTATTCTTGGGAGTTTGCTTGTGTCGTATACGAATAGTGCGAGTGACTGGCGTCAAGCGAACCGGTTCTATTTTGGTTGGTGCGCGTGTACCTTTTTTTCAATGACTCGGGCGGAATGACATCGACATTGACGCTGTCGAATGCCAAAGTGAAATGGGATATGCATCTTTCAAGCTGGAAGCGGTCACCCACGCAGGTCGCTGAAGCCTTTGCATGAACCCCACCAGGCAAGGTTGAGAGTGGTCATCTGGGACGTTGAAGTTCTCCCTGGCACGATTCTTATTCCCCAGGAAACAAACGTGGGCAGATTCACCAGTCACAAAAGCACGACCGTCCCCCTTGTCCGAAGCATCTGATGTAATGCGGGGTGGTTCCGGCCGGGTCTTTTTTCAGCGATTCAGGTCCCAAGACTACCCTACCTAGGCCGACGCGCGGGACCAATACCGGGCTCCCCTCGGGTCAAGTACCTGCTTTTCAACCTGGCCCCCCAGTGGCACCTCGTGGAGAAGCTCTTCCCTGAGATTTCCGAGCGGGACAGGGATTCTCAGTCTAGGCGACCCGAGACTGCTTCCGCTGCTCCATCCCGTCAACTTCCAGAAAAACTGCCAAAACCACTATAACATCGTCATCTACTCTGGAATCACGACACGCGACCTCGGTTTTTCGTCACCTGTCGAGTGACGAACCCTTCTCTCTTCCCTGACCCTCTTTTTCACCCTTTCTTCTCTTTCTCCTCTTGCGGCTTTCGCATTCTTCCACCACAACCAAACTCGGTCATGCCGCGGCTCACTAACGGCCTCGGGGTCCAGGTCGAGGACACCCACATCTGCGTGGTGATGGTGGGGCTGCCTGCTCGAGGCAAGAGCTACATTGCGCAAAAAGGTATGGTCTCGTCGCTTGCTCGGTGAACATGTCTACAGGATGGCAAGGCCACTTTTTGTCTTGTTGTTGCAAATTCTGACGGCTCTCCAGCCCAGCGCTACCTCCAATGGCTCTCCGTCCCGGCTGCGACCTTCAATGTGGGCAATTATCGTCGGAAAGACGCGGCCCAGCCCACCGCCGACTTTTTTGACACGAACAATGCCGCGGGCGAGCGTACGCGGCGCGCGGCCGCAGAGGCTGCCGTCGCCGACATGATGAAGTGGTTCAAGTCTGGTGGTGTCGTCGGTATTCTCGATGCGACCAATTCTACTAAGGAGCGCCGGAGATGGGTGCTGGAGACGTGCCAGAAGGAGGGCATCGAGACCATCTTTGTCGAGTCAAAATGCGACGACGAAGAGCTGATCATGGCCAACATCCGAGACGTCAAGACGACGAGCCCAGACTACCAGGGACAGGACCCCGAGGAGGCTGCGCAGGACTTCAGGAATCGCATCCGCAACTACGAGAAGATCTACGTCTCGATTGACGAGGACGGCGACGAGAGCGAGATGACGTACCTCAAGATGATGAACGTCGGGCGACAGGTCATCATCAATCGCATTCAAGACTACCTCGAGAGCCGCATCGTCTACTACCTCATGAACCTGCATATCCGCCCGCGCTCCGTCTGGCTCTCCCGTGTAAGTTTTTCTGCAACCCCGCCTCATGGTCTTGCCGGCCGCCAAGACTGACGTAAAGCTTAGCATGGCGAATCGATGTACAATCTCGACGGCAGGATTGGAGGCGACGCGCAACTTTCGCCGCGCGGCGAGCAATACGCCCTGAAATTGCCCGAGCTGGTGCGCAAGTCTGTGGGCGTAAGTTGAACATCATCATGCATATTTCTCTCCCAACTGATTGGTGCTAACATTGGAGCAGGATGACCGCCCGCTGACCGTCTGGACCTCGACTCTCAAGCGGACGATCGCCACTGCGCGCCATCTGCCCAAGCACTACAACCAGCTCCAGTGGAAGGCACTCGACGAGCTCGACTCGGGCGTCTGCGACGGCATGACCTACCAAGAGATCAAGGACTACTACCCCGATGATTTCCGTGCCCGCGACGAGGACAAGTACAACTACCGCTACCGCGGCGGCGAGTCGTACCGCGACGTCGTGATCCGTCTCGAGCCCATCATCATGGAGCTGGAGCGCTCCGAGGACATCCTCATCGTCACGCACCAGGCCGTGCTGCGCTGCATCTATGCCTATTTCATGAAAAAGGATCAGGAAAAGAGCCCTTGGATGCATGTTCCGCTGCACACGCTGATCAAGCTCACCCCCCGCGCCTACGGCACCGAGGAGGTGCGCTACCCGGCCGGTATTGACGCCGTCAGCACCTGGCGCGGCAAGGGATCGACGGCCAAGCACGAGGATCCCGTCCCGGAGGTGATCTGAAGAACCGAAGGGGGTAGTTGTTGGCGAACTGTACGATAGGCTGCTTACGTCAGGACGGCCTTTGCTTTTTTCTTCCTCTCGTCTTTTGAAGTTCGGCACAACCAAAACGATGATTCAAACATGGAGTTTCTAGGTATTGCGCTATTGCATCATGAGGCAGGCATGTCAACGCACATGGCATGCTTCACTGGCGGACTGTACTTTTTTTTCACATCATCGAAGAGTTCTACTGGCATTAAGGGATGGATATGCGAAAACGCCATCCGCAGCTGTTGTTGTGTTTGCGGAAATGGCATAAAGATCATGGACATGTCTTCTGAGTCGGGAGACTACATAGGTATGAGGGCAAAAAGAAAAGGGGGGGAAATATTGTGGCTGTCCGAGGAAGGGAAATGATGTTTATGATACCATGGCTTAGAATTAGGTACCCGGCATCCGTGTGAGATGTACATTGGGGAAACATACAGAATCGCGATGAATTGAATCTTCTTGTCTCTGATGAGCGTATCTCTAGTGCATCTCCAGTGACTGTCCTCTTGTGGGGGTGATTTGATTACCTACTTCCGTTGTGCTTTGCCGTGGTGGCTAGCTTGTGCTCGAGGTGTGGCACTAATATAATTCCTGGATGGGTTGCTGGCGTGGTTGTCACGGCGAATTGCTCCTCAGGGAGTCCTTATCTAGGTCTTCGTGATGAGAGACCCGTTGCCTGTGGTGGTCGGAGTAACAAGCTCGACCGAGGCCGTCGCGATGATGTACGTTTGAGCAATAGACCTGCCCTGAGTGGTGGTGGTACCCTATGCGTCGTCCCTTGGGCTGGGTTCTCTTGCTATCTTTGATACGTCTTGATACCCTTATTTCTGCCTTGGGCCTGAGGCTCAATTTCAGATGAGCCTCGCTCGACCTGCGCAAGACCCTTTATAGGTTCGGTCAAGTGCGTACCACTTCCAAGTCCAATGGTGTGTCAGTCGGTCCGGGCCGACTGGTGCAGCGGTCCAGGGGCCGTTGGGTTAGCATGACAGTCCGTCTCGACGGGGAAGGACTTGACTAACCCCCTTGGCGGGGAGGTGTTCCGTGCACGAAACTGCTAGCCCTGCGCGGCCCTCTTGTCAGCGAGACGTAGATGCGGATGAGATCCGGGGTGGTTCCCGGTTCGATGCCACATCGAACTCCTTAGTTTTGCTTTTTTGCCCCGAGGGGGGATATATTTTTTTGATTCTTGTTTTGGTTCGAATCTGTGCTGTTTCCTTTTGGTATTCCATTTGGTGGTGTGGTATTGTGGGAAGGTGTTGTTGGTGGTGCTTGGTGATGCTGGTTCGTGGTGTTGAGGGATAGGGGGGCGCGATCACTTTATGTTCAGGACGAGGCCATCATCAAGTCCTGGTGAATTTGCAAATACATTTCATAATTGAAGTATCCTAGTCGGCCTTGATGATATTTGGTCTACAGATCCGGACTTTTTTGGAATTCGAGTTCGACGCTTACCCCTGAGCCCCTGAACCCCTGAATCAGCCACATCAATGCGGAACTTGTAAGCCACCACCAATCGTATTGCACTGAATTGAATGATGTTGGCTGTTCTTCTGCATTATACCTCTTCCATTAAATACTCTTTTGTGCACTCTCCGCCGGCCGTGCCTCGCTGTCAATCCATATGACATATTTCATGCTGCAAGTACCTTTCCCTCTTGCCGCTCTTCCCCGTCCTCTCAGCAGAAAATGGATATTTATACAGCACCTGTTACATCTTAGTGCTTTATAGTCAAGAGGTGTTGCCACCGGATAGTAGAGACAACATTGAAGACGCCAAGGCTTACAGCTTGCGACTCTGTGCCTTTCCAGGACATCGGAACATGGGCCCGTTCTCCGGACGAGACGTAGGCCGGCAGTCAACATGGATAAGGTGGTAGTGCTTCTCACTTTCTGAAGCGTTCAGCTTATTAAACAGTCATCGTTCATCGCAAAGTTGTCAATTAGTTCCTTGGTGACTTGAACAATCTGCCTGCCTTGGGCCTCCGATGTCGCTCACTCCTCAACCAAACCATCTTGTTACGTAGGATCTTCCTTGGGCTCGCACACTGTTTCAAAGAGCTCAAAATTCTACTGAGGTCTTTCACATCACGTACAACTTGTTCAAATAGTTCTACCAAGCGAGCGTACGAAGTGAATGATCATCAGGAAGCGTACATAGCGCGACGAAACAACCACAACAACATCAAATCCAAAAGCGCACTAATCACCCCCACCATCCTTCCTTCCCTCTTCCTCTCCCTCTCCCTTCATTTCCGCATTCAGCAGATGTCATTATAATTAGGCAGTCCCTGCCCAGACTGCACAAAGCCGGCGCTCCACTGCGGCGCCGAGTCGCCGACGACGGTGCCCGCCTGCCCGCCCGCGACGCAGAGGGCCTCGGCGCTCGACAGCTGGTTGGCGATGAAGTCGGTCGACGTGGCCATGGTCTGGCACAGCGCGCAGAAGAAGCCCGTGCAGGTGCCCGCCGAGTAGGTCACGCACGAGTTGTCGGCGATGAGCAGGTTGCCGTTGGAGGCGAGCACGTTGTTGACGACGGTCTGGCAGTCGGCGTCCGAGGGGGCGGGGCCCTGTTTGTGATGGCGGAGTGTGTAAGTATGGGGACTTCCAGGGTTGCTCTCCCTTCACGGGGAGAGCAAGAGGGAAAGGTAGAGAAAGGCCGAGGAACGGGTATGGGGGTTGTAAGGGAGAGTGCGGGGGTAGCTATGGGGGATGGGGATTGAAATAGAGACATACACTGGAGCACTCAAAAAAGTCACGAGCCTTGATCTCAGAGCGAGTCGCGGCACGGAAAGCAGCGCGAGGGCTAAGGGGCTGAGCGCCGGCGTTGATATCGCGCTTCTCGACCTCGACGGCAGTGCCAAGAGCAGTGCCGAGGGAGGCAAGGAAGGTGAGAACGAAGAAGGGCTTCATGATGGGAAGATGAATGACACAATGTCAAGTGACAACAAGTGCGAGTGTATTGCTGAGCAGGATCTGCAAGATGAAAGTCTGGTTCTCTGGATGTCAGGCATGAACTGTTCCATGCAGAGGGGAAACTCGGTGCCCTTTTATACCATTATCAGGTTCGCTATTCCAGCAGCAATCCTATTTGACCAGACCCAAGCCCGAGATCGCCATGCCGTACCCAAGAGCTGAGGATGCAACCTGCAAGACACCATCATCCATCCATGATCGGACGACAGAGCTGCGGTCGCGTTGCACCACCATCCTCTTCTGGCAGGAGAACTATCGTCGAGATTGCATCCTTGGTCTAGACATTGCGGGTAGAGATTGGAAGGGCCTCGCTGACATCTTGCCTCTGATCGTCCCTCAAGAGTCCCCTCACGTAAAGAAGCAGGGTCGCCCCCGCGTCACCGCCCAGATGGCGCCAATCAGACGAGGGTCGTGATGCTGCAATGCGACCTCTCTCGGCCTGAGCCGTGTCTTGCGCCCCCGGATGCCTGTCATGGGCGGCGAATTCCAAGAAAGGAGGAAGCCAGGGTCTGGAGGGGCGAGAGTGCTCGCCGATGAGGCCCTGCAAGGACATCATGGCCCAGTCAGACCATTCATCGTGGATAGGTTGCACACAGAGGACGCCCTGCTTCCCCGGAGAGGTGGTTACCCCATGATGCTACCGTGAGACCGAACCCCGGAGCTGAGGGTTTGGATTAGGAAGTTGCAACGCATGTCATCTAGTGTGCGCAAGGACCGCTCCTTGGGAGCTTCCCAAAATATGACGTTTAATATCGAACGAGTGAGGCTTGAGCGAGCTTGCCGCGGTGCACACATAAGGCACAGTAGGACCTGGAAGATGACCAGAAGCCGCTCGGGTCCAAGCAGCGCGAAGGACACTTGTACTAGCCTGCAGACTCTCGACTTCTTATACAGGCCCGAAGTCGCCGCAAAAGATCTTTGAACCCCTTGAGCTCTCTTTTTGCCTGAAATCTACGATCTTCGTCACCGAAACCCGGGAAACCAGACCAAAGCCTGCACTTGCATCTTCGCCCCGACCCTTAATTGATGCTTCCAGGACGTCGGAACAGCCCGCGCAATCGGATTGATTAAATTGGGGGACGGCAATATATGACAGGCAGCCGCAGCAGCGGTCCTTCGAAATAAACAAGGGGAAATCGAAAGGGTAGCTGGGGGCGCTTTTGGGATGTCATACACGCCCAGGCTCGCAGGCGCTCATTGCTCGACGGCGTCGCATTTGGACATTATCCGCAATTTATCCATCATCAGTGCCCACCGAGCAACCGAACGAGTGCGCACAAGCGAGTCTCGTCCCAGCAGTCAATCGACAAGTCAGAAAATGTCCGCGGTATTGAGTCGCAGTAATGTCTCGCCTGCGGTAGTAGCTACCGCACAAAGCTGGGGCTAAGCCTTCTCGAGAGCGATTGACGTTCAGCATCTGCCGATCCCCGAACGTCGCGATGGACAAACAGCCTGCCAAATCACCCTTCCTCACTTGAGAAACAGGTTGACGCACACACGGATGCCGCGGCTGGATATGGAAAAAGCTGGTAGGGGATGCTACTGGCATGGCCCGTATCAAGTGACGTCTGCGCCAGGATAGGACCGGGTTTGTGCAGGATGCTGATGGTGTCCACAAGACGGCAGAGGCGGGACACGGACACGAGGATGGCGAGCCAGGGAAAAACCTGGAGAGCAGGACTGCTGAGAGTTGACGCACGGATAGCAGCTAAGCGAACCATTCGAGAGCCCTCAGCATTGTGCAGCGATAGAAAACACAAGAACCCGAGGCCCGAGGGACGTGGACAATGAAGGACACGGCAGGTGCGGCGTCGAGGTTCAATACTGCTTGCAAGCCTGCCTGCTCAGCAGCAGATGGCCGATCTCGGCGAGTCGTCAGTGAAAGACTCCTCTTTTTCTGATGACAGAAGGAGATTGTACACCGGCCATTGAGTCCCCCCGTGCTCTCAGATCATGGTCTCGAGGACCAATGGATGCCGCGAAAGGACCTCAAAGTTGGCATGGTCAGCTTGAATTCGTTGAGCTGCCACGGCCACTACAGCCTAGCCAGCTCGACAGTTTAGGTCTCGTAGCCTGCTTCTGCCTTATGGAATCGACGGGCTTCGAACTAGAGACAGAGATGTTCTCAACGATGAGCGTATTGAGCTGGCAATGAGCAACTCGTAGTGCTACCATTTGGTGGTCAGTCTTGGTCAACATTTAGCCCAGCATTGGATGAGCCCAAGCTGCCTCAATGCTGTGACAGGTAGTCCGGGAAAAATAGTGGCACCGCTAAGAGCTTATCGGCTTATCGCCCCGACGACCCCACCCAGACTTTTTTTTCTGCAGATTGCGATAAGGCCCAGAGAAAATTCCCAAGCGACCGCCAACACTTCGATTCTCAGTGTACCAGCACCAGCATCCCGCACCGCAGCAATCGATCATGGCTTCCGACCACAGCAAAAAGCGGAAACTTAAGGACGCCAATGGCGTCAAGTCGTCCGACAAGCATGTCGACGGCGTCCGACACAAGAAGGCCAAGAAGTCGAAGCCCGTCGAGGAAGTTGTCGAGGAAGTCCCCGAGCAAGAGGTAGCGGAGAACCAGTCGAACGACAATGACGAGTCTGATGAGGTCGCTGACGAGGTTGAAAACGCCAACGACGAATCCGACAACGATGACGATGAGGCCGAAGGTGAAGACCTGGCTGAGGCCAACCCTGACGACGAGAAAGATCTCTCCCTCCCAATCGAGACTGGCACCAATGCCCAGTCGTTCGCCGAGCTGAACCTGTCTGAGAAGACCATGAACGCCATCAAGGATATGGGATTTGAGACAATGACTGAGATCCAGAGGAGAGGTATCCCGCCCCTTCTCGCTGGCAAGGATGTACTCGGTGCGGCCAAGACTGGATCCGGCAAAACCCTCGCCTTCTTGATTCCCGCCGTTGAGATGCTCCGATCGCTCAAGTTCAAGCCGAGAAACGGCACTGGTGTTATCGTTGTCTCCCCAACGAGAGAGCTGGCTCTTCAGATCTGGAGTGTCGCCAAGGATCTCATGAAGTAGTAAGTGACATGTTGCCAGAAATCGTCTCGGATCCAACCGCTGACAACACGACCAGCCACACGCAGACCCACGGTATCGTCATCGGAGGAGCAAACAGGCGAGCGGAGGCGGACAAGCTCTCAAAGGGTGTCAACCTCCTGATTGCCACTCCCGGTCGACTTCTCGACCACCTGCAAAACACACCATTTGTCTTTAAGAACCTGCGATCTCTCATCATCGACGAAGCCGACCGAATTCTCGAGATTGGTTTCGAGGATGAGATGAGGCAGATTATCAAGATCCTGCCCAAGGACGAGCGACAGACCATGCTATTCTCTGCAACACAGACGACCAAGGTCGAGGATCTGGCCAGGATATCTCTGCGCCCCGGCCCGCTCTACGTCAACGTCGATGAAGAGAAGAAGTTTAGCACTGTGGAGGGCCTGGAGCAGGGCTATGTCATCTGCGAAGCCGATAAGCGGTTCCTGCTGCTGTTCTCCTTCCTCAAGAAGATGCAGAAGAAGAAGGTCATTGTCTTCTTCAGCAGCTGCAACTCGGTCAAGTACTATGCCGAGCTGCTCAACTACATTGATCTGCAGGTTCTCGATCTTCATGTAAGTACCAGCAGGCTATCACCAGCCAACCATTCATTTTCTAACAGGTTCCTCAGGGCAAGCAAAAGCAGCAGAAGCGGACAAACACCTTTTTCGAGTTCTGCAATGCCGAGCAGGGCACCCTGATTTGCACTGACGTTGCTGCCCGTGGTCTCGATGTAAGTCTATACTTGTCACCGATGATGCACATAGTCTCGAATACTAATGCCTCCACCCTTTCGCAGATCCCCTCGGTAGACTGGATCGTCCAGTTCGACCCCCCAGACGACCCGCGCGACTACATCCACCGCGTGGGCCGCACAGCCCGCGGCTCCAACACAAAGGGCCGCTCGCTCATGTTCCTGCTGCCCTCCGAGGTCGGCTTTCTGACCTACCTGAAGCAGGCGCGCGTGCCCGTCGTCGAGTTCGACTTCCCCGCGAAAAAGGTCATCAACGTGCAGTCGCAGCTCGAGAAGCTCATCGGCCAGAACTACTACCTCCACCAGTCGGCCAAGGACGGGTACCGCTCCTACCTGCACGCCTACGCGAGCCACAGCCTGCGCAGCGTCTTCGACATCCACAAGCTCGACCTGGCCAAGGTGGCCAAGAGCTTCGGGTTCGCGACCCCGCCGCGCGTCGACATCACGCTCGCGGCGAGCATGAGCAGGGACAAGAAGACGCAGGGCCGGAGGGCGTACGGGAGCCAGCCTCGGCAGGGAGGGGGTGGTGGTGGCGGTGGCAAGTTTAGGAAGTGATTTGGGGGGGTCGCATTGCATTCTGTGTTCGAGGATCACTTTGCCTCTTTTTTCTTCATCAGACATGTTTGTTTGTATGGCACATTAGGGGACTACTGCGAGGCGTTAGGCATTAAAAGTTGAGTTTTTGTCCAGATATCTATAAATGGAAGTAAAAAGGCACTTTACAGTGTGCAAACGGATCAACGGCAGTAGTGACACAGGCAGTAAGCCCGGAACGTAGATGTTGTAAACACAGCAGTTGATTCCATGCAGTGCGGTGGTAATATCAGAAAATGCAGGACAGAACAGCAGTGGACAGAAGAATATTAAACAGACTTCAGAGAATCAAAAGCAAAACAGAAATCATAACTGAATCAAGAGACAGCTTCATTTTTTGTACTTTTCCATGATCCCTAAAACCATCCATGCTTCTCCTTATGCACTCCCCTCCATCCTGTTTCATCATCTCATTCATGGTACCGTACTTGAAAGCCCCCTTTCCATCAGTAGTCGTCAGCACACCGACGACCATCATTGCCATGTATGTATGTACTGGCCGTCACGGCTGAGCCCAGGGGCCTTTTTCCACGGAGGCATGTCAAAATGCCATGCTTTACTCCTCAACAGCACAGTCATCGATCGACGAGTTTCGCTGGCCCATATGCATATGTGCAGAAACGCTCAGCTCAGGTCACCGAAAGGGCCATCCACGGGGCCCCTGAGCAAGCTCCATGGATGACGAGAGTGGCAAAAGAGAAAATCCTGCCCAGCAAAAGTCCACTCTGAAACGCCTATACCGAGTGTCGCAAACCGAAAAGTTGGCGACACAACCGCAAAGAAGAGAAGAACTTTGGGGTATCTGGTCCAAAATATGATAGGGCCGCCTCGCAGAGAAAGGTAAAAAATGATGCGGCAACTCGAAAATGGAATGGTCGTACTGTACAATACAAATATAGCTGAGCTGAGCATTTGCTGCTGGGAAGCAAGCCACCTCATCCGGACGTCCAAGAGATTTGATCAGTCATCGCTTCCCTTCGTGCAAGTCGAAGGATGCCCAACAAGTCTCTCCGGTCAAGTCAAGCATCATGGAATCCATGTGGTCAATCAAGAGACAGTCGTTGTCGTTTCAGTCATGCAAGCGGGTCGTGCACCATCGTCCTTCACGCGGTTCCGGGAGGCTTGCCGGCATCACCGCCCTGAGCTTGTTGCTGTTGGGCATAAGCATACCAGAGGGCCAGGTAGGCTTGATAGCCGCCATCTAAAAGAATGTTAGTAAAGGATACTCCAATCAATAATATGGGGAAGGAGAATACATACAAGCTGCATATGGGTCAGCGCCGTCTCCGGAACCACCAGCAGGTGGCTGAGCGGCGGGAGCCTGGCTCGGTGCCTGGTGGCTAGGCTGGCCGTAGCTGGGGTTGTCGTAGTCGCGAGGGGGTCGGCCGCGGCCTCCTCCCGGGTGGCTGCCCTTCTGTCGAACTGCGTCGACCTTGTCCTCGATGGCCTGCTTCGCCAGGCTGATGGCCTCGCGGGTGCCGACGAGGCCAATCTCTCGCTCCGTCTCGTTGGGTCCAGAAGGCTGGGAGACATTGATCTTGCAGCCCGTGGAGCTCTGCATCTCACGGATGGTCTCGCCTCCCTTGCCGATGATCATACCGACTGCCTCGGAGGGAACATAGATGGAGTCGTTGATCTTGTCATGACCACCGTGGCTACCGTGGCCACCTGCACCACCATCATGGGCGTTGCGGGCGTTGCGAGGGGGGCCGCTTCCGCCGGCGTTGGTGTTTCTGCTGTCGCTGTCGACAATTTCCATGATCAAGTCCTTGGCTACAATGGCAGCCTGACGGGGGCCAATCAAGTTGACAGGGCGCAGTCCGTTGACGCTCTTGGACTCACCAACGATGTTCACGTGGCATCCGCTCCGCTCTTGAAGATCACGGATAGTCTCTCCACCGCGGCCAATGATGAGGCCCACTGTTCTATCGGGGACCATGATCTGCAGGCAGTCCTCTCCCTCCTTAAGAGGAGGCTGGGTGTTAGCACCGGACGGGCCTGCACCGCGGCCGGCATCACGTCCTCCACGGTCAAGTCCGGCTCTAGCAATGGCTCCCATGCCGCTGTCCTCGATGATGCGGTTGATGGCCGCCTTGGCCTCGGCTCGGCGAGCACGAGGGCCGGTGATCTTACATTGGCGCTGATCGGCACTGGGGGAGCTGGCGGGCAGGAACTGAACGCGGCACTGGCTGTCGCCCTCTACGCGACGGAGATTCTCACCCTGGCGTCCGATGATCAAGCCGACCAGGCTGGCCTCCACCTCAATGACCTCAGAGTTATCGTCACCACCGTCACGGCCAGAAGCATGTCCGCCACGAGGGGAAAAGGCTCCCGAATTCCGGTCATGGCCACGGGGGGAGAAAGAACGGTCACGTCCATATCCACCGCGGTCCTCACGACGCTCATCTCTATAGGGATTGTGGTTGTCGCGGAAGGCGTCACGGCGCGCGGGGGGCGAGCGAGAGCGCGAACCACGGTAGCGCTCGCCATCGCGTGGTGGCGGGTTGTAGTTGGCGGGTCGCTCGTAGGGCGTGACGCCGTTGCGAGCCGCATGTGCCTTGGCGCGGGCGATGGCCTCGTCGATGCTGACGGAGCCCGACTGGGTGGGCTGGACGGAGCTCAGGTCGAGGTTCCCGCTGGAGGTAGGCTGGGGGTAGGAGTATGCCGGAGGTGGCGCGCCGTAGCCGGGAGCGCTTGGGGGTTGTGCTTGGTACGGTGCTTGGGGCAGCGGGTAGCCTGCGCCGCCAGCTGGGGGAGGTGGTAGACCTGGCTGTCCCTGGGGGGGCGTCGAGGTTGGCGCTTTCTGGGCGGCTGAGGAACTGGTCAGTGGTGATCGCGGGCTCGCAGCCGAATCACGGATGGGCTTACCTAGGGCAGCCAGAATGGACTCGAGGTTCCGAGTCGGGTCGGCCATGGTGTTCCAGGTAACAATGGCAAACAAGTGAGAATACTGCAGTAGCGGATGCTGGCGTTCAGTAAAAACCCTCGATGCGCAAGTAGGTATTCCTGCCTGTGCAGCGAGTTCACTTGACCTGTCCACTCCAAGAATGCGAAAGCAGATCCGGTCCAGAGGCTGGCTGGCTTTGCTCTTGTACGAGGTGCTGGTAGCCTGGATCGTTCAAGACAAAGAGTAGGTGCGACAACAGCAGGCGAGAGAAACAATCTACACGTCAGACAAAGCAGGACGAACGATTCTTCTGCGCGTCGCGGCGCTCACACACAAAAGGTGGTGGTGGTGGGTGGACTTGTCTGGAGAATCAGAAGAGAGAAGAATGAATAAGGCAGCAGATGCAGGCGACAATAGAAGTGATTGCGCAACAATAGTCTGCGGTGAGAGGCCCCAGGGTGCATTCAGAATTCCAGAGATCAAGGCGACGGGTGAGTGCACAATCAATTGAGGCAGCAGTTCAGCTTCAGCAGGCGGTCACTCAGTAGTAGTGCGCAGGGTCATCAGCAATGCAGGAAGCAGCTCAGATTGCGAATGACTGTTGTATGACAATCCTCTGGTCTTGATGGCGACGTCGACGTGAAAGTGATGTGTCCAAGAACCCGACCTCCTGCTCTGAAAACGTGGTGAATCGGCGAAGGAAGGGATGGAGAGAGCGAGAAGTGAAAAAAAGGTGGCGGTGGATGAAACTGGATTTTTGGAGGGCGTGGTAATCAAGGTTTCAGTGGCCGCTTTGGGCCAGAAAAAATTAATTTTGCCGCCATCACCCACCACCCACATCGCCCGCCCGCCCACCGCCTAGTGACGCTCCGTGTAATATTCCGCCACCTGAGCTCACCGCACCGCACCGACTGTGCTGGAGTCTCAATATGTGGTGGGGCTTGCCTAATGTGGGAAAGTACAAGTAAAGAAGATGGAAGAAAAGCCAAGCTCAACTGATCACTGACCAAGCGTCGCACGGACCTCACAACATACTTGTACTTGTAGACACAAGAGGTTCCGAAGCTCCTGACTCTCCCCAAAGCGTATCAAAGATGGCCATCCTTACTTTCATGACCTGCGCCAATTGACCTGGGCCGAGGAACGGCTCCTGTCGGAATCCCTCGGCGAGTATGGCAAGCCCAACGAAGCTGAGAAGATCGACCTCCGTGATCTTGCCCGGGATTGGGCTGCGCCTCTTGGCAGTTACATGGGGACCGACTGGGGCGACTTGTACGCGAGAGCTTTGACCGAGCCCAGGACACTGAGTGATGCCGAGCGAAGACTCGTGCTGGGATGGCCATCCGCCGAGGTCGAGGAGGCGAACGTGCGCCAGGCGACAGCCCATCTAGAGTCCGGACCGCTCAGCGCGACCGAGCTCATAGCCAGGACAGCCGACTGGGATGGCTGGAGAACGCTGGCCCTAGAACTTGCTGGTCTCATCGCCAATGAGTTCAATCTTTGTAGTAACAAGGAAGAGCCTGTCGTTCGACACGTCCCAACGCTTGTTTCGTATGACATAGAAAGCACCCGCACGCAACAAGAGAGATGGGCATGGAACGCCGCTGCATGCGTTTGGCAAGACCTTGCTGCGGGAAAACCCAGTATCTATCTAGAGGAACGCCACTGGGTCGTTGAGGATGGTGGAGAATGGGAGGACTTGAAGCCCGTAGGCCGTGATAGTCAACAGCGCCTCAATGATATGAATCGTCTGGCCCTCGAATATCCTGGCCTAGGCGACTGGGAGCGAGGACACATCTTGGATCAAGAGCCATTTGGCATGGTATTGTATGTTTCCAAAGAATTACGACAGGCCTATACTCGATTCCTTGAAGACAACCCCTCTTTCTGGGATTAGAATTACCCAGAATATGCAGACCCTTTCTGGAATCACTTCCACCGCGCCATCTTCCGAGACGCCGTGATTGCATCCGTGGGGCGATTGTGGCAACATAGAAGGTGCCAGGACTTGTTCGACCTCATGGGATATCAGAGAGGGAAGGGGGGATTCGAAGAATCCGATATTGATAGTTTCAGACGGCAAGTCACTTGCCTTACTTCATATGTAAAAGTCCGCCAAATATTAACACTCTTTTTCATAGAGATTTCCGCGAGTTGCGTCAAACTTCCCAGCTGAACAAGGGCATTTCAACAAGGTACTTCGCTATCTTACCCCAGGAGTTAGGTTCCTATAAAGCCATGTTCTAGTGGCCTCGCTCAGAGCAGGACGAGTTTGACCCTTGGTTTTAGCTGTGCGATGCGGCTCTTCCTTTGGTAGATTCAGATGGGGTACCTAGGGCCAATGTGGGCAGTGTCAAGGTGAATCTCACTTCGTTATATACCTGGGGATTCTCGAAAGTCGAGGATGAGAAATCTAATCTGTCAGATTTCCAAGAGCCAGAATCGGAGGACGAATGTGACAAATGTGGCGAATGTGCAAAGTTGCCATTATGGAACGCTTGAGTCAGCACAAACAATATTGAACTCAATATCCACTCAAGAGGCATGCACATAATCAGACGTCAGTTTAAAAGAGGCCAACTGGACTGGGTCAAATCTATTTTGCAGTCTCTCCCAAGACCTTACTAGAATGAACCAAATCGAAAGCGAGAAGGTCCTCCACCTGCGGCCGCATGCTCTGCACACCAAACTTTCAGGTCCTATTCCTATGATTTCAAGAATCTGCATGTCACTCTCACAGGTACAGCTGTACATTTTCTGGCCAACCCCTCCTCCTCTTCCCTGCCTGCCGGAAATGTATTTCCCATCAACAAGACCGCGTCTGGGAATTTCGTCAATTTATTCACGAACTGCAAACCTGGGAAAGAATAGATTCCGTCAAAGGGCCATCATCGCTCGAGACGCCCATTATTTCTATTGACGTCTTCTCATTCCAAAGACTCACCTAAGATGATGGGAGCAGCCCAATGGGACCCAGTTAGCCAGCTTCACTGCCCTGATGTCTCGGATAGGTACTTACGGCTCTTCTAGTCGCAAAAGAAGGTGGTGGTGAATGAGATCCTCATTCCCACGCCTGCGGAAGGGCAGTTCTTGATCAAGATGGCGTCAGCCAGCTTATGCCATTCAGACCTCATGTCCATCGCTATCCGCGACCGCAAAGACCCCGTCACTCTGGGGCACGAGGGGGCCGGATACATTCACGCTATGCACCCGTCGACTCAGGACAAAGGGTTCAAGATCGGCGACGCAGTGGGTTTCCTCTACGTCCAGGACGGATGTTTCGAGTGCGCGGGGTGCCTGGTCCACAACTGCCACTGTCTCGTCAGCCAGTCGCACACAAACGGCTTCGAGATTCCCGGCTTCTTCGCCGAGTACGCGCTGGTGGACTGGGAGAACTGCATCGTGTTGCCCGAGAGCATGGACGTGAGGGAGGCATCGCCCATGTTCTGTGCTGGGCTGGCAGGTAACTAACTACCTTTGCCCTGCTCCATCCTAGCTGCGAGGGACTAGTGGTGACTAATACGCCATGGCCAGCCTTTCACTGCGTCGACTCCTGCGAGCTGGAGCCCAACGACTGGGTTGTTATCGTAGGTTGCGGGGGCTTAGGCCAGTTCGCCATCCAGTTCTCCAAGGCGATGGGCGCCCGCGTCATCGGCGTCGACATCAACGACGAGACACTGGCCAATGCTAAGGCTCAGGGGGCCGACCTCATATTCAACTCTCGCACCGATTCCCATACCCGCGATGAGATCTTACGTGTCACCAACGGCGGCGGCAAGGCCGTCATTGTTTTCAGTGCGGCAGAGGCCGCCTACGAGAGCGCGATCCCTCTGATCCGCGTCGGCGGGATCCTAATGGTAGCCGGACTACCCGCAAATGGGATCCGGTTGGACGCGTTGGCCATTGCGACCAAGCGGTTCATCGTAAAGGGGGACTCTACGTCCACTCCGCAACGGATGAAGAAGGGTATCGAGTTTGCGGCGAAGCACGGTGTCAAGCCCGTGATTCAGACATTTGACAGCTTGGATGCCGTACCAAAGATGGTAGATCTAATGCAGCAGGGGAAGAGCACGGCGAGAATGGTGGTTCAATTTGCATAATCGAGCAGATCAACAAAGCTGAGGTCAACGGAAGTAATTAGATATAGTGAATTTCTGGACAGATACAATTTGGGCGACACGCCAGGAACTTAATTACGCACTTAATAGGTCAGCAGTCTTCTCCTCCTACCCAAACCTTCATCGGGCCTTATCTTCATTCATGCATGGCCCGCAGTGGACATCTCAACAGCACCAGCCTCCGTCAATGTGATGAACGGCCCCAGTGATGAACTTTGACTCGTCACATAGGAGCCACGCAACTAGGCTTGCTACCTCCTGCGGTGTGCCCCGCCTCTGGATCTGGTGCTTCCAGGTAATCTCGCCGCCCCTGGTTGCCTTCGCCGCCGCTTGCATGGGTGTGTCGATAATGCCAGGCGCCACGCAGTTGATCCGGATCTCCCTGTGCCCGACCTCTTTGCAGGCCGCACGGCTGAGACCAATGACACCCGTCTTGGAGGCCGTGTAAGCCGCGTTCTTGGGGAATCCGGTTACGCCCGCGATGGACGCCGCATTGACGATACTCCCCTGGTCCTTCATAACGCCCAGCTGCGCTCGCATGCAGTGAAAGGTGCCCGTGAGGTTCACATCGAGGACGAACTTCCAGTCCGGAGTGTTGTGGTGCTCGACGTCCTCGATGTTGATGACCTTGGGCACGACGCCGGCCATGTTGACGGCGCCGTCGAGCTTGCCAAACTTGGCCACCGTCTTCTCGATCCACGAGTTCACCTGGTCCTCCTCGCGGACGTCCACAACGGTCGCCATGACGCTGTAACCCGCTGAGGACAACCTGTCCGCAGCTTCATTCAGGGCTTTCTCCGTGAGGTCTGCCATGGAGACGTGGACGCCCTGTGATGCGAGGAGCTCCGCCACTGCCAGACCGATCCCTGAGGCGGCGCCGGTGACAGCGATGACCTTGTCTTTTATATCCCAGTTGACGGGCATCGTTGATCAAGATTCTATCGTAACTGCAGGATGTTCAATGGATCAGGAGTAGTAAGAGGATCTCTTGGAGTTTGGACCCTTGATTCACATGCAATAAAGGTAATGCGGGGTGGACGGCAGTTGAGGATGAGACATGATCGTTTAAGTACCTTCCAATACAAGCTTCCGGGGAAGAAAATACCGGCCTTCGCATGTTCAGATGCATAAACCTTTGAGAGTTTAGGATTGGTAGGGGCTGTTGAAATCTGACCCCGCCATCGCGGAACCGACATATCCGGTGACAAGCTATGTTGGGCAATGTATGCATTTCTATCCTTCTCCACAAAGGTGGGCGAGATATACCCGTTTGGACAAGACTCAATGAAGGAGAGAGTGTGACTGCAAAACGATTCTAATATAACACGTTCTCGTGATCCTACCCTCCTGGCATTGCCCGACTTTAGAGAGGACTCTTTGACAGACGATAGTTTCCCAATCTCAGTTCCTCTGGAGACCATTTATTCAGTAGAGTTGAGCATGATATGTGCTGATACTGCAAGATCGAGCCGGGATAGTTTGGCTCTTTTTCTTCGTAAAGTACTACGGGTAGTCCTAATTCACTCAGAATACTTTTGTTAGCAGGTGCCAAGTGAAGGAAGCCTGGAAATACACTGGCGAATCGCCTACCTCTGGTGGAAGGGGTGATCAAGTCCCAAGGGGATGATCTGGCTCTGAAAGACGATCCGCTTCCGAACGCCGACTTATTTGTGAACGCCACAGCAAAAGCGTCCTCTACCTTGACATGTCCTGGACTGTTTTTCTTATTCGAATTTGATGACGCTGGGGCAATTCCTTTAGGGCCTTGAGGAGCTGTGGCCAAACTCGGGGCAGGACTCTCTCCACTTGCTGCTTTGTGGTAGTCGTTGGTGGCCTGTGCCCATCGAGACTTGAGTGACTCTTTCGAACCTAATGAGCCGAAGAGCCCCGAGAACCCCGCTGAGCCTGACTTAGGAGCAGCAGGAACTGGTGTGATACCCTGTCCAAGTGAAGACCTTGGGCTTGAACCAGCATTTGAGCTGGGTTTCGGATAAGGTGGAATGAAAAGCCGATCGCTTGGCTCCGGCGTTACCGTCTCTGTGGTCAGGTCAGATACAGTCGTCGAGCTCGCTTTTGCTTGCGGGGTCCTAATTGGAAGTCTTTTTGATTCGGGTGACTTTTCTAGGTGCGGCTGTCAGTGTCTTTCGTTGCCTGATCAGAAGTTCATTGGAGACGAGATTAGCTCACCAGCAGGGTCAGGAGCGGAAACCTGTCTCTCGTGCACTTCAGTAGACCCTGAAATACGACTTGATGACTGCAGCCAATAAGCTAGAGGGAAGATTTGAGTTAGAGCAAGGAAGTAACACCATTGCATCAGTTCCCGGTCCTTCTCAGAACTCAGACTTACGTGCCGGTTCATGGGTTCGGTGTCGTTTGCAGGTACGCAGGCCTTCTGTCAACATCCGAACGTCTCTTTCAAGTTGGCTGCGTTCCTGGCTGACTTGCGGTGATTCTGCTGCTAAGCTCGACAACATATCCTCGCCCATCTCGTGGACCATGGACGATGTCAACATGGACGGTAGCTCAGATATCAAACAGTTCTCCGCTGCAAGGATCATGACGTTCTCCGTAAAAGTCCGCAAAGACATCTAACAGGCATGCCTCAGTACATATGTCCAAGCTGAAGGATACGGTGTCCTACCTCGTAGTATACCATAGCCATGTCAACAACCTTCTCCAGGCCAAAAGGGCTGGTCTCGCTCCCAAGCGACTTGAGCACAATGTCTTCCATCATGCTCTCCGATATGCTCAGAATCTGCGAGCTCCCAAATATCGCTAGATGTCTAGTGGCTGAAATATCCTCCACCTGTTTAGCCACACGCCGTTTCTCCCTGAGTGAGAGCTCACGGATGAACATGGCTTCGCGGGTGATGGCTTCCCCGTGAGTATAGTGTTTCAGAAGCTCTTCCAATTTCTGTTCAAGACAGAGAGAACGTTGTTCAAAGAAAGGGTCGACGTATTCTCGGAACAGGGAATTCCGTGTTTCTTCGTCACCAGCTGTGATGTGTCCCAGTGCCAGTTCGACGAAAACCTTGGCTGAGTTCATCACAAGGTCGAGATACATTTTTGCAATGCTCTTCCACCGTCGGGACTGGTCGCGGAAATGGTCCAGAGCGAGCCTGTCATTTGGTGACCCAGGAAAGTTGGTGCTTTGATTGACCAATGCTTGAGTCTCCAGCTCATCCTTGAGCTTGGTCCATGAAACCTCTTCTGGGTCATCCACGGCATATAAATCCATGTAGAGTGCTAATGCAGGCGAACTCTCTTCCCCTTCTTGACGAGCTTGGAGCTCGGGATCGCCGTCGTTCCATCGAAGCTGTCTTCTAATTCCTTTGGAACTAATCACCCTGTCGAACGCATAACTAAGATTCCTGAAGACAGCACGTAGCCTGCGACCATCGCTTTTGTAATGAGGACCACTCGGATAGTCGAGCTCAGAGGGATCCCCGAAGAACTTGTCATCATAGGTGCCCCGGACAGCAAGGCGAGCAAGGTCACGGTATCTTTCTGCGATGCCAAGGAGGTATTGACGTAGTTCAGCCGGAGTCGTTCGAGGTTGCCCCATACGAGTTAGAGCCTCGCGTCTAGCCTCAAGCGTCTTCTCAATGTCTTGAATGACCCCTGGGAGGCTTAGCTGAATATGCTTTGTAAGGACCTTGCTCAGCCTCTCTCGGAGGCTCCTGATGCCTTTGACGTTTTGGGATAATGGCTCCCAAGTGCCCTGGGAGAAAAACTGCTCTTCGGCCTCGTCTCTACTCTTGTCAGAAGTTCGCGACTGTCCTTGGCCTTGCTCGTCATTGGCATCAGGCCCCCGGTTGCGCAGAACATGCCATCCGTGCTTGAGCGTATGAAGAGGCTCTTGATTTCGAATTAGACGGATGTACTTGCTCTCCTCCGTTGAGTTCGGCGCCAGTCTGTCGGGGTTGGTGATGACCCCCATAGTTCGCTCCCGGTTCGGGTCATGCTGCTTGGCCTCTGTGAGAATCCCTTGGTTCGAAAAGTCGTAACTAGCGTTCACGACAGCCAGTATGATGCTGTTCTTCTGCGCCATATACTTCTCGACCAGCTTCCAGACAATCCCCATCCCTTCGCGAGACTGATCTGCTGTTGGATTTCGGTATATGCCAGGTAAATCAACCAGCGTTAGTGACGGCAAGTCTGGGCCAGACACTTCGATGTGCAGGGCATCCTGTGTAAAGCCATTGGCGTCGTTTTGAACCCCCATCTCGATCTTGGCGCGCTCAATAAGATCGGGCAACGCACTAAGGTCGAGCGTGCTCTCGCCGAACACCAACTGCTCGTCGGCAGAGTCGGCATCACTCTTCAGGACCTTGACCAGGACCTTTTCGAGGGGAGAAGACCTGACTACTAACTCGGTCGCAAAACGAGTGCATATCCCGCCTTTGATGGGGAAGCGAACGCGGGATATCGCTTCAAGAACAGAGGATTTCCCAGACGACTGATCACCGACGACGATGATCTGGGGCAGATGAACAATCTCGCCAACGCCTTGACTTCGAAGTCTGTCGACTGTATCTAGTAGTGTCTTTTGTTCTCGATTCAGCTGACTGAACGCTTCGGCATCTAGATTTTGGGCCATGATGGGTCAAAACAATTCTTGAGGAGAAGTGTATGATAAGTCCTCGCAATTAATGGAGAGAAAGTAGTTGAAAGCAATGCAAATGAACAAAACGCCTCTTCATCTCCCCCTCTAGAGTATCAGAGCCGCCCATTCTTTCAGCTCATGCAGGCATACAGGGGACATCGGAACCAACAACCATATCTGTGGACCAATGAAATCGCTAAGCGCCCAGAGCTGAGACGCTCAAAGGCACGGGGGACGGATGCCTAGAACGGCTTCTGGAGGCAAATATGGTGAAATATCGGAAGATTATCACGAATGCCTCATATCTTCTCGCGAATGGAGGTGTGCATGCTGTTGGTTAGCTGCACTTGCTTGGAGCACGCAGGAGGAGAACTGGCAGATCCACACGACAGAAAACATTGAGCTACACACTAAACGTTTGATCATACTATTTGGGCAGGCCTTCTTCTCGTCCTCGTATGGTCTATTCAAGACTTTGTGTCTGGTTGCCTTTTTCCTATTTTCGTTCTTTTGGAGTCCAGGAACAACCAAACAACTCTACTGTGAACTCAAATGCAGAGCCAACTCCTGCTACCAATCAGGAACAGTTGCTCCGGACCTAATGCCGCGGTTGACTACCTCCACAAACCTTATCCGGTTCCCCTCCAGTGTTACGTTATGACCCTTGCAACTTCCACAAACGTGACATAACGAATCATACGAATCATAGGCGCTTGTCACGAAATGACTACTGCTGATTCGGATTCGCAGCAAGGCTTGCTGACTCAATTGTTCGAAAAGGCCGAAGCCGAATTCCCTCCACGGTTTCGCGAGCATGGATGGTATCTGACCGTGGTGAGTGACGTCGATTGCAATCTTCATCGCCGCACACCTGTTTCCATATCCGACCCAAGGACTATGGCCTACAAATCCGCCACAAAATTGACACGAGGCGTCGGTAGATCGCATCGCTGATCGGCAGTGGGCAACAAAAGCTCGTCGGTCGGCTGTACGAGCATCTAGTCGCCCAGCCCCAGTACCAAACCTCGGCTGCTCGACAGGCACTGGTCCGCCGTATGAGGGAGGCGATGGTCAAGTGTATCATCATCAATGGGATACCGTCTGTCATTGAGGCGGTCACGTCTGTTGCAGATGTGGAGAAGCCCGAGGATTGTGACTATTCTTGCTCAAGGTGAGTTGACATGTAGTTCACTTGATCACGGTCCAGATCGGGCTCTCAACATCATATAGAGAGGATTGGCAGGTCGGTCCAGAGACATCGGAACGCGCTGCAAACGTCCTCAAGGTGCTTTACAAGAGCGAGAAAGGCGGTCATGTCAAGACTCTGCAGTCCCATCGTGATATTCGTGAGTCCTGCTCGATCTACAGCTTACCCCGTAGCGAACACCCTTTGTCCAACATTCGCTGACTACTTGCAACCCTCGATGACAGCCTGGATCTCAGTAAACATCTCTTACGGCCTGTTTCTGTCAGATCATCGAATTCTCAATATCCAGGAGACCGAGCTGGTTGTCCTTCCCGCCATCATGGCCCAGAACCTCCGTGCCCCAACATACTGGCATCTCAGAGCTTGTCTCAGAGTGGGAATCGAAGCAGAAGAGGTCGAAGCTGTGCAAAAGATCATCGAGGCCATAGCAGCGCACGGCGGCAGGACCCTGGACGTTCAACGTGTTCGAGATGTGACAGATGCTTGAGGAAACGGCAGGTTTGTCAAGATGCATCTAAGCAGAGTAGATTACAAATCAAGGCAGAAAAGACAATTGACAGCACTGGCCTTATATGCAGTCCACCAAGTGATGTTAAGCCCTTGAAGAGGATATGACCCGATGTGAATGCCAAGAGATGCTGATGCACCCAGCAAGGTGTGAGAGGGGAGGCCCCTCATTCGTTCGCTCGGAAACTCAAGAAAGGTACATCGCAAGATGCCTCCAGCAGTCAAAAGATTATCAGCCATACTGCATACCATACACGAGTAAATCGCTTTTGGCAGGTAACATGGACCATGCAACTGAATACCCACTCGAAGAGGCGAGGTAACATGCCGGCGGCCCTTTCTGCCATCACTGGATTGTATCATACGTTGCGACCGGATATCAGGTGCGGTCTCCAACAGAAAAGGCATATTTAAACCGACTTGTCTTCTCCTTCAAGATTGATGGCCCTCTTCGCCCCAGTTGCAAAAAGAACATCCCCACCAAAGACACGACCAACGACCAACAAACAAAAAGCCTTGTCGGGAACCATGTATCTTCTGAAACACGTCGCAGCCTGGAGCGTCTTCTTAGGGCTCTCTGTAGCAGCTCCTTCTAACATGGGGGCCGCCCTCATCAACAGTCAAAGGTATGATCGGCGCTACATTAAACTTTCTGATTAATACTGAGCTGTTGAATCAAGGGATACTTGCGTTGAGAAGAATTATCCATCCAGAGCGGCATGTGTAGCCGAATGCTTGGGCAACTGTGTATGGACTGGATCTGATAGCGGGGGGCACTATTGCTATTGTTAGGGTTGGAGAGACCTGAGTCTTTTGCGATTGAGTCTAGTAACCTGAACATTGCGGAGTTATAGCTGCTTGACGCAGTCAATAAATGAGGGATATTATATTTGGCTATCTGGCGATCGAACCTTGGAGTACAAGCCTTGGCGACTGAAGTGCGGCAAAACCTTGTTCAACGTGTTCATAGACTATCTAGACCACGGTCCACAGTGGTGTCTTTATGACAATGGCCCTCGCAATAGAGCGTGACAGGCACTGCTCCTTCAGAGGTAAAAGTAACAAAAGGGACCCGATGTGGTATCCATAACCTCCCCAATGGTGATGGAAGGAGCGGCGTAACCCATGTCGATCACGTCACTTAGACTCGTCTCTCGGGAAGGCGGGTCGTTTGCCCAGGTGATATGGCCGTAATTGCCAGCCTTGATCTCCGCTTTCCTTGTGGCCGGGTCCAGCGCTTGCCTATTAGGTTACTGTCAGCCACCGCTTCTCTCTATGAATCACAATCGGACCCTACCAGTATGTCCACATCCGGTCCATTTGGCCGTGATGTACCCAAAATGCAGGATCTGCCGGCGAGGTGAAGAGGTCTCCTCCAGGGTCGCCGCTAGCAAGTATCAGTCAGACAATGAGAGCGTCATCTGGAAAGGCTCTCACTCTTACCCAATAGTATAGTGGATGCCTCCATGCGGGCCAATCTCGGCCGTGTAGGGAACTCCCTCGGACACATGGCGGTATGCATCGAAGTCGGGTGCTGAAAGAAGGTCTAGCCACAAGGTTACCATCCCGCTCACTGACTGTCCGGCCATCTTGTCAGTCTTTCCAACTCACTGTTCATTGTTGTCCAGTTGGCATATCGCATGTTCATCGCTCCTCCCAGGTCCCGCTTCAGTCTTCTTGGGTTGTACCCAAGGCCCCCGTCTGGGCCAGGCTCGACGCCTAGTAAACCACCCACTGGGCCAAGGTTGACCGTCATGTTGGCGAATGCGCCAGTGGTCACGAAACTACCACCTACCCCGGCGGGAAGCTGAATATCACCACCGCCGACTCCTGGAGGAGGACTAATGACGGGTCCCTTGTGCGGGATGTAGTCCCCGTTACCCCCAAGACTCGTATCGCTCCCGTCGAAGAGCGGCGAATCCTGGGGCGCCTCCGCGTATCGTGCCCAGTCCCAATACTTCGGTCGTGGTTAATAAGTTCAGACCTAGACTGCATGCTGAACAGGCTGGACTCGTGGACTTACTGGTTGGTATCCGGTGTAGTTGCATTCCTCTCGCAGCGCATTCTCGTACGACCACACAAACCATCGGTGCCACGGCATGAAGTTGCCAGTGTAGTGGATGGTCATGGTCTGCTGGATATGAGTGACGACGAAATCATCGAACTAGGCGCAATTTTAGTCGGGTTCTATCCACGCTACATCGCACGAAGCAGATACGACTGACCCGAGATTTGGCTCCTGACGAGACATTGGCCGGAGTGCGTGCCGGCAATGATTGCAGACATTTGACCGCGTTGATGTAGTCGAGCTTCTCCTGCCTGGAGAGTGTACCACTGTTGTACTATTAGTGCTTCGTTCTGTAGGCAGATTGCGTAGCGATCAATACATACTATTCCCGGCGAGTGACAAGTTTATCCGGTGTGCAAGCTGGTTCCTGTCCCCGCTTGCGCAGCTCAATCGTCCTTTCACGGAGTTCGTCCGCGAATGCCGATTTGATCTCGGTGACGAGTGCTTCGGCTTGCTTTTGCGCCTCAAACAGAGCGCTACTGAGAACCCTATCTGCGACGGCTCCCGACGCCATCACGGCGGCTACAGACGTAACCAGCAAGGTCGTGGTCTTCATGATGCTTACAGGCGTCTCGCCTAGCGCGCATTGTTGGAAATTGACGATCAAAGAGATAGATGTGGCTGCTTATTCGTCCACACGATGCGGTGAAGACAGCGGGGACATATATGTGCCAGCATTTCTTACTCCATATAATTTTCATGGCTAGGAATGCCAATTTGCTCGGCATGTCACAATTACTACCCTCCAATTCTGCATCTGGAGGACGGCGGGGCAGAGGAAGTAGTATGGCCATCGATAATGCGGGATGATTTCGGCGTCGAGTGCTGAAGGTCTTATCCAGTCCCCAGCACTGGCTGCGTCACCGCCAATTGGCTTTTGTGTGTTTCTCGTGTAACGCACCCGTGTTGAGTTGATTCTCTTCCTTGAACAAACGGTCACTCGGCTCTAGAACTCTCCCCTTTGAGACATATAGTCACTGTCCAGTAATTTCGATCATGAGCCCTTCAAGCAAGGTCTCAATAGCTCTCATATCATGGATCAGTGGCAAGTTCCCCCGTACAAAGTGATCGAGCAGGACGCCTCGGAGACCGCTCATGCCCATAAGCGCCAGTTCCCAAGAGACTCTGGGAATTTGTACAAGCTGGGGTCTTCACACAGCTACTGAACAGAGCACCTTTCGGCAGGGGCTCGTCTCGGTGCGTGGCACGAGAAAAGTGTGAAGGCAAGCAGTATCGCGGTTTCAGGTCGCAACCAAAGCTACATGTAAGTGCCACTGTGGATTCATAAGCAATACGAGAAACTAGAATCTGAGACGAATAGATGCGCATGCCTATATACCTCCATATCAGAGCATTATGCTTTCTCGAGGACCCTTCATCAGCCCAACGTACAGCCACGCTTCGTAGGCCTGCCGCTGTCAGTATTGGCAGTCTGCAGGCGAACCCCGGTTGGGACGGCATCTCCCTCGGAAAGGCATGGCGCGAGAGACCGCACCCATTTATACGAAAGTGCAGGGGCTTCGTGAGTGGCCGGGTAAAGTAGAGTAAGCACTGACGTTACATTGCGTCCGTGCCACAAAGCGAGATGATGACTCTCATGCCGTCTCAGCACTCTGGTAGCACCCAACGCCCGCGCGCTCTCGCTTCTGATAGGCGCCCGGCCCAGCAGGGCTGATCTCCGTGTAACCTCAGACTCGTCAAAACTCAGAGAACCAACAACCGCAACTCCTTATGACCCCCCTTCGAGAGCTGTCGAGGGACTTATTTGGGCGCGCTAACGGCTGACGCCTGCATTGACACCCCTGGCTCTCCTTAGTCCCGTGAATGCAGCCCGACGATGTGATACGTCTAGGCCCCCAATGCCCAGCCAAGCCTTTGCCCTGCTCGGTCGTGAGTCAAAGCTCGATTATTGCCTGATTGTCTGCCGTTGCCGTCGACCCCTTTTCTACTTATACTTCCCACATCCCCGGGTTACACATAGCACCAGAAAGTGACACACATCAAATTTGTCCAGAAGCCAGTCTCGCGACAACAAATCGACAAAATGCGCTTCAGCATAGCTGCTACAACCGCTCTCTCGCTGCTGGCGAGGTGTGTCCTTGCGGCGACTGCCGACCCGAACTTTGACCTGGTGACCAAGCCCGAGAAGGACGAGAAGATCGACGCTGGCTCGACCTACACTCTTGTGTGGAAGGTCCCGGAGGGCGCGTCAAAGGGACCGATCACCATTGCGCTCCTCGCAGGCCCCAATCGTGATTTACTCCAGCCCGTGGGTATTGTAGCGAGTAAGTCGAACTGCAGAAAAATTGCGCCTGAGAAAGAGAACAACGCATCTTAACATCACTGCGTCTCGCCAGAGGGCATCGCGAATAGCCTCGAGAAGTACGACTGGGCCGTCAACGACACGCTCGGCAGCGCGCCCCTGTACGGCCTGACCTTCACTCTCGAGGAGGCGCCGGAGCACTTCCAGTTCTCGAACCAGTTCCACATCGTCGCCAAGGCGGGCGCGGGCGGCTCCAGCAGCGGCAGCGAGTCTTCGAAGACGGGCGACACCACGGCGACGACGACCAAGACCACTGCCACGGGCGCGACCACCACCGAGACCAGCACGACTGGCGGTCCTACAACAACTTCTCAGACCTCGGGAAGCACCGGTGTTACCACAAGCCGCACTACTAGCGGGCCTTCGGGGGCCACGAACGGCACTTCTACGTCCTCACCTACTCGGGCGCCGACTGGAGGAGCCGCGGCCATGGGCGTGCCACTAGTTGCTGCTGGCGCGTACGCTCTTGGAGCGCTTCTTCTGTGAAGCATGCCGAGCAGGCTTGTGATCGTTGTTGTTTTTTTCTTTTCATCTTCACAATGTAACAATCTTGTCCAGTTAACAGCGATTTCGGAATCGTCACGACCGAAGCGACATTGTTCTCTCATCTAATGGCTTGTTCAGGCACATACCGAAGCTCCAAAGCCTTTGATGCTCATACATATGTTAATTCAATATCTGCTAATACAACATCATTTTTGTTTCTTTTACTTCAAAAGCATATCGTACGTCCAGTCCTCCTCTGGGACGTCTTGATACTTGATTGCCGTGGGGTGCTTCTTGCGCGCAGGCAGCACACGCTTGATGTAGAGCTTGCCGACGTTGATGGTCTCGTACTTCCTGTCGGGGTCGCTCTTGTCCTTGAATTGGTCCAGCACCGCCAGGTCTGCCTCGGGGCCGGGACCCAGGAAGAAAGGCAGGGAGTAGCGTGCCTGTCCGGTCTTGTTCCGGACGCGGTGGACGGTGGCGGGGAAGAAGCCGTTGGTTTGGTGCTCGAGGAACGAGCCTACGTTGCACACAAACGTGCCTGGGATGGGAGGAGCGTCGATCCAGATACCATCTTGGTTCAGGACCTCCAGGGCTGGTACCTTGTCTTGTCCAACCAGTGTGATCCCTAGATAAAGCCAAATATGATTAGTGGAAACGATCTTTCCAAAAAAATGAATTTCCCATGGCAGCAAAACATACAAGAGAAGTCAGCATGGGCTCCAAGGCCAACACTGGCCGAGTCCTTGTCTACTGGAGTGGGAGGATAGTAGAGTGCCCTCATTCCCGTGATGGGGAACTCAAAATCCTTGTCAAAGTGGTGCTCGTCCAGGTCGAACGCGAGGGCGAATATCCGAACCAGCTTCGCCGCCAGCGGCATGAGATGCTGGTAGTACCTGTACATGCCCTCACGCCACCACGGAGCCTTGCTGGGCCAGATGTTCTGAGGCCTGGTGATGTGAGGTGGGGGCTGGTGGCCGGTCCTGCCGACGTAATTCTGCTCGGGCTCGATTGCACAGTCACCCATGCTGAAAGCCTCCTTGATGTCTGCTCTCATCGTAACATCGGTCAGAAGCCTCGCGTATACCGCTTCCGAGAATACTGCACTTACCGCCCTTTGTCCGTGGGTCATTCTGTGTCTCCAGCATAGGCTCATAGCCCCTGATAGCCGGGTTCTTGTGCAAGTGGGCGTCCATCTTGGTCTCGAGATCCAGGGCAAAGAACCGTTTCAATACCTCAAAGGTCTCACCGATCAACTCATCAGGCACGCCATGGTTCTTGATGTAGAAGAAACCGCAGTCGTGGCACGCATTGTAGATCTCCTTTGCGATCTTCTTCCGTGCCTCGAGCGAGCCGTCGATCTCACTGATGTCGATGGTGGGTATGCTGGTGAATCCGGTGGGCTTCTCAGAGACCTTGCGGTAGGTCGCCTTGGAGCCAGAGGCAAAGTAGACATATTTGCCATCGGCCTAGGCATTCTGCATGAGCACATGTGACTTTGACACCGGGCAGAGTGATCCTACCTCGGGGACCTGGCTGTTTGGCAGGTTGCTCGCCGTGGGCAATACTTCCGCCGTCATGATGTTCACGATGTTGCTTTTTGCCTTGACTCGCTTCTGTCTAGCTGCAGGGGTGATCTGTGTATTGGACTGGCACTGGGACTGGGGGAGAGGGATGAGCGGTGGGCGGGCAGCGATAAGAATAAGCCGACCGGCGTTTTGTCCCTCCTACTATCTTTGCTGCGACCATGTCTCGCTTCCGTTTTCGCTCAACTCCCCGCCAGTGCATGCCTACCTACCCCAGCTTTTGCCCCAGAACGGAAGCGATCGCCTTCCGTTATCCACCCGAGTGCCCTCTAGCGTGGTGCCGAGTGCTGGTGTCGGCTCCGGGGCCGACATCCAGGAAGATTACAACCGGAGCCGATCTCGCCCACCCTTGATAATCTGGCTGGTCCCTTTGGCTGTGCCATTCCACTCGCTTGGGACTTGCAGCACTAACAGATTGCAACGGCGACGGTTATCGCGACTGGGGCAAGCCATATCTCGGGGGGCGATACTCCAATCTCTCTCACCAGGATCAAAGCTGATCAACTCCACCATCGCCTTGCAAATGCTGAGATTAGCGCGTATCTGTGCCCACTCACACTGGATAACACAAGTCCTCCTGGCTCACCAAGCGCAGGGCGTTGGCATTGCATCCATTCGAGAGAGGGACAGTTGCCGAAGCCGGTAGGAGGCCGGCATTGCAAATAAAACCCCGGTGTCTGGAAGAGAGGTGCCCACATCTTTCCCTCTTCAGCAGCTCCTGTTTTTTTTGTCCTTGTCTTCGCGACTCTGACTCCCTCTCGAGAGAGCACGCGACCTCCCGAGGTCCATACCGCAGCCATGTCTGTCATAAGAGACATTCGAAACATCTTTTCCTCTTCGTACGGCGCCCACCGGCCCGACTTCTTCTTCTGGTACCCGAAGAACACACCGATCAGCGAGAAGAAGCTCCTCTTCAAGATCGACTTCTTCATCCTGACATACGGATGTCTCTCCTACCTGGCAAAATGGCTGGACCAGTCTGCCCTGAGCAATGCCTTTGTCAGCGGCATGCGCGAGGACCTCGAGATGTTCGGGACCGAGTTCAACACGGCGCAGACCATGTTCCTGGTCGGCCAGATCATCGGCCCCATCCCGTCCAACATCTTCTTGACCTGGTTCCCTCCGCGATACTACCTTCCTGGCATGGAGTTCATGTGGGGTGTGTTGACCATCGCGTCCTACAGCATAAAGAACATCCCGACTCTTTATGCTCTCCGTTTTCTGACCGGCCTCTGCACCGGAAGTAGCTTTGTGTGAGTCTTGGCGTTGATCGAGATATTGGGACGACGATGGACCCTGAATGCTGACGGAGTGACATAGTGGCATTCAGTATATTCTGGGATCGTGGTACAAGCGAACAGAGCTGGGCAAGAGAACGGCCATCTTTGCATGTGCTGCATATGTCGGTATGTGCCTTATGGTTGTTGAAGCGACATCATGTTGTCAAACTCTCAGCTAATTGTCGGTCAGGCACTATGTTCAGTGGATACATCCAGTCGGGTGTCTTGAAGAGCCTGAACGGCAGAAACGGCCTCCAAGCCTGGAGATGGGTGTTCATCATTGACGGCCTCATCACGGTTGTCATCGCCGCTTACGGAGTCATCTTCTTCCCAGACACGCCGCACAAGACCAAGGCCTTCTATTTCTCTGATGAGGAAAAGCGCCGTTGTGTCGAGCGTCTGCAGGAGGACAACCGAGAGGAGACGAGCAAATTCGACTGGAGTTTATTTCCTCGAACGCTCAAGACTTGGCATCTCTACGTCTTTGTCGTTCTATTCATGTAAGTTGCAACTGATGATACCGCAGCTTCGACCCAGCTAACCGATTCAAACAGGCTTTGGCAATCGACTCCTGGAATCGTAGGAAATAATGGTATGTTGTGTTCTTTGGAACCAACTTTGGGGACACCCGCACTGACTAATTATATCATGTATAGTCTTCCAACTGTACCTGAAAAACGACCCCAACCGGAAATGGAGCGTTTATGATGTGAGTAATTTCAAGCGGACTTCACAGCAACTTCCTTTGCTCATACGAATTAGGTGAACAACATCCCCACGTCAATCAACGGCATGAACATCATCATGTTGCTGGCACTGAACACATATGTCGACGCCACCGGCCGCCGCATGGTAGCCGTGGCGATCAACCTATGCGTCCAGATCTTTGGCACCATCTGCCTCATCATCTGGGATATTCCCTTTGGTCTGCACGTCTTTGCCTACATGACCGCCGCGTGTGACGGGCCCTTGTCGCCGATCTACTTTTCGTGGGCCAACATCTTGACCGCCGGAGACACCCAGGTCCGCGCCGTCACTCTGGCCTGCATGAACGCCTTCGGTTCCGCGATGGGCGCGATCATCCAGCAGTTCGCCTATCCGGTCACGACCGCCCCCAAGTTCCACAAGGGTTTCTGCGTCAGCCTGGGTACTCTGGCGTTCGCGTTCTTCTGGACGTCCATGATTCGTGTCCTGGAGATGCGCGAGGTTCGGAAGCAGGACCAGGAGCTGGCGATGATCACGGACGCTGCTGCTGCTGATAAGGTAGCTGACGACAAAGATCCCGTGGACGTGACTGCTGACCAGAAGGTTTGAGCCTAAGCAACTCAGGGATTACTATTTAGTCATAGATGAGAACAGCTGAGTGGTCTAGCTGAGAAGAGGCTACAGTTCCTGGGGAAGAGGAGGCGCTTGAAGGGAGTAAGCAGTCATTGAAAGGGAGAGCTGTGCCACCGTCCAATAACACCGAAGTTTCTTGCTTCCCCTCACCAGCTCGGATGCAGTAGTAGCGTGGTATACGTACAAGTACTTGTAGAAGTGCATGCCAATTCGTGAGCGCCAAGTCGGGACCTCCCCGTATTGCCCTACCCCAGAGTGGATTCTGGTCTGGTCGGACCCAGGTCGGGGCGATAATTGCTGGAATAGGCAATTCCATGCGGCGGAGAGATCCCGACTTCGGCTTCAGCCAACCCCTCCTGAGCATTTGTTTGACACATACATACAAATGCTTTGGGGTAGAAAGCATGTAATCACTGGCCTTGCAGAGGATTCTCTCCATATCCGACAAGCCGGTTCACCACTAAGGCGATCGCGGACCTTAGAAAGCATCATTGACGGAGATATTCATCCAGCAACCACTAGGAGGGGTCATCTCCCCGCAGACCTGCAAGCCATAATCAGACGACGAAACTGCACAGCGGACCTGCTAGCGATACCGGTATCTCAGCCCGATACGAGTCTCGTCCAAGTGATACGCCTATCGGCTTCCCTTCCAGATATGCAGATAACCCTGGCACCCCTACCGTTAGTCGGTCGATAACACAGTCCTTCCAAGTCCACGCTCCCTGGCACGGACACAAGCGCAATTAGACTTCATATTCGACCACTCGAGGACCCTAATCTCACCGCCACTACCGTCCTGACATCGACTGGACCCCCAGCAGCAGCCCCATTAGCCATGTCGGTGACGCAGACAACGGCGGCCCCACAGGTCACGCAGCTCCGCCTGTCCTCGGGGAACGGCCCCGTGTTCCGCACGGTCCTCAAGACCCCGCTCCGGGACGCGGACCCCTCAGAGATCCCCGTCATCGACGTCTCGGGCATCTTCAGCGACCGGCTCGAGGACCGGCTCGCCGTCGCGCGCGCCGTGCACGACGCCGCCGCCAACATCGGCTTCTTCTACATCAAGAACCACGGCGTGCCGGCGGACGTGACCGACGCCGCCCACGCGGCCTCGCTCGACTTCTTCCGGCAGCCGGCCGAGGCCAAGCTGCGCGCCGATTCGGAGCTCTCGCGCTTCATCAACGGGTACAAGGGCCCGCGGACGCAGCGTATCAACCCGACCGAGTCCGTGGACGTGCGCGAGACCTTCTCGTGGCGGTACGACCCGTCGCTCGACCCGGCGGCGGCCGACGCGGCCGCCATCCCGCCCGAGATCGCGGCGCATCTGAAGTACGAGGACTTCCCCTGGCGGGCGACGGACAACCTGCCGCACTTCCGGGAGGCGCTGGTCCGGTACTGGCAGGCGTGCCTGGGCTTGGGGCGGGCGCTGGTGCGCACGTTCGCGCTGTCGCTGTCGCTGCCCGAGGACGCGTGGGACGCCAAGTTCTCGCACCCGGACGCGGCGTTCGCGATCAACTACTACCCGCCCATCGACGTGCCTCCCGCGGACAAGGAGGGAGAGGACGGCACGCAGGAGGTGTCGATAGGGTCTCACACGGATTTCCAATTGTTTACTGTGCTGTGGCAGGACATGAACGGCGGGCTGCAGGTGCTGAACAAGCAGGGGCAGTGGATTCGGGCGACGCCGATCCCGGGGACGTTCGTGGTCAACATCGCCGACTACCTGCAGCGGATCACGAACGACAAGTACGTGAGCACGGTGCACAGGGTGCAGAACAGGAGCGGCAAGGAGCGGATCAGTATGCCGTTCTTCTTCGGCTTCAATCTCAACGAGAGCTGCGGCGTGCTCGACAGCTGCGTGGGCGAGGGCGAGGTCAAGAAGTACGAGGAGATCAGCTGCCAGGACTGGGTGCAGAAGCGGGCGGAGGAGATGCACAAGACGGATGGAGAGGGCCAGAAAAGTTAAATGAGCCAAAATGATGGCGTTATCGAGGAGCGAAATGTTTCGAAATTTCATTTGCATGAAGCTGCTACAGAGTCTCCCCGGCGTCGAGCGTGCAAGAAAGTAGTCAGCCGCAAAGCACGGGATCAGCCGTCCTCGATCCAGCCCGCGGCTAGCCTGCTTCCAACACGGTTACGCGGTAGACCAGACCTTTGCATGGTGTCTATTTCCTGCTCGGGCGCTTGAAGATGAGATGTCAGCCAGGTGTTTCAAGTGTTGGGCCTGAGGTCATCTCAGTGGTCGTCTAGCTAAGCGCCCATCCGTTTAAGATTTAAGGTGTTGCGCCGCCTGAGACGAGCCAGCCCAAACCACCGGCCAGCAGCAAGCAACGGTCAGGGCCGCAGAGCCAATCAATTTCAGTCAGCTTTCCATACCTGGGACAACCCTCATCCCTTCACGTATGATTGACCGCGCAGGGCAAAAGATGTCGGAACATGTTCATACGGACCCGAAAAATGCAACGAACCTTTGGCTTATCCCATATGGGCCTTTTTGCACAGAACACATCCGTCATACTGGTCAACCAAAGTTTTTCCCCAACGAGCTGGGACGAAGTCCATTTCCCTGCATACCGTTCTGCACCCCCAAAAACCGGTTTGGATGTGGCTTGATGAATCGCCAGAAATGGAAATGAACGTCACTGGTGGCAAACTTTTGGCTGCTGGCGGCGCGAGACGGAGGCCTAATTCAGCGGAGCAGGCCGTTTTTCAGTGCCTATTGGCCGTTGCGCCAGGACCCTGGGCCAGGCTAAAAACGCTAGAGTCGGGGTGCCCTGGCGGAACGACCCTCCCACCGTCTCCATCATCCACTGACAACATGGCAAACTGGGTCTCGCGTTCTTGTTTTGACCACGCCAGAGCATCTCTCGTCCAGTCATCCACGATTTCTCCCCCAAACCACCGTGACCAGCTGCAGGCCTCTCTCGAATCGGGCACAGAAAGGTCAATCACATGGCCATCTCAAAATCTCTAAACGATGTGCCTGCAGCAGGACCCTGAGGCTAATCCGCACAGCCACCATGGCCACCAGAGAGGAGGTCCTGTCTAGTGGTGCGCCATGTCTCTCTTTTGCCATTTGCGGCCTGACGACCCTGGCAACAATGTCGTCAGAGTGCATCGCGAAGCATTCTCGAACGCTTCGCACGCTATCTTGATGGATAAATGCCTGCCAGTTCTCGCCTCCTCGCGCGGGTGAACCTTTGGAAAAGATGGGCACCATTCACCTCGCCGCTCCGAGGTGTCCCCTTGCATTCCCAGTAGAACACACACGATCAAGCCAGCCGAGTCGTATATCTTTGGTCGACGTCGCTCCCTTTAGTGGGCACGCGGTGCGGCCTCTGCTGTACGACGACTGCATCCCCCAAGTTCGAACTGTGCGTGCAAGTCCACGATAGGAGCGAGTCACCACCACAGGCCTCACCCTCTTTGCCTGTGAGCAGGGCAGTCACCTGCTCCTTTGCGCAAGAGTCACAAGGCCTGTAAAGGGCTTTCTCTCACTCACTCAAAATAGCCCTACGACAAAGGGCGTGTTTTCGGCGCCATATACGGTCAAAGAGAGTGAGCGAGGGGACCGTCTGCCAAGAAACGGGCGACTGGCTACGGTTTGTCGAGAGTGTCCAAGCCCACACGGCCACCGGCGGCAAGCGACAAAGAACTACCCAACGCCGTTGCTTTGTCGCTTGACGCTGAAACAGAGTGGGATCCCATTTTCAATTGACTCTTACGAGCCAGCCGCTGGGGTTGGCCTCTTTTTGCTAGGCTTGAAACCGCCTTCGCGCGGTGGCTGTCCGGTGTAAGTGACAATAGCCGTTTTTACTCACCACGACTCTTATTGAGGCGACTCACCCACACCACACCCAACCTATTGTCTGCCTTTCACTCTATTGTTCCCGACACCACTCTTCACCATTTTTTCCCTATTGAAACCATGCATTCACGATAGACAGTCTTTTCATTGTTTCTCTCTGGCTCCTGTTGGCATACCCTTTTTCCTCTGTCGCCTTGGGTCGTTTTCCGTTGCTTTCCCCTTCTCTTCTCTCAGTAATCATCATACACATACATACATTTCCAACCATGCAAACGCTCTCCAGCTTCTAGAGTTGATCTCTTTTTTTCATTATCACGACTTCTCGAGATACCCAGAAACCGAAATACATAATACAGCTGTGCTGAAAACAACCACCACCAGGTCAAGATGTTTCCTTCCAAGGAAAAGTCGGCTCACGACTACCCGGACGTGCCAGCGTCCCTCAACCACGACTCCTTCGAGTTGCAAGATGCCAAACGCAACCAGCTAGCACCCCCGCCTCCGGATACTGCGGGAGGCATCACGCCCTATCTCGGCCTCCGGGCCAGGCTCTCGCAGATCTGGATCAACCGATGGACGGTGCTACTCATCCTCGTCCTCGTGCGCGTCCTCATTCTTCTTGCCGGTCTCAACGATGACATCGGAGATGCAAAGATCAAGGCGCTGTCCGCGTGTACCAAGGTGGAGGACATTGGTAGTGCCATGGCCTCCATGCCTCATTACCTGTCGGTCGGCGTCAACTCCCTTGCCGCCGAGGGCATCACCACGGCTGTCAACGCCATGGTCACCGTCCTCATGATGATCCTCACTGCCGTTGAGCAGCTCATCATGTTCGTCATCCAGATGTACATCGGTACCTACGTCTGCCTGACTGGAGCCGTCATCCACGGCACGTTCGACATTGGCATCGGCGCCGCGGATGCTGCTACGAAAGCCATGAATGCGGTCATCACCGACGTCACCAATGGCCTCAACGACGATGTCAAGAAAGTCCAGGATGTGATTAACGACACCTTCGGAAAGATTGCCAACAGCGTTAGCGGCCTCTTTGGCGGAAAGCTAGACCCCCCGAAGCTCGACATCAGCGGCCGTGTCAACGACCTGCGCAACATCAAGATCGACGACACCGACTTCGTCAAGACCCTCAAGACCCTCAACTCGACCATTCCGACATACGACGAGGCCAAGAAGGCGACCGAGGATGCCATCGCGATTCCCTTCAACATGCTCAAGACCCTTGTCAATGGCACCTACGGCGGATATGCATTCGACAAGAAGGTCTTCCCCGTCGCGCAGAAGGAGGCGCTGTCTTTCTGCTCCTCCAACTCCAAGCTCAACGACTTCTTCGAGAGCCTGTACAAACTCGCCGCCAAAGCCAAGATTGCGTTCATTGTCGTCATCCTTGTGCTCGCCATCCTCGCCTGCGTCGTCATGGCGTGGTGGGAGATCAAGCGGTACCGCCGCCAGCAGCGCCACGCCAAGGTCTTTACCGAGCACGGCTACGACCCCATGGACGTCGTCTACATTGCCGGGCGACCCGTCACGGCGACCGCAGGCATCAAGATTGCTTCACGCTTCAAGGGCAAGCGCCAGCTGCTGGTCCGCTGGGCCGTCGCCTACGGCACCTCCCTGCCGGCCATCTTTGTCCTCTCCCTCGCCATCGCCGGCTTCTTCTCCTGCCTGTGCCAGTTCATCCTGCTCCGCAGCATCCAGAAGGAGGCACCCGTGCTCGCCAACCAGGTCGGCGACTTTGCCGGCTCGGTCGTCACGACGCTCGAGGACGCCTCGATGAAGTGGGCCGTCGACGCCAACGGCGTCATCACCAAGTTCAACACCGAGGTCAACGACGACCTGTTCGGGTGGGTGACCAACGCCACGACGGCCGTCAACAACACGCTCAACACGTTCACCACCGAGATCAATGACGGCATCACCAAGGTCTTTGGCGGCACGGTGCTCGAGAACACGGTGCGCGGCGTCGTCCGCTGCCTCATCGGCCTCAAGGTCGAGGCCGTCGAGAAGGGCCTGACGTGGGTGCACGACCACGCGCACGTGTCCTTCCCGCTCTTCCCCAACGACACCTTCTCCATGGGCGCCAAGGAGTCCGTCAGCGGCGACTCGCAGCTCACGTCCTTCCTGTCGAGCCCGTCGAGCGTGACGACCGACGAGATCACGGGCGCCGTCGACCGCGTCATCAACCACATGCACGCCAACCTCGTCAAGGAGGCGCTCATCTCGACGGGCCTGCTGCTCGTGTACGTCATCGTCGTCCTGATCGGCGTCGTCCGCAGCGCGGTCGGCATGATGACGCCCGACCGGACGCGCGGCGAGGGCGGGCAGCGGTACTACCTCACGGGCGACGGGCGGCCGCCGATGAGCCCCCGCGGCGCTGCTGCGGCCGACAACGACAGCAACAACGCGCGGTTCCCGCAGTTCGGCGAGAGCAGCGGCAGCTCGGACCTCGTGGCGGGCGCGTCGTCCTCGTCGTCGGCGGCGGCGGCGAGGGCGAGGAGCGACGAGAAGTTCGCGCAGGAGTACTGGAGCAAGAACTCGGTGCCCGGCGGCAAGGGGCTCAAGAGCCCCGGCCACTGGCGCAAGAGCAGCTACGGGCACGTCGAGGACGCGGGCAGGTGATCTGAGAGGACCCTGTTGTTCGGGGCTGGCTACCTGATACCTCTCAGTCGCCTTTGCGTAATGGGGGACGATTTGGCATTGCTCTTCTCTTTTTTGGCATAGACAGGGAGCGGGACGAGGGCGGGCGTTTTCTTTGTTTTGGTCTTGGAAAGGGGTGTTTTCGTCTGCTCCTTTTGTGCATTTTTGCTTGCGTTGTTTCTTTGTGTCTTCTACTGCTTCGCTGGCCAAGACTGTGTTGTCTATTCCTGATCCAGGGTTGGATGATGCGAGGGAAGCATAGGAGGTACAAGGGACTACAACGACAACATCACCACGATACCTTTTCATTTCGAGTCAGTCCTTAGATGAGCGTTACGCTACCACTCGGCATCGCGAGATGTCTTATTATTACCCTTATTACTTTCGACAACGTCATCCGATGTAGTCAGATACCTAGTTAGCTGTGGCAGAACGAATACAGCTAACCATGGTAGAACAATACAAAAATCCAGATTGATTTGAACCTGCCTCCCCAGTGCTGCAATCTCTACGCTACGTGTGAGATGCCATAGTTCAAGAAAAGTCGACCGGATTGGACACGTAGGCCAGTCCCTGTCAACGCAGCTGACTCACCGCCTTTTCAATGATGAAAGTGTTTGGTGAAAGATCACCAAAGACAATGGGAAATGTCGGAGGCCGGCTGACGGGCAGGAATTCATCTTAGGAAAGTGTCAACTAAGGGTCGGATCAATCGAATTCTATTCATTGAGGTGTCTAATTCTAAGGGAGAAAAGGGGAAGGCCGCCAGGGGGGCCGCCGGCCCTTTAGGGTGGCCCTAAAGGGCGGTGTGGTTAGGCAGAGACAGCTCTACATACTAAATTTACCCTAGGGTTATCCTTAGTGGACTAGCCCCTTCTGATACACCTTCTTAGATCTCTAGAATCTGAGATTCTAGGAGATCTAAAGCTATTTCTATATCCTAAATAGGAAATTAATAATTTTATTTAATATTAAAGACTAATTAGTTACTTCTAGTCTTTTTAACTATATATTAGATATTAGTATAAATATATACTAGATAGGAGGTTCTATAAAGACTATCCCTTCTTATTATTGACTCTTATATCTTTCTTATATATTTTAGTATATTCTATATAGCTTTAAATAACTCCTACTCTTTCTAATAACTAATCTAATAGTCTAGTAGTTATAATATCTATCTTTTAAGATAGAAGACTTAGGTTTAAATCTTAGTTAGATCTATTTAATTAATAAAAATATTAGCTTACTATATCTTTATAAACTTAGGCTAAGTCTTAGCTAGGATGTTTCTTAGGTTTATTAGCTTCTTATTTAGATTAATTAGACTAGAAGATTCTATAGGTTTAATCTCTATAGAGGATATTAATCTTTTTATCCTTCTCTTAAATAATAATAGAAAGAGATATATAGAAAATAATAGTATAGTACTTTCTATAAGTAGTTCTAGTAATTTAGTAGTAGAATACCTATCTTTTTTAGTAGAAGGCCTAGATTTAACTTCTAATTAAATTCTTTAATAAAGTTCTTAATATCTTTAGGTTTAAGAAGTTTATTGTTTTTTATTTAGTATAACTAGAGACTACTAGTCTTTTTACTAATTCTAATTATCCTTTAAGATAGTAATAAGATAGAAGTAAAGATCTAACTACTTAATAAACTTTTAATACTTATTAATTAAAAGAATCTTAATTAGCCTATTAACTAGTATTTAATTAGTAATTAGATATTCTATCTCTACTATTTTCTTTTAAACCTCTTACTAGATCTAATAGTAATAGATATTAATATATCTTAAAGCTATCTTAAGCTATAGGTTCTTACTTTTAACTAGATAAATAGTTTAATAATTATTATAGTAGATAATAAACTAGCCTAGTAGTTATAATATTATCTTCTTAAAGAACTATATAATAGTAATAGTCTCTTAAAGAGAGCTTATAAGAATAAGTAACTCTACTTTAGTAAATAAGATAGTAATAATATTTTACTTAACTGCTTTCTAATTAATAATACTTTTAAATAATATTATAAGATATCCTTAAAAGAACTTCTAGTTCTTTAGATTATCTTTAAATAAAGTATTAGTATAGACTTTAAGTAAGAGATCTAGATTATTTCTATTAAATAGAATATCTAGCTTCTTTATTCTTAGAAGATAGTAGATAACTCTATCTATCTTCTTTATTACTTTAAATAGAGGGTTTATAAGAAAGTAGGTAAGACTAGTAACTACTTTAATAATATCTAGCCTTATAATAATATTAAGATAGATTAGAGATCCTATCTTTTATTAATAGATATAAATCTCTAATAAGATTACTTACTTATCTAGCTTTATAATCTCTTTAACTAATATAAGAGTAGCTAGCCCTCTAGCTATATTATTAAGCTTATATCTAATAGTAAGATTAGTAATCTTATCTTCTTATAAGATCTAGATCTAGTTCTAATTAGCACTTTAAATAACTCTTATTTCTAAGAACTACTTAATATCCTCTAGGTCTTTTATTTTAAATTAGTAGGTTAAGATCTCTTTAAAGGCCTCTTCTTTAGCTTTATCCTTCTTATAATAGAGATAGATAATATTATTAATATAGAAGAATACTAGAATGAAGTTATTATAGAAGAGGTATAGCTCTTTAGTTAATTAGATGAATTCTATTTTAATAAGGACTATTAAGAGAAGCTTCTACTATAGTAGTAATAATATCTATAGGCTGTATAGTACTCTGATTAAATAAGTGATCTTACTGGTTTATTTAAAGTATAATATAAGTTCTATAAATATCTTCTTATTAAGATAGATATTAATAAAGATATTGATTATATCTAACTGCTTTATCTTAAGCCTAAATCTTATAGTAGTAGCTATAAGAATTTAAAAAGACCTTTCTATTAATATAGTAATATAGATATTCTGATTGTTTAATAGCTATTAGTCTTCTTAAATATAGATCCTAGTCTTAAATCTCTTAATATACCCTTTACTATTAAACTTATAGGTAAATACCTACTTTAATAATATAATTATCTAGCTTTTAGCTTTATAATAGTCTATAATCTCTAACATTCTATTATCTTAAATATTCTTAATCTCCTTCTATATAGCCTTAAGCCAGTATTAGCTATAAAGACTATTAATAGCCTTCTTAATATTTCTTAGCTCTAGTAGTAGGTTATTTTAGTATAGTTAAAATAGCTATTAAGGCTCTTATTTAATAGGGATTACTTTAGCTTAGAAGCTAGTATAGACTATATTAATACTATAGTAGTTTCTTAGAATCATCCTATTAACTACTTACTATTACCTTCTAAAGAGCTTCTCTTACTCTCTTAACTACTATATATAGTCTATTAGCTTATAATTTTAAGCTAATTGCCTAATTAGTATAGAACTTAAGAAATCTTTCTGAAAATTTTCTAACATCTTTAGAATACTATTCTCTCCCTCTAATAAAGTTTCTAGAGTTATTAAACTAGAGGTCAAGCCCTCTATTAGTCCTATTATAACTAGTTCTTAGACCGGCTCTTTATTTTAGTAAGAAGTTAGATAGGTAATAATAATCTCTTTAAGCCTCTCTTATATTAGACCAGCCTTTTTAATTGCTTTAGCCTATTAGAACTAATCTCTCTCTCTAGTAGCTTTAAACAGTCTATCTATTAGACTAGAGAGGCTGGTGATCTTATTGTTAGTCTCTTTAGGCTCTAGCTCTCTCTCTACTAATTTTAGTAGCTTATAGACCTCTACTAATAGTATAAATATAGCTAATCTCTCTCTAGATCTATTATAATTCTTCTTTTTAAAGAAGAACCCTTCTTTAAAGGTTATATCCCTTAATAGGACAACCTTCCTCTTTTTAGGGATCTAGATCTACTAAATGTTTATATCTTTATAGCTAATAAGATATTTAATCTTAATATAAGATTGATATTTAGCCTTAGTTGATATTATAGTATTATAGTATTTATCTTTAAGGTAATATGCCTTTAAACTATACTCTTTAATATAGCTAAGATCTAGCTGGTTTAAGCTGTCTAGGATTTAGTACTTATTCTTCTAATACTACTATCTAATAGTCTCTTCTAGTAACTTCTAGCTATTAGCTTAATAAGAAGATCTATTGTCATAAAATTAAGGTATAGTACCATAAGGCAGGTGATCTAGACGGTTAGAACCAGCAGAATAGATAAGATAAGCAATCACACTCAATTAGTGATTCTTACTGATTATAAGTAATCCATCACTCTAGCTTAGTGATCTAGAATGATCCAGCAGTCTATATATACAGACACATATCTACCCTTAGATACCTACCCTAGATAGCTCTCTAGTATTCAAAGTATCTCATTTAATAAAGTACCTTTAAGTAAAGCTATCTTAGCTATAATTAAGTCAATTACTATTACTTAGCAGCACCTATTACTTACTGCTTATATAAACCTACATACCTCTAGTCCTATAAAGTAGTCTTACCTCTTAGGATTAAGGATTGTTATATATTAAATACTCTTATTTAGTTAGTAGACCATACCCTAAACAATACTTATAGAAACTATATTAGAATCTTAATCTACTAATAACATATCCTTATTTATAATAGAACAAGCTAGTACTAAAATCTAATAACTTTCCGCTTTAATACAGGCCTTATAGGCAGAAGGTACCTAGAGTATAAAGTATAAAGTTCTACTAATATATAGAGGAAGTAAGAAAGGTCTCTAAGGATTTCTTACTTAATATAGAGGATATCTTATAAAGTATAAACCTAACTTTCTATACCTAGATAATTAGATACTCTTTACAATAACTTAGCTTAAAGAAGAAGCTCTCATCTAGTTTAAACCTATATAGAGGAATTACTTAGAATATCTAAAGAATAATAGAGACCTTAAGACTTAAGCTATCTTTATAGGAGGCTTTACTATATTTAAGAAAGCTATTAAGACAGCTTTTAGAGATTTAGATAAAGAATAAATAG